GTTCTGAAGTAGGCCATGCGATCGACGCGATCATGGACGGGACGTACAACTCGTACGACGAGGACGAAGGTCCTACGACTCAGGATCCACTTGATTGGGGATCAGACGGTCAGTATGACATCGACGACGAGCTGGCTAACGCCGCCGGCTTAGGAGAGGACTTTGATGCTGGGTCAGTCCTTTCAGCTTCTATTCCCAAGCGACCTACTAACCCTGCGCTTCATACAGCCGCATGTAGTAGTAGACGCACTAGGTCTACTTTAAAGAGACGTAGTATTCGCAGTCATAGTCGCAGTGTAACGAATGAATATATCAGTAGTTCGTTGCACAAATCAGTTGGTTGTCGGCATTCGCGCGATTTCGCTGCGTGCACCAAATGTAAGGGAAAAGCTAAGGCTTGGCATGAACCAGAGCCGGTTGAGTCGTCAGACTCCTGGATGTTGGACTCTGGAGCATCATTACATTTTTCCAACAATTTAGATGATTTTGCTGAGATTGAGGACCTCAGTGAGCCAATCGTCTTGTCGACCGCAAACGGCTCTGCCGTATGCACAAAGCGTGGGACAGTCTTCTTGAACTTTGAGAATGACGATGGTAGTCATACGACAACCAGATTGTTTCCCGTTTATTACTTCCAAGGTCTTCATCAACGTCTCCTATCCATGGGAACGTTCCTCCGTGAAGGAATGACAGTGCGCGGTGGTGCGCAGCACGTCGACCTCTATGAACAAGGAGTGCGTGAACCACTATATGTGTTCAAGCCGCGGCACCCTGGTTCAACGATATTCGAAATACAGTCCTTGCCTTCACAGGACGCAATGAATATCCATCAGACAGTTTATTCTGTCGATTACCACACTATGCATCGCCGCCTAGGACATCCTTCTAAGGACGTACTACGGCAAGCACAGAAACACACCGAGGGTTTCCCACCTTCGATAGAGTTCCCTAGGGAGGATCCTATATGCCCAGGATGTGCGGAAGGGAAAATGCATAACAAAGCATTTCCGCCATCTACGTTGAGAGCGACAGAGCCCTTCGAGCTCATTCACTCTGATGTGAAGTCGTTTCCCATCGACTCCTACCATAAGTATAGGTACTACATCCTGTACTATGACGACTACGCTTCCAATGCATGGACAGTGAATCTGCGCAACAAGAGTGCTGCGATCACGGCCACGCGCCAATTCTTAGCCATGGCCAAAAACCAGTACGGCAAGAAGGTTAAGAAGTGGATGTCAGATGCTGGGGGAGAATACAAGTCTGAAGCGTTCGACAAAATGCTGAAAGACGAGGGTATCCAGATCCTGCAAAGTTCGCCGCACACTCCTCAGGAGAATGGCAGAGCGGAGCGACTCAACAGGACGATAATGGACAAAGCTGAGGCCATGCGCCATGAAGCATGTCTACCTGAATCCTGGTGGGAATTTGCGGTTGAGCACGCTGTTCATCTCTATAACAGGACACCTGTCCGACGTCTCAAATGGCGTACCCCCTATGAGATGTTAAATGGCGAGGCTCCCAGCATCAAGCACCTAAGAATATTTGGGTGTGGCGCATATGTATTCATACCGAAAGACGTGCGTCAGAATACACTATCTCGGAAATCTGAGTTAATGGTGTACCTCGGGGTTGCCCCTGGTGGGCATGGGGCGCGATTCATGCGCAGCCCTAATAATGTGCTTTACACCTCATCGAACGCTCTGTTTGATGAACTCATGTTCCCAAAATGCCCGGACATGAAACGGCGAGGCAACACTAGGTTGCAATCTGCACCTAGACCTGACCAAGCGGGTCGCCAACCCACTTCTCAGGAGAATTATGATGACGATGACAACGATCATCCCTCTCATCACCTTCCAAAGGGAGCGGACAATGAGCGTGACGATGCTCAGGAGCAGCCTAGGGCGCCCAGTCCAGTTCCGCCGCCTCAACCTCCGGAAGAGCCAGCGCGCGATGATGCGCCGCGGCGCTCATGGAGAGAGCGGAAGCCAGTAACCCGCCCAGGGAATGTCTATGGGGAGAAACGGACCCCCGTAGAAATATACAAAGAGATCGAAAAGAAGGGGCAATGGAGAAAGATTGTCGGAGAAGAGCCGGGTAGCTCCCGCTCTCAACCACAGTCAAGGCAGCAACCGGTTCCCGGACCTAGTTCTGCGCCTGATCCACAGCCAGACCAACCTTCTGGATCCTCCTCGGGCTCTGACGACGACGAAGTCGAAGAGTTACTCATGGCACAACTATGCCGGGAAGGGGGAGTAGGATTGGTTAACATGCTGCTTGCAAAAGCGCTACCACTAGTTGACCAAGATTCTCCGAAGTCCAGCGTACGCGAATGGACATTCTGTGATATCTCGAAGCTACCTAAAGAGGAGCAAGAGAAGTGGAAAGCTGCGTGTCGCGAAGAGTTAGAGGCTCTGCGCAAGCGTGGTGTTTATGAGTTGGTTGACCGTCCTAAGGGACGTAGGGTTACCAAAAACCGCTGGGTCTTCGACGTCAAAACTGACGGTCGAAAGAAGGCTAGACTAGTCGCAAAAGGCTACTCCCAGATTGAAGGCCTCGATTACGATCAGGTTTTCTCTCCAGTCGTTCGCTTTGAGACCGTGCGCCTTATACTCGCGCTAGCTGCGCTCGAGGGCATGCACATCTCCGGACTCGATGTCCGTAATGCGTACCTCTATGGTAAACTCGACGAGGAGATTTACATGGAGCAGCCTGAAGGCTTTAAAGTCAAAGGCCAAGAGCACAGAGTCCTCCGGCTATTGCGTGCTCTCTATGGACTCAAACAGGCAGGGTTAGCGTGGTGGCGCACCCTTAATGAGTCTCTCAAGGAACTCGGCTTTACACGCCTTGTATCCGACGCCGGAATTTTCATCTATAAGACGAAAGACGGACGTTTCGTCCTAGTCATAGTCTATGTGGATGATGCCCTATTTTGTGGCAAAGACAAGGCCCTTGTAGCCAAACTCAAGAACCGCTTCATGAAGAAGTGGGAGTGTCGCGACCTAGGCGACGTCAAGGAGTTCCTGCGTATGCGCATTACTCGGAAAGGCGACGAGATTCATCTCGACCAAACTGCCTACCTTGAGACTGTGCTGCAGCGCTGTGGCATGCAGAATGCAAAATCTGCGCCTACTCCACTCCCTGCGGGTTACAAACCTGAGCCGCACACTGGCCCGGTTGATCCTGCGCTTCGAAGCCGGTATCAGACCGTCATCGGCTCCTTGCTATATATCATGCTCGGAACTCGACCTGACATCTGCTTTGCCGTGACTAAACTTGCGCAACAAGCTGCGAATCCGTCACAGGACCACTTGGATAAAGCGCTATATATCTGCCGCTACCTCGTGGGTACCAAGTCCTATGCGCTTGTATACAGCGGCAAATCTGGACAAGGTGTCTCGGCATGCACAGACTCTGACTGGGCCAATGACCCAGAGATGAGACGGTCTCAGAGTGGCTACTTTATGAAGTTGGCGAACGGAGTGTTCAGTTGGCTGTCTCGACGGCAAAAGACGGTTGCACTGTCTTCAACTGAGGCTGAATACATGTCACTCAGTGACTGTAGCCGCCAAGTCGTCTGGGTTAAGATGCTCCTCAAGGAGATCGGTTACCTACTTGGCGCACTCCCTATCTGCTCGGATAACCAAGGAGCAATATTCATCGGCTCCAACCCTGTAACTGAGAGGCGGTCGAAGCACATCGACATACGCTACCATTACATCAGGGAACTGATTGAGGAGAAGCAAGTCGAGCTCTTCTACATCAGTACGGATGAAAATCCAGCAGACCTGTTCACCAAGAACTTAGGCCGTGTCAAATTCCTTAAGTTTAGAGGAATGCTCGGACTTAGATTCTATGAATCGTCCTAGAGCACCATTGGCAGCGTTATGCGCCTAGTACGCTTATGTGAGTCTACGACGCACTAAGCGAGGGGGAGTGTTGAACTAGGAAGGCGCCTACCGGGCTGCCGGGTTCAATCACAGGCCGGACCGGTTCTATGGGAAGCTCCGGGTCCGTGATGTCATCTATGATGTCATCTGTGTGTTATCACATGGCTACGCCACTTACCTTGTATGTCGTGGGAACGTACTATACAGTAGCTTAGATAAGCGGTCTCCTCATGTATATAAGGACCCCAGTAGCGTAGCTCAATCCCCAGTACCTTCAGTCGAAGTACTTGCGTGTGCATCAAGCATCAGCAACCTTGCAGGTAAGTTGTGAGGGCGCACCACTGCGTGGAGCTGCCTGCTCAACAGTCTCGAGCCGCAAGAACATGAGACGAGTAGATGAATATGACGCTGCCCGGCCACAGCGTCACTGTGCATCACACTCCGAACGTCGCGAGGCTGGCGGTGACCTCAATGGGACCCGAGTCGTTCTGTTCAGCAGGCCTCCCAATCGCGCGGGACAGTTAGCTGTGCTGCTGCTCCGCTGAGCCGCGCGCGTCAAGTATGTGTTCAGCATGCAATAGCTCGGAATTGACTGAGATCCCATGTGTGGTAGACTGTTCAACGGACAATGTCCCGCTGAAATCTGACACGAAGCCACGCCGGCCCCATCTCCCGTACAAGTCGTCTTCCTTGATACGAGCCGACAGTGTTTGACGCAGCGCTAGCCGCGAGCCTTCTCGCCGCACGAGACCACGGGATAAGCAGTCTCTGCCGTCCCGGGTGTGCGAATGACAAACGGCGGCGAGGCCAGATCGCGCGAACGACAAGCACAGCTGCTAGTATGCAGCGTCGGCGCATCAGCCAGGGTCATGCCCGGGCAGGTTGGACCCTTGCTCGAGATGCCCCTGAACCGCGTCTGACTACCTTCGCCTCGCTGTATGCGCCGTGGACACTCGCACACACCGACGCGGGACAAATGAGCGTTTAAAATGACACTCGGTCTGCCCGTCTACTCCCCAAGTCCATTCGTTTCCTGGCTATCGTCTCGTCATGGCTCGACACCTCGTTCTCGTGTGCCCAATCGATCCTGCTCTTCGTAAGCCCCGCTACTCGTCCTCGCTAGCAAAGCGGAGGGGCCTCTTGCGCTCCGTCCTCACCGAGGGACTGCGTAAGTACTGAACTGTTTGCCCTGCCACTCACTTGACTAACCATGGATTTCTAGGCGAAATAACCAAAAATCCTGCCGTGCGGATGCGCTACAACGAACACGACTTCTGGTCGAACGTCGTGCGCCGGCTCGGCTACAAGCTCGTCGGCTGGCCCGAGTCGATCCCGTTCACGAACCTCAGCAATCTCAAGGGTGGGCGGCGCCCGATCGAGGAGCTACTACACCTCTGGAACAACGGCACGCTCACCTTCGTTCCCATCAACTCGCCGGCCGAGATCGCGACGCTGAGGCCACGGACCGTTCGAAAGCGGGCAGCCCGCTGTGACCTCAAGAGCCACCGGAAGCACTTGACGGCCTCTGGCAAGCCGCGCTGTTGCCATCACCGAGGCGCAATCACGCCGCTGACGGTTGGCGAAGACATCGACCAGCAGCTGGACGCGGAGATCGAGGCGGGCTTGGAGGCGGGAGGCAGGCGGTTGGCGTGCGGCGAGTTGGCGGAGGACCCGATTGAGGATGCTTGAATGTAGATGCCGTTGCCGCTTAGATCACAATATCATTTGTCGAGGTTGCGGAAGGTCGAGGATGGCAGCAGAGCGGTGTCGCCGGTCGCGCTAGTGCACTTCAAGGCCATGGTCGCGTCGTAAGTCGTACCGGAGCGCTCATCGCAGCGGCGCCACTTGGGCGCCTGCACTTGCCCAATCCGGCCAGGTCAATGCTCCTCCTCCGCCGTCTGCGCTATCTCTACACTTTCTCTTACCCATCATCGTACATCGACTTGCCCTTCGAGTGTACGCCATGCAAGAGACCGATGTCTTGCTGTTGTAAGGTTTTCTGACATCAATCATCCGACTGTAAGTACTAGACTGATACATGGATGAAAGTGGCAAATATCTAGATTCGGTTCAGGTTGATATCAGGCTTTCTGACTGGAATGGTGCTCAAGACGGCTCATTGTCCCTGAAGTGCACAGGATATAGGTCCGATCAAGACCATTATGTAACAAAGTCTTGGCATACAGTGTGTAGAATATGTATACTCTGGAGACATGGTCTATATGGGACAGGCTATGCTCTGGACAGTATTGGCTGTCTGGAGTATAACCTGTCTTGTATAGGACAAGTCTCCGATGCTGGACAGCTACGGAATTGAGGAGACAGACCCAAGGAACGTGTTCAAGCGAGCAGATCTGAGATTAAGATGAGCCACAGAAACTAGCGACAGAAGCCTGAGATTTGTCAGAAACATCCTCGGAGTTTGGCAGACTCCGAGACATGATATATTGACTGAGTTTGAAATCTTTTAGTCAATCGGCAGATGAGTATCTTGAGCTGACGCCACACAAGTTCTGAGCAACAATCGCCCACTGGATAGCTCCTTTCTCATACACTGCTCACCAACGTCTCAGCAACCTCATTCCTCAGTGCACAGACAACTCATTCACGACCACCTCTATCTAGCTTGAAAACCGTCCAGAGCATGTTGTGTGGAGGTTGGACTGCCATAGTACGTGCATAGGTACACCGCTCTCCACGATTTGTAGCTTGCACATGCACTGACTTATGCAATGAAGCCTACCAGATCGGCTGAACAGCTTGTGGTCCGCCCCGGAAGCACTGTTTGATGTTCATGTCACGCCTGCACGGACTGCCTGAGACGGCCTGACACCACACGGCACACCTCTCGTACACTCCGAGTCGCTAGAGCACGGACAGCACACTTGTCAGTACAGTATCCACGTACTAGCGGCAGGTGATGCTCGTCATAGGCCACCGTCAACCTTCACGGCGTGAACACCTTGCCACTTCGACGTTCACGTCGTGCCTGCACCGACTGTCTGGGATGACCTGACACCACATGGCGCGCCTCTCGCTGCCCTCGCTACATTGTCTGGTATCGGCTCGCGAACTCGCAGATGCGGACGCCGGACACGCTTCGCGTTCTGGGAGCACGCGGTCAGGTGGCAATGTGCTTCGACTACCACCTTCGCTGTTGCGCACCCCAATTTCGTACATGCCCATGCCGCGGGCGAAGCATCGTGACCGGACGCGCTTCGCGTGCTGAAGACGGCTTGCCACCCATGCTGTTGCGGATCCCAGCCTCGGGACTACGCGTGGAGCTCAACGGACACGTGAAGGTGCCAGAGTCTCGCCTCAGTGCACCACCACTGGACTCGCAAAGATCAACGCCGGACGCGCGCTGCGCAAACGCACTCTGCGCGGTGGACACGTCGGCCGGGTTCGATACGCCGGCGGTCATGAATGCCATCGCGCATTCCTGCGTCTGTCTGGTATCCATTTGTGAAGGCCGAGCGTACTGTGGACGCACCTGACGTGCTGCGATGCGGAGGGCGGTCAGGCACGCCGAGCCTCACAGAGCTCAGCCGCAATCCGAGGTCACTCGTCCCCTGGCACGCAGCTCGGCGCAACAGTGCAGAGTCCGAGGGCAGACTCGAGGTATTGGTCTCTGCTGAGCTGCTGGAGAGAGAGGAGGCGAAGCCGGGATGCGTCGGTTGGTGCGCGTCGCTGTGGGTTCGCTCCGCGAACGGAAGTAGTCAGCAATAGTGCGACTTGGAGAATCGCGCCGTCTGCAGGCAGCTCCTCCCGGTACGACATCGGCTGGCCAGGAGTACAGTACCGGCGCGACAGCACTGTCGCGCGTCCCGGATTCGCCGCGCACTAGCCGCGCGCAAACATCGACACGGGCGGCGGCACCGCACGGTCGCGTCTCCGAGTCCGTGGAGGCGCATCGAAGTACGTGAGGCGGATGCACAGTACGCTCAGTGCTGGCCGCGGCGTGGGTTAGCGCACGGACATGGACGCTGTACGGATGCGTCTTGGGGCACAAAGGTTGCTCACGGACAGGCGTGACACGTGCGGCCCGTCGTGACGTGCGGACATGGCCGAGGGACGAGGACGGGAATGGGATCGTGCAAACGAGTGCGTTGGCGTCCGGCAGGCGGGCGAGCTCTCTGCAAAGGCGCAGCACGAGGACGGTGGGGACAACGTGTGCACATTGCAAACAGATGTGGGCGCACGAAGACAGCAAATATGCGACAGGACGAGGGAGGATGAGGCGGATGGGGCGAGGGCAGAATCTACGACTCAGTCTAAGGAGACCAGAAGACTCGGGGCGAGCGCGAGGCGAGAGCAGCGGAGGGTGTACCAGATGTGTTCGCGCGGACAGCACGAGGGCGGAGGACGAGTGCGGTAGTAGCTTGTGTACTGTACAGTAGGATGCGGGACGGACGTACCTTGCGTGCAGTTGCGGCAAGTCAAAGTCCGAGACGAACCGCAGTGCACGTGCCAGACTCTCTCGCGTGCCCCCGCGTCGCGGAAGTGCGAGTTCCTCTGTGTCGTGAGCATGAGCCCCTGTGAGTCCTATACGCCGTGAAACTGGGCCTATCTCTTGGATTTCGCTCGGACAGTCTGCGCACGCTGCACTTGCTGTGGGCCGTCGACGACGTCGTGGAGCCCGTTGGCGCCCATGACGCACGCCCCGCTTGCGATCGGGCGCTGACAGCAAGCATGTTCGCTCGCGTTCGAACGACCTCATCCACGCATTCGCGGGCTCCCTATGCTAGAGACACTCTGGTCGGTGGCTTGGAGCCTCTGCCCGCGATGAGAGCGGTCGTGACGTCAGGTTCACTGGCAGTGCCCCACGCCCTTCGACCTTAAAAAGTCTGGCCTTCCAAGTCGTTTCGCAAATCTACTCCAGGTACTCCGGCGACTTCCAAGTTAACGACTGTCATCTCCAGTAATCTCGCGACTATGGCGATGGTGAGCCCCCGGTGTATGCTCCAAGTACGTAGAAGAAGCTAATGAGTCGACATGTAGGCTATTCAGATGTGAGTGACCATGTACAAGGTCGTGTTCAGTGAGGCTGAAAGAGGTCCCAAAGTGCGACTTTCCTACACCAATGGTACCCTTGACTTGCCTCTTGCTGAGGAGTTCGTGATGCATATTTCGACAGGTGGTATGGACAAAATTCCGTGCCGACCAAGACCTCGGATCCACTGCGAATCGGGATCCTCTCGTCCGCGATGATCAACGCGGCAGGCATTATCCGCCCGGCCCAGACCCACGGCGAGGTCGTGCTCTCCGCCATCGCCTCGCGCGACCTCAAGACTGCGCAATCGCAGGCGAAGAAGTACAACATCGCGCACGCGTTTGGGTCGTACGACGAGCTGCTCGACAGCCCGCTCGTCGACTTCGTCTACATCTCGCTCCCGAACGGGCAGCACGGCGAGTGGGCGATCAAGGCGCTCGAGAAGGGCAAGCACGTCCTCCTCGAGAAGGCCTTCACCGCGAACGAGGCGGAGGCACGGCGCGTCGTCGAGACCGCGCAGCGCACGGGCAAGGTCGTCATGGAGGCGTTCCACTGGCAGTGCCACCCCGCCGCGCACGCGTTCAAGGACGTCGTGTCAAAGGTGCGTCCGCCCTCCCTCTGCTCTCCCTCATGCTCACCGGCCCGCAGCACGGCAAGATCCTGCGGACTCACGCGATCATGACTTCGCCCGTCGGCTCGATCCCCGCGTCCGACATCCGCTGGCAGTTCGACCTCGCGGGCGGCGCGCTGATGGACATGACGTACGTCCTTTCGAGCACGCGCTTCGCGCTCGACGCGGGTGCGCCCGTGCGCGTCAATTCCGCACATGCACGGCCGTCGCCTTGGGATGCGCGTGTCGACGAGGCGATGGACGCGACGCTCGTGTACCGCAAGGGCTCCGCAGAGGGCGCGGAGGGCGAGTACGACGTGGAGGCGACGGTGTACGCGGACATGCGCCGCGCGAACGTCGCCGGCCTCGTCCCGCGCGTGTGGGAACTCCCCACCATCGAGGTCGAGACGGAGCGCGCGGTCGTGACGCTGTACAACTTCATGATGCCCCACGTACGTCCCCCGCTCGTCCGAGGTGGTCCCGGCGCTGACGGCTATGGCACGGGCAGCTGTACCACTACATTGCGATAAAGGACAAGGCGACGGGCGAGACGCGCTACGAGAAGCACTACAAGTACTCCGGGAAGACGGGCGCGCACGGTGAGGAGTACTGGAGCACGTACCGCTGGCAGCTCGAGGTCTTCGTCGACAGGCTCCGCGGGCGCAAGCCTGCGCACTGGGTCACGAACCAGAGCTCTATCGACCAGGTGCGCATTTTTCTAGCCTGTGTTTCTGCGGACGATGGCGGACTGACGATTGTGGCGACTGTAGATGAAGTCGATCGATATGGTGTATCAGGCGGCGGGGCTGCCTCTGCGGCCCGCGACGAGGGATGTGGTCAAGCAGTGATGATGTCGATTCTGAAAATACAAAGTAACGTACATGTACGATTAGTTGTCAATAGTTACAGCTTCACTGCCTACGTGGTCGCGTTGACCGGGGCGAAGCCATCCTGTAAAAGCAGTAGACCTATAGCATACACTTGTAGTAGTGGATACCGCAGTAGCTGAGTACCTCGCGGCGCCGTTGATATCCAATGCATTCAGCGATGATTGACTCTCCTCTGCACCCTAAGCCTTCAATCCATTGTGTACGCCGGAGGTAGGTCGACAAGACTTCGCCGTGAGTCGAAGTCCGGGTTGAAGCGTAGACCAGAGTCGACGTGCCGGGTGAAAGACGTCCGGAAATCTAGTGAGCTTATGTCTGTCTGGAAGCTAGGCGGAGGGGAGACGGAGGCACGTCGTCCATGCGGAGCGGGAGCTCTCCCTACGCTGCGCAGCGGGCCCCGCGAATCGTCCACTTGGGTAGTGAGCACTGTGGCATCCGCGTCATAATCATCGACTTCGGTGTCATGATCCTCAGGAGCGACACTGACTCGGACGCCTTCGAGCTCCTCTTCTATATCGTTCTCCGTAACGGGAGACGGGGCCCGATTCGTATCCGCTAGTAGTGATCGAGCCTTGGTATACGGCACTGCGTGTACCCGTCAAATCAGGACCACGCGCAAAGCGAAAAGACTGTCACGCACCGATTCTGTACGGTACAAACACGCCCGAGTCATCCGCTGCATCTCCGAGCACTGCTCGTTTCCGTCTCCGGCGCCAGCACCACAGCGAGAATCCGAGGACTAGGATGCATAGACTTCCCAGTGCGAGTGCGGCTGCTATCCGGAGAGTGTTGCGATTTGGCGTGGCGGGCTTTGGTTCGATTGAGGTGCCTGACTGCGACGGTGCAAAAGTGGTGCGGGTACCGGTAGAGCTGGACGTCTGTCTTGACAGCGGCGAGGAGACGGTTGGTATAGTTACACTGCGGACGTGAAACCGTAATCATTATCAGCTCGTGGCGAGTAGATTTCTATATTACGTACCGTTGCAGCGAGGTGGCTGTTATCACCTCTCCAGACGCGGACACAGTCTCGGTAACGCTGGAGAAGACTTTTGCGGTACTATACACGGTATGACCGCTGAGGTAAGAATCGTACACCACGACGGATTCGTTGATTATTGTCTCGACACTGGCCGACTGGGCGCTGGAGGAAGCTTGAGAAGGCGCGGAGGGAACACGGGCGAAGGAGGTAGTGCTGGTAGCGGAGAGAGTACCAGCTGTGGAGGCAGTGCCGGTGATGGGACCAGCGTTGTCAACGTTGGTAGGAGACTTGGAAACACTGGTGGCTGAGGTAGTGCTGATGACAGAGGAAGCGCGGGATAGAGACTCTGCGGGTGTGTCGGCGGCGGAGAGGCGAGCTTGTTGCCCGGAGGCAGCAGCAGCAACCTCAGAGGAAGTCGCACAGGCTGGAGAGGACCGTGCTACTGGCGATTTGCGACGAGCCAGACAAATGGGTAGCAGCAACAATAGAGCTGCTACTGTGACTAAGAACGGAGTTCGTCGCAGGAGCTGCTGAGACAGCATTCGCCATTGCAATGTGCTCGTCCCGTTACCACAATGAGGCTGCCAGTGGACGGTCAGAATTTGAGGATCAAGGTACGCTGGTCGATGAAATACCTGCTGCAGACTACTATGTACCAAAGTGCGGGACAACGTGTGGCTTGTAGTAGACCACTGGCAGTCACATGCACGTGTGCAAGAATTCGGAGGCGTATCTTGCTGGCATGAGGGGCGGGCGGCGACCACAGAGGACAACGACAAAAGATAGTTGAAGCCGCAAGAGGTCAATGGCGCGACTTTAATCTCTGATCAACACCGGTGAGCTCAGCTTGTTGTCATCATACAGCGTCTCAGCCGTCGCATGGTGGTCGCAGTATACCAGTGGCCTGCGTATGGGAACAGTGGGCACGCGAAGATAATATCCCTCCACGGTGTGCTTCCATTCCAGATGCAAGTGGCCGTTGCATTTTTTCTCTTTCATGTGGCCTGCCAAGGCCGAAAACACAAGACTCACGGTGGAGCTCCGGATGATGACTCTTGAGGACACTAATAATCTGCCAGTCGCGCAATGGAAGACTATTCACTTGGGAACAAGGAGGTGGATGAGTGCTGACTGTGCCGGAGTACAGTTCAAGAGGGACTTACCGGTACTGGCGCAATTCACATAACGCAATGACAGTGCACCTTCATTGGTGCTTGCCGGAGGTAAGTGTCCGCCTCGGTCAGATCCTACATGTGTCCTGCCAATACCGCCTGAGGGACGCATGCTGGGATCGTCGAAGCGTCGATAAGAGTGGCAAAGTGGTGTCCTCTGCTGCGATTAATGCCGCAAAATGAAGTGAAACGGTGTCCTAGTCTTCCATTCATCTCCGAGGCAGGCTCGTCGCGCGATAGCACTCGATTCGTGTACCATATTACCACGGATAACTGTTGTCAATAGTGATCACTGCCTCGACGTAACGCCAAAGGATATGCCAAGTTGTATATGCAATCATCGACATACTACTTACTGTATGAAGTTTGCGGGTACGTCGTCGGTAGCAGTGAACACGATTATTCCGGCCGCCGCCGCAGTCATGCTGCGACTGCCAGTGAGTGGAGGTTTGTACCAAGGAAATACAGGATTTCTACGGATATGTCGATTTCGGTTCGGATTGTGGAGGAGGCTAGCGCAGACGGGCAGTGCAATGAATCTCTGGTACATTCCTGTTCAGTTCCTGTTGAAACTGTGACGTTGCCAAAGGAAGGCCTGCGACCAGCGGACCGGGATCACAGGCATAGGCAGGGTGGCTGAGATCTGATATCGCTGCCCGATACGATGAGGGCTTGTCCACGTGATTCACTGTCCGGTCGCGTCCTTGAATTTGAATTTGAAAGGCCTTGAGTCAAAGCTTCACTAATGGCTTCACTCCTTGAAGTCTTTCGACGAGGAGACTTCCATCATACATTTCACTCCGCTGGAGCGATGCTCAATCCTCCGCATGATGACCTTCCTGGTCGGTTCTCAACGGCTAAGAAAGTGAAGGTGAGGGACCAAGGCTGGTCACGGCTCTTAGGGCCTAGATCAGGGGCCGCCCAAGTTCCACAGTGACACAGGACGGTGACTGGACCCCCGCGAATAGTGAGTATGCTTGAGTTATGCCTCTTATCATAACGTGAGCTTGGTGAGCTTGTGCTGTGCTTTAGGTTGTGGACGAGGACTGTGGAACATCCATCTCGCGTCCATCTCGACCCTACACAAAGGCGGCAGCAGCGTCACGTCATAACTGCCCATCTCTCCATGCCTCGCATATGAACGCACTTCGCTTCCATTTTCAGCTGTTCCTGAGGTATATTTCGTTGCCTCATTGATCACTACGTCGCTGGTAAGTAAGCCTTGCTGACAGAATATACGCGTGGATCGTCTTGAGCTGACCAGCCCAAAACAGGTACTACAAGCCGCGCATTGTAGGATTTGTCTCCGCTTCTACAGTTCCTAGATGCGTTCAGAGACGTTTGACATACCGTGGAAACCGTTTACTGCGCACTGAGCGTGCTTCTCCACTCCACTGAGTCTTCTTTCTCCGATGAAGATAGACTTTCACCTATCCCGTTGGCTGGAACATAGGTACACTGACATCGCGGGAGCAGGGGTGCCCTCACCCTCCGTCCACGCTCTCCCGCATCCGCTTCTCCTCCTCCTGCCGGCTCGGCAGTGATGCAAACACCTAATCATGTCCGAGTCGAAATCCTTTAACGCGAGTTTTATAAGATCATGTCGCACGAAGCGCCGGTACACGAGAAGTAATCTGGTGAGTTTCCAATTGCCTCCGCATCTTAGGCGTCACTGATGAACTGGGATGAGCCTCTCTTTCCCTCAGAATCTACGTGCATCCGCGATTCATAGGACACGAATTCACGTCAGACATCAATAGTTCCTAGGCCTGCGTGCTTGTGCCATGAGGGTGATCGTCATCGAGCGAGGCCTTGACGGGATGCTACGCCGAGCGTCACAACGCCAACACGTCAAAGCGCTCACTTATCTGGCGGTTCACGCGACTCATCAACTCCAACAGCGTACTTCTATCTTGTTCAGCCAGGGAATAGCATTGGGGAATGGAAGAGTGCAATGGGAACCCTATTCGACAACCATAAAGGTAGGCACTCGAGTCGCATGTCGGCAGGCAGTCCTGTACCGCACTGACTACCATGAGCGCAACGGCGTACCTCAAGCGACTTGTTCGCAAGCTGGAAGTCAAGCAAGTTGAGTCAGACGGAGAGTTGTCGTATTCCGAAGGGTTTTTGAAGGTGATTACAATACCCCCAGTTGTGAATGCATCTGACGCTCCTTCTCGATCACAGAATGAGGATCTCTATCCTGTCCCGCCCGAGCGACGAACTTGGGCCATGTTGAACTATGTTTCATTGTAAGCCTGCCTTCTCTGCTCGCGATACATTGCTTAATCTTTGTATTCAGCTGGGTCACTGACGGTTTCAATATGAATACGTATGTAGCGTAACCCGAAGCCGTGACCCAACTCACCATAAGCCCAGATGGGAGATTGCTGCTTCCATGATCGACTCCGGTCTATCTTGGTGGCAGGCCTGGCTTTGCGTTTGGTTGGGATTCGGCGTGGCTGCACCATTTGTTGTGCTCAACGCTCGTCCGGGGGCGATCTTCCATATCACCTTCCCCGTGGTTTCTCGCGCTAGCTTCGGTATCTGGGGGAGCCTCTGGTGCGTCTTCAACCGAGCGGCGATGGCGTGGTGAGTTTTCCAACACATCACACTCGCGGATAGGCACTGACGACTGTCATGCCTGCAGCATTTGGTATGGCGTACAGGCAAGCCTGGGTGGATCGTGCGTGCTCGTCATGTTGCGAGCGATTTGGCCGAGCATCGAAAACATCCGTACGCAATCCTATCACCATTCTTGTCCGCGTCCTGTCTCAACGACTCGCAGCGAATTCGATGCCGGCCTCGTCTGGCACGAACACGCGGGACTTCATGTGTTTCTTCCTCTTCTGGCTCATCTCCCTGCCGGCGATCTGGCTGCCCCTCCACAAAGTCCGGCATCTCTTCACCGTCAAGGCCATCATCGTCCCGATTGCTGCCGTTACCTTCTTCATATGGTGTATCGTCAAGGCGCATGGCGTCGGCCCGATCGTGCGGCAGCCGGGAACACTGCACGGCTCGACTCTGGCGTGGACGATGATCTCGAGCATGATGTCGTGCATTAGTAATATGTCGACGCTCATAACGTATGCATGGTCCCCCGCTTTCTCAGTTATATGGGAAGATGCTCATGTGTATCTATTCAGGAATGCCCCGGATTTTGCGTCGAGGGCACGAAGGCCGCGGGATGCTTTGTGGCCCCAGCTCATATCCATTCCCATCGGCTTTGGTATTGTCTGTTTCCTCGGCCTCATCGTCAGCTCGTCGTCTCAGACGATATACGGTGAAGCCATCTGGTCGCCAGTGACTTTACTTGGAATGTTCCTCGATAATGATCCGTCACATGCAACTCGGTTTGCGGTACGTTGTGTTCGCCGCCTGCCCTCCGCGTCGTCTAACAATGACTTCGGTATAGGTATGGTTCATCTCCGCTGCGTTCATTATCGCACAGGTTCGGGTTGTCATCGTGTCGGAGTGTACAAGCCTGATGCTTCTTATCTGTATTCCGATCCATCTTTTAGCTTGGGTGAGTGTCGATGAATTCTATGAGCCACATTACAGTGCTCATGTAAGAATTCAGCACAAACATCGCCGCGAACTCGATTAGCGCTGGCTGTGATTTGACCGCCCTGTTTCCGCGCTTCATCGTAAGTAGCTTACCTTTTGCGTTGACCATAACTTCTGAACCTGTGTGCAGAATATCCGTCGCGGAGGCTACATCGCTGCGATAGTCGGATTGTGCATGCTCCCATGGAACCTTCTGAAGAGTAGCAGCAACTTCACCACGTATCTTTCCGCGTACTCCGTGTTCCTGAGCTCAATCGCAGGAGTGATGGTGAGTACTGGTCTTCTTTCGCGCGTTGTGCGGCTTTCTCAACTCGCGCTTAGGTCACAGATTACTACCTTATACATAAGGGGCACTACCGTATCAACGACCTCTACCGCACCGATAAAGGTGGCTGGTACAGTTACACGTATGGGATCAACCTACGGTGAGCATCGGACAACCTCTCGATCTGCTCCTTGTGGTGCTGACTTCACCGCACAGAGCATACGCTGCGTATGTCTCGGGCATAGTCATCAATGTCGTAGGTTTTGCTGGCGCCAGTACGTTGTCTTGAGCTTCGCTCTGTCTTCATACTCACGCTGTCATTCTGCAGCTGGCCGACCAGTGCCGAAGGCCGCCATCCATATCTATGACCTATCGTTCTTCACCGGTTTCGCTGTATCGGCGACTATCTATTGGGTACTCAATCGAATCTTCCCCGCGGCCGGTGCGGCGAAGACATTCCAGGAAGTCGACCATTCGGGTATGATAGCCCGCATCGAGGGCATACACGAGCCCGAGGAGCCGGAGAAGACGCAAAGTGCGGATGAAACGGAGAGCGATTCGAAGGATGGCATCTCGGAGATCGTTCTAGCAGTCTGAAGACACATTCGCTTAGAAGAGTCCACGTAACCTTGGCCGAGTACTGTGAGATTCCAATCATGAGTGTCAATGTACAAGTTCCTGCTAATGCTTCACTCGAACTACAGAGAGCCCGTGTTACAGAGTATTCCGTGAATAGAATGGCAGTCATTGCGGACACAGATGCAGGCGCATGCGGCGACAAGGAAACTTCTTCCACTTGCCACGAGCATCATGAACATGGGATACGAAGTACGTCCTCGAGCCGCTACGTGGATACACGGCTCTGGTGCTCGCGTACAACTTGAAGGTAGGCTACGCCGGGCTCTATTTAGAACTTCTGTTGCCGTTTGTATACACTGACTCAGGTCAAGCTCACGGTAAACAGGGCGTCGCGTCTCACTCACTCCCTCCCAGGACTTTGCGGCAAATACCCCGCGAAGTGATAGAACAGATCATTGCCGATCTGTGAGGCTACTGTGGAACCCTGCTGAACTGCGCCTTGACCCACAGCTCATGGTATCCACGAGCCAGAACAGTCATGTATACGGCGATCTACCTACGGGACCGTACAGCACATGACGTTTCTCGGAGACTCCAATTCAACGTTGAGACGCAAGTTCTACTCTGGCGCACGGAGGAACTGGAGTTCGATGAATGGGTGCGCCGACCTTATGTGGATGAGGCGCTGGTGACGCTCGCAGGCGTTGCTCTTCCGCCCCTCCGCTCGTCGGTACTGGGCAGAAATGTTGCTGCAGTGGCCTGCATCCCTCTCAACATGTCCGGGTTGTTGTCCAGGAGGTTGTAGCCGCCAAGCTTCAAGACTCTAGTCTTGACTCGATGTGCGTTACGCACCCTCCACGACTTCATTCGCTTCGTTTCCGCGTTTCTACAGCTAGTGACTACTGGTACGTGTCAGCGAACGTGATATTGGTATACCAAACTGACCTACTCCGGATACTCGCAGGGTGAAGCAAGTCTAAAGGCGACGAGGACGTGAGGCTTGGGATGAGTCAGCGTCAGAGGGGGTTACACCAGTGTCACGATGCAATTGACAGCGGCACACATCTTCCTTTGTCGCGCTGTTTTGATTTCTGGAGAGCTGCCTTGCAGTACGAGCGCTGCATCACCCTGCCTGGCACCGTGACGGTGGATCGGCGCGCAGCACGTCTCAACCCTGTTACAGATCGACAATCAAGTCGTCAGCTCAGATACTTACTGCAACGTGAACAGCCGAGTTTTATTGAAGTTGATGGGTAGCTGAACGCATGTTAGAGTGTACCTGTTCAAGAAGTCGACTGCCAACCAGTGAGAGCCTAGAGGACATGGGTCGCAGAACGGTCGACGACATACGCGATCACGTGCACGTGTGCGCCAGCGCATCGACTCCGAACTCGAACTTTCTTTCACAGCGAAACTCGTCAACTCTGGACTCCACCCGTACATCGAGTAAGTATGTAGCGTTTGCATCGACTCCAACTACAGTAACGTTTGGTCTTATTCTCCCTCACTAGACAGCAGCGTTGCCTTGACAATGAGTTCGTCGTCGTCTGGTGCAGACACAAAAACCTCACAATCCAGCCGGAAACGACCTCGCACAGAGCCTGACTCTGTCGATGATGCGAACGAATCGTTCCGCCGCGACGAAACGTACTGGTATGACGATGGCAACATTATTTTCGTCGCGCAGAACGTCGGCTTCCGCGTCTACAAGGGCATACTCGCAGCCAAGTGTGAAGTCTTCCGCAATATGTTCAGTCTACCTCAGCCTGCCCAAGACTCAGGACCGGGCGGGTCGCGTGACACCGTCTTGTATGGTTGCCCGGTCGTCCACGTCACCGATACGGCGGGCGAGTTTCGCATGCTACTCGACAGCCTGCTCAACGGCATGGAGTAAGTGCAATTAAGTATTCAGGTTGCTATGTACTGATGCCGTGGTTTCTTGCCACCGCGTCCTCAGGATTATACGAGGCGGAGGATGCCGCTTCGACGATGTTGCAAACGCCGTCCGAGTCGCACACAAGTATGATGTCAGGCAGCTTTACGCGGACTCTATGAAGAGATTGCAAGAATGCTACCCAACTAAGCTCAATGATTGGGACGACCTCGGAAGCTTCTCGCCACTGCGGTTTGGTTCCACGGACGACGAGGACGAGGTGGACGCCCGTGGGACGCAAGCAATCGTCGCTGTCACATTGGCGCGCCTTACCGAGACACATTCGCTGCTGCCAGCAGCGCTGTACGAGTGCTGCCAGCTAGACAGCAGAGTGTTAATCAAGGGTCGCATCCGCCCAGATGGGACGGCGATTACCTTGAGCCCGGAGGACCTCGCGCAGTGCATTGACGCGAAGGCAAATCTTTGCTCTCGTGTTTCGGAGGTTGACTATCAGCTTTTTGATATCACTCCCTCCGCAGCGTCCGCAGCGTCCCATCCCAGATGTGACGACATATTTAAACAAGTATGTGACCGAGCTTTCGTCGAGGTCAACGGGGCCCGTGGCAGATGTGATGTGTTGCGGCGACGGAAATCTATGATTACTCAGCTAGTCCACGACATGGGGCTCTGCAGATTGTGTCTTATGCTCCTCCGCGGAAGAAGTGCTCGTTTGCGCGGGGAGTCCTGGGGGCTGCTGCCAAAACTAGTTGGAGTAGATGACTTGCCGAACTGGGGTGAGGGCCATTGAGAAAAGTCGTGTAAAGGTTAGTCTCACCGTAGTCACTGCTGCTCTGTATCTCTCACAAGTTGGGCTTTATTCAGGATGCTGTAACTAGAGATGAGTGACTGTGGCGTGCGTGGCTTAGGCCGCTAGGTGGAAACGCGCCGGAAATACTAGTCAATGATTCTATGCGGTCTTTGCGATATCGTTATACCCTCACCAACAGCTTCGATGCTTATGTATCATTGGTACAGAGATGGTTATGATAAGGTCACCTGAATACGCTGTCCGCCGCATGCAGTCAGTAATCGACCTGGACGCAGCCAAGACGCGGCAAATGCGATGGACATTGGGCGAACGCGCGCTGCACTTGTATGGCACGTGACCGCGTGTTCATGGCGACCTCGCGCGACGGGTGCGATGTCTTGCTTGCAGCTTGTCTCCAGCCTCTGTTGCTGCCGCCCACTCCCTGGTCAGAACTCGAATCCAGTCCTCATAATTTTTGTCCTTCCTTTTACACACCCTCCTTCAGGTCGCCTCAAAAGATCCCATCTCCGTATCGGCTCCACTGGCTTTGGACTGCACTATCTATTCCGGTATCTCTGACGGATTTCATCCTCGACCATCATGTTCTCGTTCGCGGCTGCGGCTCTCCTCGTCTTCGTGGCCTGTCTAACAACGGCTTCAGCGAGTATCTACGTGAGCGAACATGTCATATAGCGCTCGGGGCATACTGCCAACGACTCAGTTCTATGCTACCTAGGTCAACAACCCTACATCGACCGCAGTATGCTACGGCGGGCAGCCATGCACTGTGACGTGGTTGGACGACGGTCAGACACCGCTGTTGAGCGAGATTGGGGCATGTTATGTGGGATTGTACAACGGCAACAGGGTACGTGCTCTTTCCTCTGCACTCGGATCAGGGAGAACTCTCTGTTCGAAATGCGACCGTGTATGTCAATGCTACGCCCTGGGGGAATGCCGTTGGGCCTTCGTCTCCGTTGGTCTGGACTGAAAGGACGAAGGAAACGCTGCGGATGTGCGGATGCACTGCCATCTCTGATGGTTGTACGCAGCGGCGATGGACGGCGCGGTGACCGATGAGCTTCCCATCGCATAACTGCACGGTTCCATGATAGATCTCGGATGGCCCATCGTGCTGAGAACGGCCTAACGTGTGCGCAGAAACGTTCTCTAAAGCACCCCAGAACCCTGTGATGTATGCCGTGTTCCAACTTCCCCTGTACTGTGATGTTAGGTACAAACGCGGTCTCCGAATGGTCGAATCGCGGCTCTGTTCGGTTAGTGGTGGATATGAACCTGCCGGCGTCATGGCGCGATGTTATCATCCTTCAGACAAGGCTCTATAGATATGGATATAGCTGCCCTAGGCACGTTAAAGTGCCAACCCGAGCGTTCGAACTTTCCGTGATGCTCTCACAATAACCGCATCTGTACTCATATTGTACGACTTTCTAGGACCTCATTCAGCAAATAGACCCCGTGAATGTCGCTAGCCAGCACTCGTTCACGTTCACAGTGAGTGACACCCGATACCTCTACTTGCGCGACGATTGATTGAGCTACGCATACACAGCCTGATGCCACTGCTGGGCCTGACTCTAGCAGCTAGTACGTCATAATCGTCCCTTATGAGCGTGACGCGGACTGGACTCAAATGTGCTTGCATAGCTATGTCAACTTCACGTCAGTAGAGCTCATGGTCAATTCCACATCACACTATGCCCAATACTCGGCAGACTTCACGTAGGCCTACTTATCATTGTGCCTTTCGCCTATCTAACCACCGTCTTCTGTAGCCTCGCGAACATGAGTGGAGACCTCGCATCGCCCGTTGCAAGCGATACCGCTGCCATCGCGGTGCCCTCGAGCATCCTCAGCCTGTCATCCAATCCTATCGGGTCGACATCGACGATCACATACTCGTATACTGGGTCGTACAGCAGCCTCGCTGTGCCCTCAATATCCACGAGCACCGGAGCAACCTCGCGACTGTCCACTTCGCGTACGCCGAGCTCGACGTCCGCATCATCATCCTCAAGCGCAACCTCCGCGTCGTCCGCAGCATCATTGCGACACGTACCCTCCTGCGGCGTCTCCGCAGCGTTTGCGCTTGCGGCGAGCGTGCTTCTCTCCGTTATCTATATCTAGCACGGGCGTGCTGGGGTTTTGTTTTGTCCCTTGGCGGCTCCACGCGACACACCCTGCTATGCTGCGCTCCCGTTCCCTTTGCTCCGTCGGCCGACCTACGGGTCCTCACTCTGTACGCGCACCCCGCCTCCCACCCACCTCCCGACCATCATCGCTATCGCCGACCCCAAACGTCGGCACAGACTTTTTGCATTACCTCGGACACCTCGATTCGCAGCAATCGCACTTTGTATTCGGTAGAATAGTACATAGATGCCCCGCGCTGCGGGCAGCGATACCTTCTTCTGCACATACCCCGGTCTGAAGCTATGATATGCCCATATGCGATCTGACCTCTCCTCACGTTCAGAACCATGCCCTCCTGAGTGACGGGAAGACTTGGAGCAACAAACCGGTAACAAACTGCGCCGAGTTGCCTTCGTCACGATCGACGGTGTGTATCTCCGTGGTGCGTGATCCTCAGAATCCCAACACTGTGCCACCCCAATTTCCTGATACCTGCTTCTGTTTCCCGCTGCAGGTGTGAGATCTCCGCTTGCGGGATAGCATGAGAGATGTACCGATGCGAGACGTGTCGTATTCTGGCAGTGTCACTTGCAAATTCGAGCGTCAGGCTTTATGAGGCGTAGCAGCCCGGCGTATGCCTTGCTGTCGCGGAGAATCCTGGTAAACAACAACGTTTGTGCACGGTCTCTCCACGTTCATTGAACCAGAGAGCTTGCAGCCAGTGCCGCGTGATTGTCGTGAAGGCAATCGAAGACCTCGTCCGTGAACTCCTGCGGCAGCACGGCGTTGGCGGCGGTGTCCGTTTCGAGGGGGAACCATAGGCTCATCCACGCGGAGGACCAACGTTGTCAACAGTTTGTCAAAGAGTCCGGCATAGTACATATGCAGTGACCAATGCAATTGGTGGCAGCGTACATCTGCCCACTTGTTTGTTTGTTCCGTCCCTTTAGGGTCACTGAGGGCGTAGCCCTATGTAGACCTAGTGACATCCGGAAATCGTCTGTCCTGCCCTTCCCCTATCTCTCCTTCCCTGTGCATGTCTGATCTGCCCACTGAGGAGTCAGTGCAGCAATCTGGACCCAGTCAGACTGGCACTATCAGCTTATACTAAAATGCATCTGATCGACATGGTATGGACAATCCTCGATTGGTACACAAATCCGCTCAATTTTGGCCCAGCACGCTGCCACTCATTCTAATATCCCGTCCGCCGCTAGCATCAGTTCCGCTGCCTTCGCGGATCTAGGGCGGATATCACATGCGAATGGTTTTGGGTGTCTGTGACGGCAGTGAGTGCCCTTCAGCTTCGCCTCAATGTGTACTCACTTTACTACTCCACTTGTGAATGATGGCACAAGAGGGATCTCCTGCCCATCCCGCGTTCTGGGTGTGCATACATCGAACACGGCAATGATGTTGGCCGCTGCAAGGAAGATACTCGAGTCAGCAAGGAGGCGTCCGGGGCAGAGGCTGTACAACCGAGCGGGGCTCCATCCGTGAGTATCGATGCGCTTTGGATGGCTCGAGATCTACCGACCGTCTACCGAACCCGAACACGATCCTGCGTGGATCCGTTTCCTCGGATTTGGCCTCGCTCAGCCCCGTGAAGCGTTCGGGATCGAACGTATCGGGATCTGCATATAGCTCCTCATCGCGTAACATCGCCCTTCGCATGCCATGCATCAGCACGATTACTTTCACGCTCAAGTGCTCTTGCGGAGGACTGCTTACCAGATGTTCGTAAACACCATAGATTCTATGGGCATCTTGTACCCTTCATAAATGTCTTCTTCCGTCAGCTGGTGGGGAATACCTGGTAGTCCACCCGTCATCACACAAGTTCATATGCTGTCGCAAGATCGGCTTACCTAACGGAACCGGCGCGAGCCAGCTTTCAGATAGTAAGTACCATGCTACACGAGTCGTCGATCGATGTCCATGAGTGACTGAACATACCGGTACACTTCCTTCAAAACGGCCTCTAGATATGGAAGTGCTGGCCGGTCGCTGAAGTTTGGAAGACGGGAGTCGCCGATCGCACTGTCAAGCTCCCTCTGAGCTTTCTGCAACACTTCCGGATGGATGACCATCATGAGGATGAACGTCGTGAGCACCGTCGTTGTCTTCGTTGGTCATTGAGCAAGCCGTGAAGCAACACCTTGTATGACAGCGCACGTACCGTATCCGTACCCGCTAGTGCAATCGTTCGCTGAGCAACGACGTACATGCGCGCCTTGAATCTCCACGTACCAGCGTACATGACCCCCAGCACAGACCGGATCTCCCTCTCCTCAGCTTCATCGAGCGTCCCTGTATTTTTCGCCTCTTCCAGCAGCACAGTGGCAACAGATGGTCGGGCCGTGCCTTCTGCCTACGAGTATATCACTCTGCCATTCCACGCCGCTCACCACTACATCGGCGACTCACCATCTCGCGCTTCACACGCTCCAACGGGATGCTCTCCATGTCCCTGATGAGGTGTCGCGCACGGAGACCCCTACGCTTCATCTCCATGCCGGGCATCCACGACGGCAAGTACTTCACTGCACGCAACCGTATGACAAACATGGTGAGTCCGCATCCGTGTGCTCGCGCGGGCCAAGAAAAGTTGTATGACGCACTGATTGGGATAAAGTCCACGAGCATAGTAGACGGCCCGCCCGACTCCGTGATAATCTGCAACGCATCCTCCACCATCGCGAGAAAATCGTCGTCCATCGAGGACAGCGAGTACCCATACGCCACGCCGAGCATCAGCGCCGCGACATACCTGTAAACCCAATGCAAACTCCATGTCAGAAACATCTCCGGGTCACGCTCGTCCTGACCGAATACTCGACGCACCGTTTGACGTGCCTCACCGCCCCTTCCGGCTCGCGCAGCAGGTCCAGCAGGAGGTTCTGCACTTCGGCGTACTGCAGCGGCTCGTAGGCATTCAGGGCGTTCCGCGCCTGCAGTGCAGTCTGGAACCACCGGCGGTGGCGCCGCCACTGGTCCGTGTAGGGCATGTTCACCAGTTGAGTCCACCCCACGCTGAACACGGTACAGGTTGCATGTGACGCAATGTATGATCGGCGCACTTCAGCACGGTCAGAGCATCCACGGAGGAGGCAGCGGCGCACATATCTGTCACGAACGTCGTATGTGGTCTCCCCGAGTACTTCGCGCCGCGCTTCTCGAGCAGCGTACGCGCGGTAGAAGCGCGATTGAGGATGAGTGTGGCTTTGTTCAAGACGCGTGCGTAGACGACTTCACCTGCCATACAAATCGGTGTCACTGATTATGAGCTTCCGGCCGGAACTGACGTTTACTGCGTACCGTAGCGCTTTCCCCACTGCGCGAACCTGTGTTCTTGGTGGGACGTCGGCAGTTGGTGGAGGTTCCCGATGATCGGAAGAGCGGGCGGTCCTGGCGGAAGACAACGGCGGGCCAGTTTGGAGCGCAAGTAGTTGGCAGCTATGAACATACATACGAATGCAGCTGCACCGAGTTGCAAGGAGAACATCGCAGACTGTGCGTGCACTGGCAGTAAATTCATGGGTATCACCTGATCTGTCATGATGGACTTAGCGAGGGGAGGGACGATAGGTAGTGTCAGTCTCCGAGTTGATTGTCGTTGAGATCACCTTTATGAGTGGGAGCGATGTCGCTGTGCGGGAGAAGCAGCGTTCAAGGATCTCCGTTCTGCGAATTGCACCCTCCTCTCACACGGAAATAGAAACCAAGGTTCTTCGTGATCCGCCATACTAGGCAAAGAATCCACCGTGAGTAGCAAGTGAACCGTTATCCGGTGCATCCTCACGACCATGGCACTCCTGGGAGAGGAGAAGACACCGTGACATAAGACGCGTAGCGTACAAGTCCGACTATGATTCCGCGAAGGAAGGTGTCAGAATTGAGCGGAGCTACTGCGACGTACGGCTAGTTCAAGTATCGCGGCCTCAGTGCAAGGCTAATGACGTTAGTCATTATCCAACCTTGTCCCGGCTGCGAGTGCTACCTTACTGAAGATTGACCCACTACTAAAGAATGCCTGGCGGGAATCCTTTCCGACCAGCATTTGGACCGGTGGCTTGATATCAATGATGCTGGCGGCCGCAAGGAATAGTACATAGCAGACCTGTATAGGACTATGTTCGGTGAATCCGGTATCTAGATGTGGTACAAAGCTTACCGGTATACATGCCGTCGCTGAGAGTGCTTGACGGAGGCTTGTAGGGTAGACAACAGGTATGAGTCGCCAGTGTTAGTACGTAGGTATTGGTTCGGCGTACTGGTCGCGTGGTGACGTGGGACGCCCCATAAAATGGAGGACCGGTTGTGCGGCTGTTGCATGCTGTACACACACATCCCCATTGAATTGCCTAAGGCTACAGCCTCAACAGTCTGTGTTTCTACGAGAAAGAACACCGAATAACGCTGTTGACGTCTTACTGATAAGTAAGTATGGGTTAGGATCGCGTTGATTTCGTTTCACCAATGATTCCGAACGTACCACCAATCATACAAGCGAGGTTATTGTTTCTATGTAACTGTTGGAGGAGGAGACACATCATAGAAAATAGTACGCCATGACTCTGGAATTACCTGAGCCTCCTCCTCCTCCTCTTCCTCCTCCTCCTAACTTAAGGCGGCGAGTGTGACATCAATCACGTGCCGTGACGTCCCGCGAATGCACTGGCAGCTGAGCGCGCGCGATTCAGCTCTTTGTCCTCTGCTCGCTCATCTTCTACTTTCGCCATCGAGTTAATTCTACTACACATTCTCTGCTGCGGAAGGGACATACGACACTGGAAAGAGGAGTTTGGACCGAGAGCAGACTAGACACCAACGATCGTCACGGTCCTAGCGCTTTGAGTGGGACGCTGAGGCCGAGGGATGTTCCGCAGATGACTGCGAATCAGAGCCGCGTAATGGAACTGGAAGAAAAGGTGCGTTTGCAACCAGTAATTGGGAGTGCGTAGAGCGAGTCTATCTTTGAGAGCTCGAAAGTACCTTTGCCTTTCCTTGTGTGCTCTTCCCTTTTACACGCCCTTCATCCCTTCGTATAACGTGCCCTCACACTAGACATATCCTCAGATCAGGAAATTCGGTTACGTCAACGATGATCTTCGCAGCCAACTTTTCACGGTATCCCAGCGACCCAACCATCTCGCGGAAAGCATGGGGTTCAGCACTGCTGAGGAACTACAAGCTGCCATTGCCCGACGACCGCACGCATTCAACAAGAAATCGATAGAGGAGGCGGGTCGTATCATTGATGAGCTCGAGGCACGGGTTGTCGACCACATCCGTATCGAGAAGGCCGCTCAAGAAGGACTGGCGGATGCTGCACAGGAGATTGATCGAATGACCGGGGAGAACTCCCGGCTACTTCGGCATCTGGAGGAGGTGATTCAGGAGAAGGACGAACTGGCGAAACACGTGGAGGAGCTCGAACGCGAGTCGGGGAGACGACATCCACAAGGTGTGTATAACACAGGACTTCCGACTCCGGCAACTACTACAAAGAAGCGGTAGGGTTGTTTGATTTTTCAGAATGAGCGCATCACTCAATCTGCCGCCCAGCACACTGCCCTCCGCGGACGCCACTCCACACAATGCAGCGAGCTCGACGCCGCACAGGCCTGAAGCGGCGCCCGGGATGCTCACGGTGACGCCTGCTACGCCGAGTCTGCCCCCTCTCACGCTCTCCGCCGACACCCAGACAGACACGACGATCCTCCGCGCAGAACTACGCGCTCTACACGCACAGTACGAGGCCCTGCGCCTGGTGAAGGACCGCGCGGAGAATAAGTACCGTGAGGACTATCTGAAGTGGCGCGGCTTCAAGCGGTGGATGTTCGACGAGAGCAAGGCGACACTCTCGGACGTCATGGTCGACGGTCGCACGCCGAACCTCAAGCACGTCGTGAAGGTCCGGAAGCGATACATGAAGACGGGTCCGCAGACGGACTCGCCTGGGCTCGGGACGGAGGACGCGCGGGCGGAGGAAGTGCGTGAGGCGGTGAAGAACAACGCGGAAGTAAGGGAGATGGTCGCGGCGCTGCCTGATGAGTTTGAGCAGGGGATGTCGACGGCACCGCAGAGCTCGCTTACGGCGCGGTTGTTGGAGGCGAGGCGTCCACATCCACCAGATACTCCGCCTGTGCAAGATTTGTCAGTGTCGCCGAAGCGAGGCGGAGGCGAGTCTGTTGCGTCCACCTCCGTTTCGCAAGGAAAGAAACGGGCTATTGAAGAGACGACGGAAACCATCGTGTCCGCCGCTGTTAGCTCTCCGCTGACACCTCGGAGGAAACGACAAAGGTACGACGACTCGTCAGAGACCGAAGAGGAATCTCAGGGTGAGTATCATGTACACACCATCCATCTCCATCCGCTTACTATTATCAATGCCTAGCGCTTCCACCGGTGCTGGGTACGCAGCCCGGGGTACACCGTCTTGTGCCCATGCCGGATGGAACGTACGTCCGCCGGGGTTACGGACCGTACCCAACAGACGCAGCACAGAACACGAGCGCTGCTGTCCCTCAGTCACCGGCCACCCCACGTAAGCCCAGTACGCCGGGCTCGCGTCGGTCCAAGCGAAGTTCAACGAGGTCCTCACCTTCGTCGCGCAACTCGACGCCGCGCAAGCGCAAGGAGCGCTTGTTGGGAACGCCGACGAGGAGGACGCCCGGGACGCGGGAACGCTTAGGCAAGGAGAACCCCAGCACGTCAAAGGGGCGCCCGCAGGACTATTCCGAGTACAAGGGCCGCGGGCGGTATGCAGTTAGTGCCAGGTGAATAGTTTGTTGATGCATTCTGCATTTGTGCTTATCGGTTGGTTCGTAGGCCTGATGAGGATTCTATCAACGCCCAGTACGAGATCGATGCAGCCCGAAACAACGGGGTGGGCCATCAGTTCGAGGAGGTGGTGCGCGACAAGGAGCAGAGGAAGCGCTTGCACGGGGCGGATTGCGAGTGTTGTCGGGAGGTAAGCCATGTATTGGGCTTCGATCTATTCTTGGCCCAGGCTCAATGCACCGCAGTACTACAAGGCGGTGGGCAAGCTGCCGCCTCGCCCACAAGCACCGCTCTGGCGCTCGCCCCATGCCACGCCTACGAAGGCGACGTCCTCCAACCGCAGGCACCTGACGGACGCCTCGGGCGTTCCGAACTCGCCACGCAAGAACAGACACCGGCATGGCTCGGACGTGGATGAGGGCGACCCGGAGGAAGAGGTGGCCATCCGAGAACATGTGCAGCAGATCTCGCGTCATCGCCAGCAGTGGGAACGCCCGAAGACCCCACCGGGTTACTGGGAGATCGCGTTCCCAGACACGCAAGAGGCTACGGCGATCAATAAGCGTGCGAAGGAGATGCATGAGGAGAAGAAAGCGAGGATTGAGCTTGAGGCAAAGTGAGTGGGGCCGGGCGTTCTTGGTGACGAATGTTTACTGATCGTCTTCGCTAGTCGCGGTGGCCGGTATAAGAAGCGGAAGAGTTGATAATGCGCACCAAGGACTTGCAATTTCCTCGGTACCATAGCGGACGTAGTATTTCTGGGCTCCCTTACTGTACATCCGGCTCAGCGCAGATTCGTGGCAGGACTATGTATCATATTATGACCATGTTATGTATGCTATAGGTATTCATGTCTTCTCAGTCCTTGCCGAGGACACGCTTTGCGCAGACTGAGAGGGAATCATGCTGAACCGTATCGCGGAGCGCGGTATCAGGGTGAGGATTCGTCCGGACATGAGCAAGCCGAGCAGCCTGAGAGGGTGATAATGGGACGACAGCCTCGACCAGAGTTGTCCTTCGCGAAGTATGCCAGCATGAGCAAACCTTAGTACATTACACTGTGCCTCGTACTCACCGTAGTGCGCGAAGACCGAGGATAGCGAGGCAGGTTGATTCTGGATGCTTCCAAATGAGCTTGAGTTCCTTCCGACGATTGCAGACGTACCTCGAGGACCAGAGAGCCGGACGGTAGTCTCCTGAATACTATGTGCCCTGCGAGATGCTGTCATTGAGCCGTTCTGAGCGGCAGGCGAGCTATGATGCTACCTGGTAAACGCATTGGGTCTTTGATGCGGAGCATAAGGGCGAACAGAGGGAAGTGGTTCAAGAGTGCAGATATCGTATCCAGCAAGCCGTGTAGCATGATGCCCGCCAAGTGAGTCTGTAAATGGATGAGAGAGTGGTCGAGATAGTTTTCCACTTAGACTTACAGTAGCGAAGAGGGCGTAATACGTCAGGACCGTTGGAGATAGGAAGGCGACCAGCGTGAAGAGGATGGTGCCCAGCAAGAGTTGGTCGATGTCGTAGTCCCACGAGTCAAGTCGATTACGGAGCACGTTGAACCGTTTCCCTAGGATCACAAAGCAGATTATTCAGTGACATCCCAATTTATGGTGCCAACACGTACCGCGGAACAGGTTCCAGAGAGACCCCGCAAGGCCGAGTACCTGGCGGAATACCGTGGCGGAGAGGACATAGCACACGTATACATGTACGGTGAGCAGACTGATGATGTCCGACAGGAGGGATACGATCATCGTCATGCCGCAGCAGCCAGCAGCGCCTACCATCCAGAGCAATGCTGGGTAGTACGGGCCCACGTTCCGCAGAACACCTGGAAGTACATCGAAGTAAGCGGTGTATCAAGCGACAAGTTGGAGCTATACGCACGGCCCCATATTGTGATCGCGGCTAACAGAGAATGACAGTAGAACTGGCTGAGCTCCGTGTTGAGCTTCAATCCTGCTGGCCAGCTGTTTAGCCAGATGAGGGCTCGCTGCATAGACTCGACGAGGTAAATCTAGGTGACATGTCAGAAGTATCCCAGCACACTCACAGTGTATCACAACATACCTGCGTGAACGAATCGAGTAGGTTACCCAGTACGAGACAGTTCTCGCACAGGAAAGAGCCGAAGGCGACCCCGATGATCATGTCGTTAAGCATCAACCATATGCAATTGTAGAACCTGGAAGAGGTTAACGACACTCGAATTTGGGACTGAACTCCACGCACTTGACGTATCGAGAGATTCTGTCTGCCGATTGGGCCTGGCAACGTCCGGTGATGAAGGGCGCTTGAGTGATGAGGAATGTCACTTGCTCAGAGCGGACGTCGAGCTGCTCGACTATTCGTTTGTCAGTGCGTGAAAGGTTCAAAAGCAGGATTGCGCACTCGTCGTTGAGAAATCCCTCAGAAAGGACATCATATATCGTACAACCCTACCGGCTGCTATGACTTGCTGGAAAGGCTGGGTCGACGCAGACCGTTCCGGTACCGGCCCTACACTAGGTGGTCGCGATGTCTGTTTCCCCTGTCGCCTGGACAAGGCTGTTTCAAGGAAGTCGGCCAAGGTTTGTGATGCATTAGCCTGCAGGAGCCCAACAGTCTCAATAGGCGCAATGTACGCCGATGCATGTTGAAATGCGTACAAAACGGATAACCGTATCATCTAATCTTGACAGCGATGCGAACGAAGGGCGGCTGAAATCATGGCTTAATATCAATGACGCTGGCGGTGGTCTCCGAGAGGCAGTGTTCTTGGTGACCTGCGACGGGACAATGTCGAGTTCTCGATATTCAGAGGAGTAGAACTGCATGGCCGATTGGTTTGGTCGCTTGTAGCGTATGATTTCTGAGGCGGTGACTGTGAAACCGAGTGGCATCGAATAAATGTAGGACGCAGAGAACGCTTTCGCTGACCTTCAAACATTGTGTCTTGGCTACACAGTTCTAGTCGGGGTCCAGAGAAGCTTGTCACACTGAGCGTCGTCCCAGCAATGGTATCCTGAGGCATACTAAATCGTCCAAGGACAGACGGAAAGTCGATAGCGATGTCTCCCCGTAGACCGGACCATCTGTCGCTGTGCGAGATCTCTGAGAGCAAGGCTATCGCCTCCTCCAACTGTCGCATACAGGTCACTTTATAATATGGCGCAAATACACCAAAGATACACACCGAATCGGCTTGTAGGATGCCCGCTACGCAGATTAAAGGGCCGTCCCAGCCGTAGCAATAGCCATCAACCGGCTTGAGATCTACAGGCCAGAGGATGGACAATCGACTAGTACGTCCTGCCGTATCGTTTAGACTATACATATTCATCAGTACTTCAGGGTTTCATGATGCCTGGGTATCGATCTGAGTTGCGACGGAGGTATAGACGTCGTGGTAGAGGATGAGTTGCGGTACGCCACCGTGGCCTTAGCGCTCATGCACATGCGATACTTTGATGTTAAGCTGAGCATGATTAAGCGCTCATTCGCTTACTACCGTCTGCGGCTTGCATCTCATCCTCCTCCAATCCTCCTCTCAATGTAGTACCAAAAGGCGGTCCTTGTTTCCGCTGCGTACAGGTCCGATGAAAGTACTGATTCAGATGAAAACAAAGTTGCGAGCCGTCGGCCTCGTGACCAGCTTGAACAATGAAAACGCGACAGACTAGTACTAGTGCTCTCAAAATATCCGTGTGGCGACTTGCCGGCTGAGTACTCTAGTATGCATGCGCACCTACATAACAATGGAAGCGTCAACATCAGGTACATCAATCCAGTATGCACAGTAAGTGCGGTATTTTGGGCATTGACATGCTGCTCACACGACTCTTCCGTTGGCGCACAAGAAGCAACCTGATAGAAATCTGAAGGGGCGTGCTTCTATGAACCTATGTAGGTGAAGATCCAGCCTCAACGGCGAGCTGATATCAGCCTAGCGTCTTCGTGGATGCGCTGACCACCTCATCCCGCCGTCCAGATGCATCCCTCCAGCGAAGCCCTGCCGCCCGAGACGACAGACGAGATTATAGGGTGCCTTCACGACAGCCCTGCTGCTCTGGCTGCGTGCTCGCTTGTTCACTCCGAATGGAAACATCGCGCGCAAATTCTGCTGTTCACCAGAGTAGTCCTCCGTGATAGTCAGGCGTATGCCGCGCTGCTACACCTCATGCGGTCCGACGCTCGGATCGCCGAACGGCATTGCCAAAACACGAAGCATCTGGAGATCCTCGATGACCGGAGCCACCCGTACGCACACCAGCTCCCGTTGACCTTGTGCAGAAAATTCCCCGCACTCCGGTCCATCGCATGCCACAATGCTCAATGGCACGAGAAGACGCACTTACCCCCGAGGTTCTTCATCCCTCTGTCGACATTTTCGGGCGTCGTATCCCTAGAGCTGCACGCCTGTGAATCTCGCGCCTTCCGAGACTTCGTCCGTTTCGTCTGCGCTTTCGGGGGTCTCCGCGACCTGACTTTGGTCCGGGCAAACTTGGGAAAGCGGTCCCCGATCGACATCGCGCCCACGGTGAAGCCACGGGGCAGCGACCTGCAGCTACGCAATCTTCGTACGGAACACTTGGTCTCGGAAGACAGTGCGCTTGCTGAGCTGTTGTCTTGGCTCAAGCGCACTCCGAGCGGACAGGAGGAGACCAGGACCATTCGGGACCTTCGTGTCAACCCGCAGGAAACGATGCTGCAGACGTCTTTTCACGCACCGATGGAGGGCCTATTGTCAACTCTCGGTTCCTCTCTCATAGATCTAGACATGCCAGTACTACTCCATGGTAAGTATGCCGCTACAAATGGTATTGATTGTATTGAATGTTGTGCGCAGACATAGGCACGGGCCTAGAATCCAACAATCAACTCCGGACACTCGTTCTACGACACACATTTCGCGAGGAGTGGGGGATAGCATGGACGAAGATAGGTTTGATGCTCCAAACCATGAAATCCGTCCATCTGCGGAGCTTCGAGCTGGTCTTCACCATCTTCCGAGGCACCGGTCCCGCAGGCGGACGGTCCATGGACCTCGCGGACTTCAACATCAACTGGGGCCCGATCAACGAGATGATAAGCAACAAGGAGTTCGGTGCGCTGGAGAAGGCCACGGTGACATTGGAGTGGCACCTAATGGACACTTTGCCGCCTGGGTCCGCTGAGCACATGCAAAGTATGATCGAGGAGGGGATGAAGCAACTGGACTGGTACAAGCGCGGAATACTGACCATCACTCATAACAAGCATCCCTTTACCCTTCCTCCAGAACCCAAGCACCCCTCGGCTCAGTAAACCGTGTCCTTTTAGAAACTCTCGCAAGTGTGATCTTTCGGGCCTGCAGAACATGTAGTAACGGAGTATCTTTCTCATCGCATTGCTATACGATTCCATTAGTTCTTGTCGTTTCGGCGCTCAGCGAGAGGATAGCTCGACTGGATAGGCAGCATTTGTACGTATCTGTGGCTAGCCTCATGGTACTGAATGATTTGTTATCTACCATAGACTCGTCGAAGCCGTCAACAACAGAACACGCGTCTTGCTCACCGCATCCTCATGGCGGTGGTTCGAAATCAATGCTCCCGCACGCCCTTCTTATGAGGTTGGCACCCGGACCATGTCCCTTCCTCCTATCATACCCAGGCCTGTATCATATAACCCGCGGTCCACGACTGCCAGGCCATGCGGTGCACTGCGATCCATCACCGCTCTCCACGATCATGGCGACGAGTATCCTGCCGATCGAAGTCATCGAACACGTCTTTGATTTTCTTCACGACGACGGGCAGACGCTATACCGCTGTGTCCTCACCCACCGGAGCTGGTATCCTCGCGCGCGCACTCTCCTCTACTCCCGCATCGAGATTCGTAGCCGCAAATCGTACGACGCTATCCGGACCCATGCAAGCCGGACCGATCCCTCTCTCGGAACGCCGTGCGAGCGTACGTTGGAGCTCGTAGTCGTGAACGGATCGATACGCCAGGATTACACGCACGAGATAGCCTTCGCATTCGCTGGCCTATTCCCCGCCCTCCGCTCCGTCACCTTCGTCCATGGTGTCTACCAGAACACGCGTCACCTGCCCGCTTTTAGGATCACACCACTCGTATTAGCTTCCGTCCAGCAGCTCACTCTACGATGCTGCGAGTTCCAGACGTTCGACCACCTCCGCCGCACGATACTGGCGTTCCCACAGCTTCGTGATCTCAGCCTACACTTCCCGCTGTCCTTAGGGGGCTTCAAGCACGGTCATTCCCAGAGTGCAATATTCTCGCCGCAGACAGTGAATGCCCTTAGGCTTCACCGTCTTGTGCTCAGTCAGCTGAAGAATATCAAAGAGGAAGTCCAACTGCTGAGGCTACTAGTACTCGAGTGGGTAGACTGTACGCCTTGCGTGACGGAGGGGACACTTGTAGAATTTGGCGTACGGCTCGCCCTCACTTATCCGGCGGACTTCCTGAAGAATGAACGTACCATGAATGCATTGCAGAAGATGTGCCGACAACTTGCCTCTTCCTTAGTACATCTGGACCTACCTGGACCGCTATTCACCGAACGGCAACCCTACAGTGCTAGTATTAACCGGGTGGGGCGCCTTTGTATGTACCATCCATACACGAGCACAGCAGGCCCACTACTGACAAACATCGCGTCATTCTTCCTGTGACTTAGGCTTCATTAAATTCGTCAATCTGCGATCCCTGTCGATCAGGCTGCTCGCTGTCGCCTGTCGTAGGGCACATCACCTCCGCCGACTCGCCATATCTATCGAAATGAATGTGGAGGATGTGGAAGCGGACCTGCACGCAGACTTCCATCTCCGTGAAGAATGTTGCCTGAACCGATTGATGAACTCGAAGCTGATATGTGCTAAGAAGATGTACCTCTTCGTCACCCTCCTTTGGACGGTACCACCGCCAGCAACGGAAGATACCCGAGGGAGAGTCGTCGCGGGTGTGGACAAATGGCTCAGGGAAACACCGGCGTACAAGGACGGTACTGTGTCCTTCTCCCACATAGTCACGAAGACATACCCTAGTCGGAGACCGTAACCGGCCACCGGAATTCTTCCGTCAACGCCTACCGTATGGGGCGCAGGGAGACGAGCCGATGAGGCGTACTTCAAGCGAGGCCGCCGAACATTGACGCCACTCAAGCTAGACGGCGAACGCTTTTACAAGGACACCAGAGGTAATTACAGTGTACATCATCGTATGTTATTTCACGCTCGCTGACTATGCAACCATAGATGCCCATTTTGCGTCGATTTGAGGGCTAATCTGAGCACTGTAGAGGCCCCTTCTCTCTTCGACCGGGATTTGGAGCATGGCATCCGGCAGTGCCGAGCATGTTAGGTGCGGTCCGAGCTCTAGAATTTGAAGCCTGTAACTGAGAAAATCATCAGATAAGACAGTGTATACTTCCAGAATTTATTTGAAGTCATTATATGCACCCGCTCATCTTTCGACCGAGATAGCTATTGCCGTAGCAAGATGCGCATAATAGGTAGCGACGCCGAGCGGTGGAAGTTCTGGCGGCTAGCCAAGCCTACAGAGTCCGGGTCCGAGTCAAAGAGCAGAGGTTACAAACGAAGTGAGATAGCATGCGTATAGTCGAGTGAGTGTACGTGACATGACATCTGCCCTAGCAGAATATTCAGAACCTCGGAGTCCGAGTCCGCCTGCGAGGGCAGCCATAGCGCTTTGGGAGCCAGGTAACGCTCATTTCAACGTCCCGGACGGCGATCCGGCGAGGACGATCCACCAATTCCCCGAGAGGCTGTAATACATTGAGAAGGGTGGGACGGGATCCTTGAAACGATACACTGAATGAGATTGGAGTTCGGTATTCGAATGATCACTAGGGTAGCCCTCGGCATTACAACTAGCTTCTACGTCTAGATAAACAAATATTACAAGCATAAACAAGGATTGGATGAGTGTACGAGTTGGCGCGTGTCTAGATCAATGAGTTGTACATAGCATATCGAGGATGGGATGTAAAGCCTGTCCGAATGTCAGCCGCCGCAAGTGAAAAGGAGCGTCTGGAGATCACAACCTTAATCGTACTCATCGCGCTTGGGGTACAGTTCGACAACGCGAGTACGCTTGATTTCTTCCCGTTGAACACCGAAGTAGCGCTGCGTCTCGAAGCTCCACTCGCAGTTACCGACCACCCAGGTCTCCATGGCCATCACGAACTTCGCAACGACAGCGTCGATTTGAGGGCCCCATGACGGTAGACGAGCCTTGTCGGCTTGGAAGTCGTCCATGAGCTGCTTGAAATGCTCTCCGACATGATCGGCGGCAGTCTGGAGGTCGCAGTTCTTTGACTTCATCAGCACCGTCATGACGTTGTTTCCCGTATGTCCCATCGCTTGCTCCATGTTATAGGAGTAGAGGTCCTGAGAGTGGGTCAACGGACAATTTCACATACGCTTGGCGCTGAACTCACATTCGACCAACACACCATGTCGACGGCGGCGAGGTGGAGCCGCATCATGACAGGATGCTCGAATATCTCGTCTGGGAGGTCAAGCCCCAAGACGAAACCGAACATCCCGAAGCAGAAGCGAACGGCGCTGTTTTCTCTGCGCAAGACGATGTATGCCTCGGGGTCAAGGACCTCGTTCCGCTCCCGCAGCTCCGCTTCGACAGCGAACGCATTCACGTAGTCTTCGCAGTGCTTGAGAAGGCGGCGGTAGCACGCGGGTACGTTAAATTGTAAGAGCCGCTTGCGAAACCTGTGATGAATGCATTGGTGAATGATCCGGGACAGTATAGCACATGCGCTTACTCCTTCGTCATTTGCGCGAGCGCCGAGCCGTCGTGCCAATCAGGGTCACGAAGGGCATTCAGGAAGATGCGTCCAGTCTTGTATGCATCCTTCCCGTTCTGTTCGTCGCTCACTTCGTCAACGGTGAATAGAACGTTGACCAAGTCCATAGTCGCCCGCAGCTCTTCGTAGCCGGCGTAGGAGTAGGCGTAAGCGCAGAGCAGCTCGCTGCCTCCTTGCTGGAAGAAGGCGCGCTTGCGGTCGGATACGATTCTGTAGCTGTTGACCCAGGCGGAGGACGCCTTGGCTGCCCGCTCGAAGTGAGAGTTGTAAGAGCCCTTGAAGGGCAAGAGGGGCATCAGGTCGGGAAGGACAAAGGATTCTGGGCTGGAGGGCATATTGCAGTTAAATCTACGAGTGTCAATGTAGTCGAAGAGCTGGAGACTGTAGAAGAGTGAAGTGATGAGTTCTGCTCGGAGAGACTTTACTTAAATACCGTGCACAGACGCCTCCGGTATTTTTGTCTTCGACACCGCGGCAAACCAGGTCTCTCTGACTCCGTAAAGGTTCGCATGCGGGTCCTTGAATGTTCGTAAAGGATTTCGCCTATAGGATTTCGGAGCTTGCCAAAACCGGTGTGCCCGCGGTGCGACGATCGCAGCGCACGTTAAAGTGTTCACCGGCTGGCTGAGATAATTCGGAGTGGACATTGCTAACCAATTGCGACCACAACACTGCTTACCTTCTCGGGTTCATGTCCGATCATAGGTGGACGTCTTCACGAGAGTCAAGTTATGCAAGTGACGCCCAGGGCGTCAGTATGCAGTCGGAACGCTGGTAGCGTGCGCCACAATGCACCACCGTAGATCTAGTACAGGTTGACCGCAGTGGCTTGTGGTCAAGAGCTTCCCAGCTCTACCTAAGAAGACACTGACATTCTGGCCACTTGGAAGCCTGCGTAGTGATCAATTGAAGCCGAGATCTAAGGAAAATAGACAAACGTTTCCACGTCAGGACCGGCGAAGATCGAGGCGGAAACGGAGCGCTGAATGTTCGCGGTACCAATCGGGGCGCGCGGCTCGTGAAACAATACTTGTGTGGTCCAAAAGCTCGTGATGTCCGGACGTATCGGCTGCGAAGCGTTGTGGTAATACCGTGGTTAGTGGCCCCCGATCCTTGCGGTGGGTCCTCGAGCCCTCTTGCTGGTCTTGACACCATGTAAGAACTCGATGTGACTGAGAAGGAACCACAAAACCGCAGGCCGTACACCCAGATCCCTTCCGACGACGACGGGACAACGGAGAACCGCCAGGTGATGTGAGAGTGGAGATTCGGAGTCAGCATTGATTCACAGAAGATAATCGGAGCGCATACCCGGAGATACTGAATCTCATCTGCGCACCGCGAGATTCACCTTTGAGACGGATCTTGCGTGTATCATAGAGCGCCTATGACAGAAACTGATATGTGTGTTTGCCGCACTATAGGAGGTCGGGGGACATAGCTTTGATAGATTCAGGGCACTCAGCAGTGGAAGCGCGCGATATCCAGAGGGGGATAGATGTCCAGGATAATTTCTTGACTGCGCGTTGCTGAAGCAAGAATGTGAAATGGTTTACCAGACGCTGCAATGACTACTCATTACACTGCACCCAACCCCTGGGCCCTCAGCTCGACGGCCACAATGGTAGGACCAGATCCCAGCTGAAGTTTGACGAAGTGAAATCAGATTGTAACCATTCAACTTTGATTGCGCACAGAGAGCAGAGACAACTTATCGGCGTCCTGTAAGCTGCAATGGCGACACTGAATCAGCGCCATTCCCGCGAAGTCCACGGAGTGGACATCATGGCAGGATCTAAAGACAGTATCAACCAAGCCTGTCTTTAGAGACAGTCTTGATAAATCATATACGCCGACACAAATGATCAGATGACGCGCTGAGGCTAGCCGCCGCTTTCGCGAGGCCATAGAGCAACGGGTATTCCGATGCTTGAATCTGCTTCGCCAATACTCCAAGCCGCGGAGCGCTGTACAACATAGCAGACCTAATGAGCGCTTAGTACAAACAGGTCAGCCTGAGACGCGCCGTGTAAAGCGAGTAATTGGCGCGGACGCGAAGTCGGGCGCATTTTGTGTGCTTGGGCATGATGATTCCGAGACCGGTATATCGAGTACGTACAAGTTGATGGGCTTGGATGACCGAGCATCGTATTTCACCGTGACCACAGCCCTTTACCCGCATACTACTGGCAGCGCTCGCACCTACTGGTATTGTGGGCGAAAGAGTGCATGAGCGACCGCTACGGAAGAGCCAATACGGATTTACATATTTCTGTCCAAAGATTTCTCATCCGTTCCGTTCGGCCTGAGACGGCTTCCGACGTGTCGTCCACGAAGACCGAACGTTGAACGCGTCAGTACCCACTGGCAGACTTCCGTCGCAAGCAGACGCACCGAGTATTGCGTACTACAGACGTGTCTCAATAAGTGGTAACAATCAGACTGCGCTCTCAGTGTGTCCATTCATGTAAGCACTCGACTGAGAATGACGGTAGGTTCACCCGCTGCGTGGCAGGCTCAAGCTACTTTACCGCCGGAACTCGTCCATTCCCACGGTACATACAATACCCCTCCATATAATCACATACCCTTTTCGTTGAGTATATGGATTCAACGCCCTTCCATCGTTGCCATTCATCCGGCACTATGGCTGTGCGACGGTGGATGGGCCGCATCAAACTCTCTAATGGAATCGCTTGGAGTAGATGATGAGCGCAATCTATGCGGCTCTTAGACAATTCGCTGCCACTCGCGTGGAACCCCACTCAGGCTGGCATGCTGTTGCCAACTGTGAATCAAGGGCTGGTTTGTGGCAACCCTTGGGCGACGAAAGGAGCCACGGGATGCCGGAATGGAGCTGTAGGTGTGGCCGGTTGGTCGTGATCCTACAGTACAACAGCAGCATTCTTTCCTCTTGAGAGAACCTATGACGAAAGGGGGGCGCAACTGACAACGGTCCACATGCCTCAATGGGCAAAACCTTCAATTCCATTTTTTGGCTGAGGAGAGGATGGTTACGCTGTAGTGCTACAAGCTGCTACAAGTGCCGCGGATCATCACGACGAGGCCTGTTGACAGATTGCCGCGACCCACGGCCAGGAGAATCTATCCTATAACATGCGTAGCGCTGCTTCGCGGGTGCGAACAGTGTCTCACAGTGTACAGTACCGGCCGACGTTCGACACGCCGCACCGGCGGCTGAAACTTCCGTCGTATCAATGGCTTGACCAGTGTGTCTGGGCACGATGTGGCACTGTCGTGGACACTGAAACCTTGAAGTCACTGACAAAGGACTATATCACTGGGGGTTCGGCCTAGAAGAATGGAAGAGCGGTGAATACGGCAGTCGCACCATGATCTGATCTCATACACATGGGTCATCATTCGCTGTCAAGCGTGCAGTTCCCCGCTACCAATATGATATGAACACATTGGCCGACGCCCACACACAACGTCATCAGCTGTCATCAGTCCATTTCAAATCAACAACAGAAGTACAACGGCTTCTAGCTGCCGTCGACGGACGTCCCATTCTCGGAAGAACATTGGTAATAGACGGCACAGAGGGGCAAGATACCAGCAGGTTCGTCCCCAGCATCTTGGAGCAATAACGCAACGACGCCATGAGGAGGCACAGCGGCCGCAGTGAAGTTGCGTACAGCAGTCCCATTGTCGGTGTGTGTCCACAAGTCCTTTGGAAGGAAAATTCGAGGAATGAGCTCTCCAGCTGGACGAGCTAGGATTGTTCACATACCCGGACCGAGTATTGTCTCCCCGCGCGGATCCACGGCGACTCGGTCAAGTTGAAAAACATGTTGGCGGGCTCGTCCAGCGTATTGAGCTATCAAAATCGATGCATCTCAAAATTGTATGTGATATGCTACTCCATTGACTCACGAGCATGAAGACCGTTCCGTTCTCTGAAGGCCCACTCCAATATTGCGCAGGGTAGGAGCTATTGCTCGTCCAGTCGGGCTGCAACCGACAATGTGATTCCTAGAGCACAGCATCAAACCACTGGTCCACGTACGTTGATACCCCAACGGAACGGTGAGATGCTCATTCCGACTGTCGGATCCTGGTTGATGGCGAGTATCTCCGTGTTCTTCAGGATCCCAATGATATCTGGCGAGGCCGCGGACAGCTGCGGAACACTACAGTGGGTTATCAGCCCTTCTGATATACGTCATCCACGCACATTAGTTCCGATCAGAAGGGGCGACTTGAGCAATGCCCAAGCCGTGAAGTGAGACTTGTTCTCGTCATAGGTCATGTTCCCATTACCGCTGTGTATACTCAGGCTCAGCGTCGTCCATATTCAGAGACTTGCGACGAACATACACTTCGAGCTGCGCATGTGCTCCGACATCAGTCCTGGGCACCATCATAGGGTATGACTGAGTACTCACAATGTCCAGGTCGTTCCTTCCGTAGTAATTGGTGTAGCCGGTGATGAACGTCGCGCTAGATGCAGCGATGAGTACGTAGGCCCGTGCCTGAGACTTCCTACTCACAGATTGATAATGTTCGCAAGCGCGTCCCAGTTGTCAGCGATGTCTCCATCGACCTGCGAACAGCATCGGACGCTAGCCGATAACATATCGAAATACCACACACCCGCCAACTATTGCCCACGGTGGTACCCCAGCTATCGCCGACATGGTCGGACACTTGTTGTGGAACGGTGAGAGTATTATGCTACTCACATCCAGACTTGACTCTGCGGTGATCATCAACACATGCACATCAAAAGGGGCGTGAAAAAAGCTAGTCGACCTACCCAGCCCCACTCGCACAGAGAATATATCAAAGGCGATTCTCCAGAGGAACTTGCAAGTTGAGCGATGGCATCTGCCATGCGCTGGTATTCTGCGGGCGTACAGTGTCAGCTCTCCGGCACAATCAATCACGTCGGTGAAACGCGACTTACTTCCGTACGTTCCTTGTCGAATGACATCGTCGAAGGGGACTAGTAGCCCGTGAAAAAAAAGCAAGATTTCCAGACGCGGAATTGCTTACTATAACAGTTGTCGTACCTACGCGCACAGGAATATGAGCGCATTTTGCAAGCGACAAGGATGTAGATGTGCGCACTTTAGATAGTCGAACCCCCAATTCTGGAACGTAGTCGCATCCAGGAGCTCGTTGCTGTAGCTCCCCGGATATCCTGCGCACGTCAACCAGCCTGAGTCTTCATACTACTAGGCCTTCATATACGTCTCCTAGAGTAGAAGGTAAGTGTATACGCACAATACCGGCTTGGCTGGACCATCCTTAGGTCAGTACTGGTCTGTATGTGGACATAGCGCGTTCGAGAACTCACAATCCCATATCATGGAGCTGACTCGTCAGGTTATTGAAGCCGCTCGGGAACCTTTCGGCATCTAAAGCAATCATTTACCGTTAGTAGGACAGTTCTAGACGCTGTAGACCATGACGTAGTACTTGGAGCAAGCAAACCATCCGCCGTACGGTTCTTCTCAGCCCAACAGTCGTCTAGGTTCACATGCGTGTATCCGACATCCTGGTGGTACGCGTGTCCAGTAAGCTCGAGTCACGAAGGATGGAAGTGTGTCTCTGACTTGCAACCCGAGTGACTGCATGAGCGATGCAGTTTCAAGGATGAGATTTTCGTCGATGTTGCACTAGTGACAATGATGAGTCTCTGTCTCAGCGACAGCCACCCTTTTGGACGACTTACAGCGTATGCGTTCCAGGCTAGTAAACAACAAGGCGTGACCAACTGAGATCGTCTTAACTGCTGAAGACTCACTGTTGTACCCCAGCACTTCCATGCCGATGAACCACAATCAGTTTCGACATCGAGTATGAGGGATGTCTGGCCTACCCGGCAAGCGAGCTACTCCATTCTCCAAGGCAAAGACTCCGGAAGATGTTGCTAACAGCACCGCGAGGACACCTAGTACAGTCAATATTCCAGCCATCTTCTCAAGCTCTCGAACCACCGAAGCAGCGAGAGTAAGGGCCTAGTGGCCACGACCACTCCGCTTTATACTTCCATGCAACGCTCGGTGCCCACGGAGCCCGTTATAAATTACACCCGGCCCGGTGGCAGCTGGTCCTCCCCAAGACTTGTGACGCACCTCGTGATCGAGGATTCAGCTTTCCCGAGCTCCTCCAGGGTCGGCAGCGCATGGTCCTCCTTCAGCAAACGAGGAACACGATTAGGCATGACCGCATAAACCGGACATAAACCGCGTCCCACCTGTTCACATCTCCACACAGACAGCATCTCGCCACCTTCGATTCCGATTCGCCGTCCTATACATTCAAGAGACTGTCCATTCCCATGCCGAGTCCGAGATCAAGTCCGAGCCCGCACTTTCATACGATCGACACACAGGCTTCCACGCCTACACGGCGACGCTAATACTCCGTCGTACAGCCACCATACACATACGTCCCATCTTCCGTGCCGCACTGGCAATAGACCGCACACGACGGCTCTATCCCATCCGGCTCGTCGCCTGCGTCCTGAAGCAGCACAGCAATCACGCCGTGCGCGGGAATGTCCGTCGCGGTGAAATTTCGGATGGCAGTCCCGTTGTCGGTGTGCGTCCACAGGTCCTTTGGGCACGTGTGCGTCAGCGAGTCCCGCATCGGAGAGGGGAAGAAAAGTGGTAGAGATGGGGCGACGTACGCGGACGGAGTACTCCCTGCCTGCGCGGATCCAGGGCGACTCGGTCAGGTTGAAGAACATGTCAGCGGGCTCGTTCAGTGTGTTGAGCTGCACCGACACAATGAATACTCAACTACATAGAATGATGAGGATTGTTACGACTGACCAGCATGAACACCGTCCCATTCTGGCTCGGCCCGCTCCAGTACTGTGCGGGGAACGTGCTGTTGCTCGTCCAATCCGGCTATCATCACACGCCGCACATACACACATCAGCTTCTCAGCTTCACAGCACGGAGACAGGTAAGGGTAATGGAAAGCAACGTACGTTCAAGCCCCACCGGAACGGCGATATGCTCGTGCCGACAACGGGGTCCTGGTTGATCGCAAGGATCTCGGGGTTGGAGAGGATATCAACGATCTCAGAGGACACAGCGGAGAGCTGGAAATATCAAAGTCAGGCTCAGTTCACGTGCTGCACCAGACGGCAGGAATCAGAGAGGAGGAAGGCTGACGTTCGTCCCGATGAGCAAGGGGGACTTGAAGAGTGCCCACGCGGTGAAGTGCGACTTGTTCTCTTCGTAGGTCAGGTCACCGTTTCCGCTACGCCTCAAATTCAACCGCTGCATCCTTCAGGAAGTATACAACACGTACACTTCGAGCTGAACCTTACATTTAGTATTCGGTGCGGTGGGACGGCAGTGAGGACTCACGATATCCACATCATTGCGACCATAGAAGTTTGTCGCCTGCGTGATGAATGATGCCCTAGTACACACATACTTCTTGTAAGTTCCTGAGACCGTGCCTACGATCGCAAGACAGCGGCAGCGCACGAGTTGATGATCCCCGCGATCGAGTCCCAGTTCGCTCCGATGTCGTTATCGACCTGTCCACATTAGTCGTGAGACGATAGCTCATCCCACAAGCATTGTAGCATGCACGTACACGCCAGCTGTTCGCCATCGACGCTCCCCAGCTGCCATCGTTTCACCTGTCGTCAGCTATGATCCTGGTGCTACTCGGGCATCACGCACAGCCAGACTTGACTCTATCAACGCCACCGTCGTCAGCCACCCTCGCTTGGGAACACGCATGAAACGTCGCTTACCCAACCCCATTCGCACAGCGAGTAGATCAGTGGCGGCTGCCCGGTTGTAGAGCTCAGGTTCGCGATCGCGTCCGCCATGCGCTGGAACCCTAACATCCCGCCGCGCCCCAATCAGTACCCGAGGAGCGGGAGGGTGAACCTAGACTGACTGCCGAGTGTGCCCTCGCGGATGATGTCGTCGAAGGGTACTAGACGCAGTCGCAAATTCAGGACACAATTACATGCGCACAGACGGGCAAGTGCTCACTATAGCAATTGTCGTACCTTCCCGCGACGCGTCTTCAGTCTGGTTCCACGAGCGAGCAGGGGAGGACTCACTTCAGGTAGTCGAACCCCCAGTTCTGGAACGTCTCCGCGTCGAGGGCCTCGTTGCTGTAGCTGCCAGGGTAGTCCTGGCACGTCCGCCAGCCCGAGTCGGAGTACTGCGTATTCACATAGAGTCAGCTCGCAGGAACTGAGAGGAGTAGCGGCGGCACGTACGATGCCTGCGTTGCTGTTCGCCGCGGTTACGTCAGGGCTCACGATAGAAGAAGGGGAGCACGCTACACGCACAAGCCCATGTCGTGCAATTGCGAGGTGAGGTTGTTGAATCCGCTGGGGAATCGTTCCGCATCTGGGATGTTCAGTGAAACCTGCTACCGCAGTACTAGGCAGCTACGTACTTGCTTGCAGGAGGCCCTCTGCGCTGCGATTTTTCTCCCCCCAACAGTCGTCGAGGTTCATTTGCGTATATCCAGCATCCTAGCGAGCGATGGTTGTCGTGCAACACATCTTCACGGGCAGGGGAGACGTACTTGCAATCCGAGAGACTGGATGAGGCTAGCGGTCTCTATGATGATGTTCTCATCGATGTTGCACTGCGTGATCAAGCACATGCGTTGACGATTGCAGAGAAAGAATGGAAAAGCTCCCGAAACTCACAACAAAGGCGTTCCACGCTGAGGGAAGGCAATACTAATGGTAAACGTTCACGTGCAGACAAGACATTACGTAGCTCTCACTGTTGTATCCAAGGACTAACGGAAGGAAACGTCACAGTTCACAGAAGCTTCACAGGTCACAGGACTCACTAGGCAGACGACCGACGCCATTGTCTAGCGCCAACGCGCCAGGAGCAACAAATACGAGACCAGCGAACGCGGCAGTCGTGAGCAGCATGTTGGCTAGCATCACCGTCCAGCGCGGGAGAGGGGTGCACACGCGAGTCGAAGCTTTGCAGGAGCTTATATACGTCCAACGTGCGCGAGCACCATGCCGACCACCGAGGATGACACGGCCACCGCTTCGGAAGCACATAAAGAACGACGGGAATGTCCAATTGAGGAGCCCGTGACGTACCCTGTGACTGGCGCCACAGATGCACCGCGTTGCTCGCAAGCACGAAGACCCGCGAACAGCGGCAATCCTGGCCAGTCGAGACATCAGAATCAAGAGGGTGAGCAAATTTGCAACAGGACCTGAACAGGACAGCGCTCGAGAATCACTGGAGCGAACACCCAGCCTGCGGCGTTGTGAATGATGAATGGCGGATTCATTATTGAATATTGAGGACTCACCTTGACATCACACGTCTGAGCCGTTACGTTACGCCCATCAGCGAACGCGTGCACGCTGGTCAGCAAGATAAGTCCTCAACAATCTGATACGCTCAAGGATCGTCCGTTGGTATAGTGCGATCACGGCAAGGACATGGTCCGTATAGCATGAGTACGCATCGTAGCGCTTCGCACCCGTATACGTGCCATGGCCTGAACAAATCCAACAATGTCAGTGTACTGTATCGCCTTCGAAGACATAGTAAAGTGATGCTGTGAAAAGGACATAGCGATTCCGAACTCTCACCCAGACATAGACAGGCCATGGCCGAGTGTGCGTATACAGGATGAATATAGGACCCCAATCCGGACAAAAGCCGGCCATTTGAGGGAGGGTATGCCTGATGTCATGCGGACAGAATCGACTTTCATGAGGGCGGAGGCCTACTCCGCGAGGCCAGATCCTGTCCGGACACCTGGACCGTCCGATGTAGCGTCGCATGACTCGCATCACAGCCTGAAGCTGACCTACACGTCCGCTGCATGCGCAAGGTCGGCGTCATGACTTCCCTGACGTCGAATGCCGAGCAGCCATAGCACGCTGTGCGCGACAAGGCCTAACGCAGTCCAGACAGCAGCGGACAATCCTCCCTGAGGCTGATTGAATCAGGACGTCTACGTCCGGACAAAAATGCCAAAACCTTGTGCGGGAGGATCAGGCCTCCCTACCAATAAATGGGGGTCCTGCCTAAGGCGATCTCCGTCAGCCGCGTCGTGTCCGCATGTTCCAGTCAATTTGAACTGAGAAAGAAAGGAGATAGACGGGGGATTCCTGAGGCCGCTGGCGGATATGGGTGACATGGACATGCATGAGCAGCCAGTCACACCCGAGCATCAGCCGTCCTGTATCCAACGTCGCACCCAGGCACGAGAAAGTCCAAGAATAAGTTAAAGCCTAGTGCAATGCGGGCGTACATGGCACACTCCCCATCGTGTGGCTATGTTGAGGGAAGGAATGTAGGAGTAGCACGCTGATATGGTACATGAGATGACCAGTACCCCAAACAATACGGTAGCCACGCACCAAAGCAGGCCTACAGCAGAATGCTGTCCCTCGCATCTCATGAGGACCTCCCTGCGGTCTCGCCGCCCTTTGCTGCGAGATGGCGAGCGTTTACCGCGACGAAGTGGTATGCCACGACTGTGAGCATCGCCATGCAGCCCAAAGAGTTGGCCAAGTTATAGAGCTCGCTGTGAGTGATCATCCTGTCTGAGTATGATATAAGTTCAGCTCAAAGTTCTAGCCACTGAAGGGGATTAGATTGAAACCTACGAGGAGGACGGGTCTGCGGTCGTGGTCGCCGCCAAGGTGGTATTTGGCTGTATTTGGCTGGGCCCGCCGGTTTCCTGCGGCACCCGAGTCCGCCAGCGGCTTGCCATTGACCTCCTCGTCCTCGACGGATTCCCTCTATTTCTCTATCTTAAAGTCAACTAGAACGCGCAGACAAGATGCGGGCGACTGAGATTCGTCGCAGCGACATGCCCGGACGTACGTACTCGCGGGACTCGAAGCATCGCACCGTGCTAATGCTCGAATTTATTATTACAGCTAAGGTCTACGTGAGTGTCACGGCCTGCTCGCTCGTCGCAGCCGGAGATGGCTCTGAACGGCTGCAAAGACACTGTTGAAAGGGTTCTAATATGCTGCGTATGTAGAACCTGTGGTGGGGCGACAAGGAGCTTCCCAAGCAGAAGGGCGTAATCCAGTACAGTGCGTGCACTAATCTGTTCTGAATCCACTATCACTGACCGTCTATATGTACCCTTACGCGGTGTCGGTCGACCACGACTCCTCGTAGGCATGTCCCCGATGAGGCAGCGCGCCACGCACCACATATTCCGCAACTGGATCTTCAACGGCTACCGCCGTCTGTCCGGTCAGGTTGGCTACTGGATCATTCCGGTCGCTATTGGTCAGTGTTCAATCCCCTCCCCTCCCTCTGTCGTCTCTGCGGGTCCAATGCACACACATGGGTGCACACATAAGCGCAATTCGGTTGTCCTGTCTGGGGCAACTGCGTTCGTTGTTGGTCACGATGTCTGCCCTTGGGCGTGTATCTGCGGGGAAGGTACTGGCATTCAGGCTTGCTGACTCCATTGCGCTCACGCAGGCTATGGCACCTACGCATGGGCGAAGCGCTACGACGCGTTCCACAACAGCAAGGCGGGACACCTCGCCGCGCACGGCGGTCACTAAGCTAGACTCCGTGTACCCGCAGAATACTAGACTTCGTGCTTCGGCGTTCATCCTTGCACTGAACCCCTGCTTGAGTGTGTCGATACCGCCGGAGGCGAGCATTGTGAGCACAGGTGCGCAACGCACCAGGTTCAAGTCGAGATTGGTGCCATACGTCTTTTGGATTATTCCTACTGCGTATGCGGGAGGTGGGCGTGTGGTTAGCAAATTTCGCTTCGATGCTAGTCCGTGCTCGTGTCTTCGGATAGTCGGGGGGCCTGGGCGGCAGGGTGCATTCCGTAGCAAGTCTGCGCGATCGCGCCAATGATTCCGGGGAATGTGAGACTCATTTGCAGTCACACTGTACTTGCTCAGTTGCGTTTGGAATCCTGACGACTGTGCCAGCCCGGCTTGGCTCCTCATTGCCGCGTAGGAATGTTGAGTCCCTCTCAAGCAGTACTGAGGCCGAATGTGACAGCGTATAATCATTGGCACGTATGACTTGGCCGTGAAGAACCACTATTACAATCGATCTCAACATCACTACCGCTCTCCTCCGCATCGTTGTCGTCTGCACTGTCCTCGTTCAAGCAGAGCAGTCCTGGCAGCTCCGACCACATCTTCTCGCGTGTCGACCTCTCCCCCTCGCACAGCGCCTTGACGCAGGAAGAACAGAACTGCCAGCGAGACTCCGATGCTGTCTTGCCGTCGTATGTCTGAATCTTGATGAGTTTGTCCGATGGGTCGAGTAGCCCGGCATCCCTGTGCGTAGAACACTCGACGATTTGTTCTTCGTGTATGTGGCTGAAAGTTGCAGTACACTGCTTGGCGGGTTTCCTACTTCCTGTAAGTAAGAGAATGGGCATGGGGCATCACTTAATATTCGAGCGACCCCTATTGGCTACGCCGCAGCATATTCCGTGATGCTGGATACCGTTGACTAACATTACTGTACCGGTACGTGTGCGGCGCCTTAACGGCTGCAGGAGCATTCTTGAACATTCCTACTCGTGTGATGATCAGCGGATGGTCTGGCAGTGACCCAACCAACTATGATACTGTAGAGGTATGCCGCTCATCTGCCACTACACTTGGCTTATTGAGCTGCGTCTGGGTGACGGCTTCGGAAGCACGTCTGGCGGCTGGGCTATCGTCAGTAATTGGGGGCTCCTCTCGAGCAGTACTGGAAGGGCAAAACAGCAGTAGAGATGTCGTGCGTGACACTGTGACCAGCAATATGATGAACATGAATGTTGCACCACAGTAACGACCGCCTGCTTTTTTGCTTACCTTCCAGTTGCACTGTGCAGGGCGTTGCTAAGGATTCGTGAAGTAGTCGGTCGGTCGACAATATGGGGATGCTTCTGAATGAGCGGCGGTATCGTGGAGTGCACGGGGATGTATGTACATCGGCTGACGGCAAATGAAGATTACAGAGGGTCGGATGCAGCAGTGGATGGTCATCTGCACGTATGGCCGCATGAGTCCCCCATTTCCCATTGTCTGGGAAACCGGAAACAATTTGTTCAGAAAAATCCTTCAAGTCCCCTGAAGCTTGTTGGGTCAGTGTTGTTTGGTTGAGGTTGAGGATGTATCCTAGTTACCTGTGCCCTCGCGTCTAAGCACAGAACGTGCACTATCTCAATCGGCTTCCACCTGACTGCCCTTCTCCGCGTCGCCTTCATCTTCATTGCCCTCCTCCGCGTTGTCTTCATCTGCGCTGTCCTCGTCCAAGCAGAGCAGTTGTGGCAGTTCCGACCACATCCGCTTGCGTACCGACTTCTCCTTTTTACACAGCGCCGAGACGCAGGAAGAGCAGAGCTTCCAGTCAGTATCTGGTTTTTTTTCGGGGTCGTACGCCTCAATGAATTGGTCCCATGGGTCAAATATATCGGCATCTCCACACCGAAGATCGTCGACCATTTGTTCCACGTGTATGTGGGCGACAGTTTTGGTACACTGTTTGTCGGACATTTTGCAATGTGTATTTTTGAAGAATCTCGGGAATATCTCGAAACACGCGCGCATCTGTCGAGTGCATAACTTCGCCTTGCCGTCGATGCAGCGCGCGAGGTCCTCCGAGCTCAGTGACTCCGTAACGCCGTCGCATACCCGCCCCTGAAGGAGTTCCTCGCCGTCTAATAGGCAGCAGCTGTACAAAGCAGCAGGGAGAATCGACGGCGTGTCAGTCAGGCGCGCGATGTTCACCACCGTGATCGCGTCTGCTGCCTGGTCACAGCTGAGCCGGTTTTCCCATGCGTCGAAATTATCGGGGAAGTAGGATTTCAGCTCTTCCAGGAAATCATCGAGTAAGTCCTGGATACCGTATTTATGCGCCATCCGGACGCAGTTCGTGATGTCATTGAGCTTCAATTTGAGGCGGCATATATACCTACGTCAGAGGGTAGTTAGTGTCTATGGCAAAGTAGCTTCACCTAGCAAATCTCAAGACGCACTGCCTGCCGCTGAAGAGGACGCCTAACAGCGAGCGGACCTCAGCCGCTGTGTCCGTGACATGGACAACGGGACAGCCGTCGACGACCTCTGACTCTTGCGAGAGGCCCGGGGCAGGCTTCGCGAGATTGAACATGTCGCGGAATACCTCCGACTGGGACGAGAGCCACCCTTTGTACACGCGAAAACCAACGCCCTGCGCGAGAAGGATAACGTTCCCGTCGTCGAGCCAGAATATCCCATCGCGGCTGAAAGCCTCCTTCGGTTCGGCCGGTGCTGGCTCAGAGGGAGGGGATCCGGTACGGAGGCGTTTACGTAGAGGTTCATCGGGAGACTGTGAACGAGGGTGCGTAGTCATGGCAGAGATGCGCAGAGCGCGGTTCTGTCCAAGTTCTGTCGAAAGCGATGAGTTGGAGCCTGGCGGTGACTCGCGCACGTGACTGCGTTGCGTTTCTTGATCTCATTTTGGCGCACTGCTCGAAGTATAGCGTTCACAACTTGCTTGTAGCGGTTGATAAATGCTGACTTCATCATCACCATAGCGTTCACAACTCAAAGGTATCATGTTTCCTATTACCTGGGAAGGATGGGAATGGCCCGAGTTGGCCGCACCGCAGCATATAACATTGGCAACACTGGATCGGATGACATTATTGCACACCGTCAATGCATACGTTACTGGCTGCTATCGCGCTCAACCGTACGCTCGTATCCTGGTGCTCAGGCAATCACTGGCAGTCCCAGATGCGGCGCCAGCTTGCTTCTCACGAAGTCGTCGATACCATGTAGTTGCACACCCAGCTTCAGAACGTTCTCGTCGGGTATCTCCTTTGTGCCGTACATGCCCAACTCGTTATAGAGCTGGAACATGATGTCACGGTCGGGAACGTTCGTGGTTGGTAGCGCAGTGTACACGCATTCCTTCCCAGTGACTGAGAGACTTGTTAACGCATGCTACCACAATGCTAGTCAGGCGACTTACTCTTCTTGACGCTCGCAGTGATGTCCAGTGGTGTTAACCTAGCGTTCGTGCAGTAGAGGTATTGGTGATTGAGCTCGTCCTTCCGGGATCCCCATTTATCGAAGATCGCTTTCGTGATACCGGAGAGATCCTTCTCGACATAGAGCATTGCCACTGTCCAATCATTAATGTATACCACGGCCATGTCGGATACGTGAAAGTGGAGACGTACATTGGGTAGTCTCCTTTACGATGGGTTGGCGGAACTCCACGAGATCCTTGTCAGGGTGGTACACCATGTGCGAGCGATAGACCATGTTCTCGTAGAAGTTACCGGTGTACAAGAAGACGGCCGGGAGCCCCGTTTCGCGGATGTAATCATCCACCTGGTATTTGCCTAGCAGAATGTCATCAGTCAGGGATGTCTGACAACGTTTCGCAATGCACCATACCTTCGTAGATCCGGGATACCAGCCGTCCACCGGATATCTTCCTCGAGCTAGGGAGCGTGCTCCACACAAAGCATTCAGCGCCGGCGGCCAATGCGGCGTCGACGAGGTTCTTGCCCTGCCTTTCCTCGCTGCCAGGATCATCTTTGATTTTCTGCACAGTATGAGTGAGCCATGAATTGACTCTCGCATGTTCACCGACGCTTACCGGGTCGTAGAAGTTGGTGACACCAAAGACACCCCAGCAGTCCTTGAGCGCCGCCTTGACGTCGGACGGGACGGTTAAGTCAGCGCGTACCACCTCCGCGCCCAACTTCGCCAAGTCCTGCGCGGTTGCTGACGCAGGATCTCTAGTGAGCGCGCGCACTTCATACTGATCTGGGTGCTGTAGTAGCAGTTTAGCAACCGAACCACCTGGATTGGCAAACGAATCGATGGTGAGGCACATCCGCATCATGACATGACGTTGGACGAACCTTGGTTTCCCGTTGCGCCGCAGACTGCAATTCGCTTGACCATCTTCGTTCGACGCTACGGAGTATCGTATTCCTTGACACCGTCAGACGACGGCGCTGTACTTATGTCGTCGCTGCCGCGAACTACGCTTGCTCATCCCCACACGTGCAAGCGGCGAAGTAGGAGCTCCTTCGTGCATCTGTTCCGTGGTGACCCCACTTCCAACGTCAAACGCGGGGGCATGACGCCCCATGAAGCCCGCATGAACGCTTCGTAGACCAGTATCTCTGTCAGCGACCAGGGGCCGGAGGATTCTATCACGTAGCGACGTCGCGAAATAGGCATATCAGGGCGGTCAGTAGGTCAGCGGTTTAAATAGACGGCCGCCTGGCGGGCGAATCGCCTGGAGGGCTTTAGAAGCGCATAATGCACGATGTAGAGGCCGTGTTGGCTCGGACACCATATACAAGAGAGTTTCAGCAGCGGTTGACTGGCCTGTCCAATTGCGCGCCCTCGCGTCCATAAAAGGCGGCCAAACTCCCACATTTCCCGCACCCGCGCCTCGCTCTTCGTCAGCGTCCGCGTCGCCCACATCATGAGACTCCATGCCGCGCTGTATGAGCGGCACGTACAGAACTGCGTATGGTTCAGAGTACGCTGCAGTGCCAACGAGAACAGGAGTCCTCTGCATCAAATGTATGGACGACAGCCTGTGAGATGGAGGTGGAGGTTGTCAGCAGGGTGTAATAACGATGACACGATATTGGTAACGATAAGTAGGAACAAACGCGCTCATGTCGACCAGCTTATCTTTTCCATTGCTCAAATCAATAGCGTGGCGATGATCTTGTTGATCGCGACCATGCTGTACCGAACACAACAGAAGGTGCTCTGCCAATCGCTGCCTCAAATTATGAAAGTCGAGAAGCCGTCTTAGCAAGCCGAACCTAGTTGACCGTAAGCTACGAACATTCCATCGTCATTGAACTTACCTTCTGCTTACAAATCAGGACCTCGCCATCGTATAAGTTCGCTGGTTTCCAGAAGGCCGGATACCCGATCCAGTCAACGTCTACTCAGCGCCCCACTCTCTACACGCATCCTCGACAACATGGTCTTGAAGTTGTACGGCTCCCCCCTCTCCACTTGCACTCGGCGCGTCGCCATCGTGCTCAAGGAGAAGAACGTCCCCTACGAGTTCTTCCCCGTCAACTTGGCCACCGGGGCGCACAAATCTCCGGAATACCTCGCGAAGCAGCCGTTCGGGCAGGTGCCCTACATCGAGGAGGAGGACGGCTTCCAGCTGTTCGAGAGCCGCGCTATCGGGCGGTACATTGCGGTCAAGTACGCCGGGCAGGGCAACAAGGTTCTGCCTGATCCCGCGGACCTCAGGGCTGTCGCGAAGTTCGAGCAGGCGGCGAGTATCGAGCTGACCAACTTCGACCCGTTCGCGAGCCAGATCGCGTTCGAGAAGGTGTTCAAGGGGTGGGTTTCTTACGCAGGCTACTCGTCAGCTGCAGAGAGTGGGAAGATAGCTGACTGGCGACGTACCTTTGTAGCGGGAAGGGTCTAGGCCCTGCGGACCCCAAGGTCGTCGAGAGCCTGACAAGGCAACTGCTCCTGAAGCTCGATGCCTACGAAATCATCCTGTCGAAGCAGAAGTACCTCGCAGGCGATGTTAGTATCACGTTCTTGCCTATCGAACGTTCGCTGACGACTCACCAACAGGAGGTGACGCTTGCGGATCTCTTCCACATCACCTACGGCGCGATGCTCGCTCCCCTCGGCGTCGACGCGCTTGAAGATGCCTCGAAGAGGCCGCACCTGGCACGGCGAGTACATGTTGGCCAACTGTTCTTATCGAAATACTGACGCTTTCGGCAGGTGGTGGAAGGACATCACTTCCCGGCCTTCCTGGCAGGCTGTAAAGGACGGAGCTTAAGTGTAGCGATGCTGCTTTCGAACGAACGAAATGTAGTGGTGTAAGAACGAATAGGTGCATAGCATGGGTTTACTTTGCACCTCATCTTCGCCCTGATAGTACTTCGCATTGAGGGGCGGTCTGCTAGTGACCGAAGCAGATGTCGCCCTTGAGTATAAGTTTGAGACCACACCGTAAGAGCCGTTGTCGCCCTTTATTTGCTGAGGGAAGAGGAAGATTGGTATATTTGTAAGTATAGGAAGAGTATGAGGAATCAGAGGATGACCGCGACAGACGCTCAATGCTACGCGCTCACGTGCATCGGCCAGCGCAATCACTGTCGTCCCACCTCGTCCAACGGCGTCGACGGCTCTCGACGGGTCGCCATACCTTGTTCAACTCGGCCGCTACAGCTACTATTGTCCTACCATGAGCATGCGACCCACTTCGCAAGTCTCCGACGAGCCGCAGCGAAAACGACCCCGCACCAAGTCAGACTCCGCTGGCCCTGGGTCGGATGAGCCACCGTTCGGCCGCGACGCGAAGTTCTGGTTCCCCGACGGCAACATCATTAACATACTTTTTCCGTGAAAAGGGGCTCGCTACAATCCGAGGGCGCAGTACAGTACGTCAGATTCATAGCGAGCCCCGTGTGGACACGTAAGTCTCCTGTGGGCAGAGTATCCAATTCATTCAACCTCCTAGAGGGACGCGACGCGGTGGCCGCTGCTGGTCGGTGAGCGCTTACTCGAACATCGCGCGCGCCACCTTTCTCAAGAGCACGACTGCGACATACTGCACGCGGAACCACAAAGGAGGCAAAATTTAGAGGGTCGTTCATGTGGATTGCTATACGCACTAGCCTGCACATGAAAAGCGAAAGGAATGGAGAGACACGACACGGTGGCCGCTGCTGGTCGATGAGCGCTTAAGTTGAACATCGCGCGCGCCACCATTTTCGAGAGCACGACTGCGAAGCATTGCCCGCAGAGCCACAAAGGAGGGCACTTCTAAGGGTAGTACTGCATTGCGCAAATTATGGGCATTTTTTCGAGAATACTAGGGCATGTTTGAATGCGCGGGACGGCAGTCTTTGCAGCATCGCAGGAAATAATGATCTGGGTTACGTGAAATTTGTAGTTGTTTGGCTCCGGGCTGCACCCCCTAGGCAATGTATGCTCGCTCCGCTCGCAATCATCGCCCAGAATGTGGGATTTTGCGTATACAAAGGCTTGCTCTCTGCGAGCTCCAAAGAGTTCGAGAACACGTTGACCCTTGCGAGGCCTTCGGAACACCCGGCGGACTGCCCCATGGTTCATGTCACCGATACGGCCGCTGAGATGCGGTCACTGCTCACGGTCCTCCTAGATGCCAGGCGGTGCGCTTCTGCCTATATGAACGAAATGTGCGTACTGATTCTCTCCGTATCAGGTATTTGCGTCGCGAACACCTCGGATTCGAAGACGTCGCGAACTGTGTCCGGCTCGCACACAAGTATGTGATCAAGGACCTCCTCGATGATTCACTGGAGGAGATCCAAAAGTACTTTCCTTCCACATTTTGGGCCTGGGAGCGCAGGAAAAAAACTCCGAAGCTGGGGCACGCGATCATCGCCGTCAACTTGGCGCGCCTTACAGACACAACGTCGATATTACCTGCCGCGCTCTACGTGTGCTGCCAGATGGGAGGCTCGCAAATTATCCGGGGTATGGTTCGCAGAGACGGCGTCGTGGAAACCCTAGCCTCGGACGACGTCGAGCGGTGCATCGACGGCAAAATACAGCTCAGCATCCGTGCATCTGGCTTTATTCACGAAGTCTTTTCCCGCTGGAAAACTGCTCACTTTGTCAATGGCTCCGTGGACAGTGGCGCCACTCGGTGCTGTAGATCTGCAACCTCCCTGCAGGCCCAGTGTTATCAGAACACTGTTGGTCTGTCCAACCTCCTCGGCTCACGAGGTAGCAGTATACGTGCTGCTGGTTCTGCTGGCGGCTCTACGCGCCTCTGCGCACGGTGCATCTCACTTATGTGTGAGAAGGAGGCGAATTTGCGCGAAGCTTTGTGGTCTGAGCTACCACGACTCTTCGGCCTAGTCAAGGGCGGAGACATAGGCCATGGCGAGGATGACACAAGCGAAGTAGACTCCGACTCGAGTTTAGATGACGAGTCGGATAGTGATTAACATTGCACACTTGCACACTGCTAGAGGCAAGTTTATGATGATCCTCCCGTCAGTCCGTAGGCTCTGACTGATATCTTCTGTGTAGCCAAACACAGTACTTACAGATACCTGAGTGCCGAAGCGCTTGAGTTCTGACGGTGTCAGATCGGGGCTCTGCATCCCTGGTTGTTTGTGATGTACTGGGATAGACGTTTATGGCATATGATCGTTGGTCTTTTGGGTCGCTCAGCGCTCGTGGTGCAATTCCTTTTGGTATGGATGTGAGGACTCCTGGTCTATTCTGTGTAGTGTAAGGCTGAAGGTACGCACTTCGACACGTCAGGTACGCATACTGTGCAGTCCATTGTATACATCACTGATTGCACAGTTTAATCAAGTCCTCCTCTGTATCTCTGCTGGTCAGCCTGTCATGCATCGTTGCATACTCCTCCTGAATCTTCATAGGTCGTCGACCGGACTCCGGATTCCACGGAGTCTGCCCCGTCCGGTCGTGCCTCTGCGCAGGGAAAGTCACCGAGCCTTCTCCTCCCGTTCTTGCGGTGACAGCATCATACACAAACGTTCTAGTATGTGCCGACGACATCGTGAGCGTTGCTGCTAACCTGCACTAGGCCCATAGGTTGTCCTAGGGTCAACATCGACGTAGCCGACCGTGTCCAACTCACGCACAAACAAGCGATCGAGAGCCTTCTATACGACTTCGCGAGAGCTTGAACGAATCTGGGTGGTGGAATGATAGGCCGCGGACAAGCACGCACCCGAAGACTATGCGATCGTGGCCGCGGACCTCGCGTCTCACGGAAATCCAGTCGTTACTCCCTGCTTCGTCACAGTTATCATCCTGCTGTCAATTGGATGTGCGGTAGCTGCCAGATGCAGGTAAATGTGTGTCCCGACGGCGCGGTAGAGGATTTGAGGCCAGAGAATCTGGAGTCCTGCATTGACGGTATACCGGTAAGTCTTCGCTGCTCTGCACGCCGCGCTATGTGTAGGCGGTCTGTGAGTTTGGGGGCCGGACAATGAGTGAACTAAACGAGGCACTGAAGCGTACGATCTACTACTGAGGTCAGGACGCTTGGGACTGTGGGCGGACCTGTGGACTCGGACAAGTCCCCGCGGCCACTGCCAAAGGCGCTTACAGGCCTCGCGGTCACGTGCATCCTTGCCGCCAGCGCATTCAATTTCCTGTCGCTCAGCGAGTTGTGACTTGTCCAACGGCGTTGACTCGACGCATCGCCAAACCCTAGGTGCTTGCTCGCCACTGGTATACCGTCCAGTCATGAGCCAGCGAACTACCTTGCAGGATCCCGACGAGCCGCAGCGCAAACGACCCCGCACCGTGCCAGACTCCGGCACTGGGTCGGACGAGCCGCCTTTCAGCCGCGATGCGAAGTTCTGGTACCCCGACGGCAGCATTATCATCCTCGCGCAGAACGTCGGATTTCGCGTCTTCAAGAGCTTGCTTGCTGCGAGCTCTGATGTGTTCCGCGACATGTTCGCCCTCGCGCAGCCTTCGGACCACTTACAAGATGCCTCGGACGATTACCCCGTCGTACACGTTAGCGACACGGCGGCCGAGATGCGCTCGTTACTCACAGTGCTCCTGGATGCCAGACAGTATGTGTTCATTGTCATTGGCTCTTGGTACTGACTGATGTTGTCAGGTACATGTGGGCCCGCCGCACGTTCGCGTTCGAGGACATAGCCAATTGCGTCCGGCTCGCGCACAAGTACGGGATCAAGGACCTACTCAAGGACTCTTTGGCGGAGATTGAGAGATACTACCCTGCCAAGTTCGAGTCGTGGGACACCCGAGCTATCCCCTGCGCGGATGGACACGCGATTATCGCTGTCAACCTGGCGCGCCTCACGGGCACGACGTCGTTGCTACCAGCCGCCCTATACTGCTGCTGTCAGATGAACGCACGGGAGCTAATGGACGGGTACGAACGCTCAGACGGTACGGTTGACCGTCTGAGCAAGGAGGACCTCGAGCGGTGCATCGATGGCAAGAGCCATCTCTCCCTCCACTGCATGCGTGCGGTATACCAGATGTTCCGGCCCTTGGAGCTGGCTGAAAGTGCCAAATGTAGACAGGCCAATCCCTCATGTGCATCCTCACTTGCCGCTATACAATCCTATAGCTTAACACTCCCTCCTTCACGTAGATATACTTATAACGCTTTGACATCTTGGCGGGAACGCGTACTAGATGTGCTTACTGATAAGACTCAGCAGCATCATGTCTGTTCAATGTGTATCAAGGTCCTACTGAAACGGGACATAGACGTACGCATGTTTATTTGGGAGGACTTGCCAAAGCTGTTCGAGTTGACAGGTACTACGTAATTGCTATGAAGACATGCTCCTTACGCTTGAAGCAATACTGATTCCGACGAACAACATGGTGACTGGAGCTTGAACTTATCGATCTACTATGCTACAGTATGTATGATACCGTCCATACAACTTGATCAGAAGCCATACTGCGTCCCCAGTGTGTACTGGGACGACATACGCGACAGTGGGAAAGCTCTAGACAATGGACCGTGACTGAAGATATTAGTGGTCCTGGGCACTCTCAGCGTCATCCTCCTCAGACTCGTCCTCGTCCAGAGCCTGCAATGCCGACACATCCAACCATACTTTATCCAACCATATTTCCCTGCGCAGCATCCTCTCCCTTATGCACAGCGCTGTGATGCACGAGGCACACAGAGGCATGTCCCTCTCCGCACTCGTCCTGCGGCCGCTGCCACACTTCCTGATCTTCCCCTCCCATGAGGCGAGAAGGTCGCAGCCGTCGCTGACGTTAACGCGGGAGCTCCGTAGATTCTGTAGAGAGGTGAGGGATTTTCGGCATTGATCGCTCGAGGTACAGCTCGTGTTGTTGGTAAGCCCGAACAGCTTGTGGATGAACGGTACCGCACGGACGCAAAGCTCCGCCTTTCCATTGATGCAGAGCGCGAGGTCTTCCCGGCTCAGAGAGTCCACCGCGCCGTCTTCGCGCTTGTGTCCGTCCACCATCTCCATTGCGTCGAGTTGGCAGCAGGCGTAGATAGCAGAGGGGAATAGCGATTGTGCACCGGGGCACACGAGGCGCGCCAGGTTGACTGCCACAATCGCGTGTGTCGGCTCCGCGCTCTCGACCCTGGAGTCCCATGCGTCGAAGTCGTCTGAATAGTACCGTCTGAGCTCCTTCAACGAGTCCTCGAGGAGGTCCTCGATCTCGTACTTGTACGCGAGTTGAATGCAATTCGCCATGTCTTCGAACGTAAACTCCAGGCGTCGTTGCATGTAGCTATTTTGAATAAACCAGTGAATCAACGGGACACTCTCAGATACAGATCGACTACATACTGCCGCCCTTCTAAGAGAACCATCAGCAGTGAACGCATCTCCGCGGCCGTGTCGGTGACGTGAACAACGGTGCAGTTGTCCCCGCTCTCAGGCTGGTCTCGCGATTGACTCGGAGGAAGCTGCGCAGCATTAACCATGTAGCCAAGCACCCTGGATGATTTGGACAGCAGGCCTTTGTAGACACGGAAGCCTACATTCTGTGCGACGATGATGACGTTGCCGTCATCGTACCAGAACTGCGTGTTGCGGACAAACGGAGCCGGTAGAGGCGACATGGAGCTAGAGTCTGTACGTGGACGCTTTGGAGTGCGAACTCGGGAGTCTGGGGTCTCTGAACTCGATGGACGGCTCATGGTACATGGACAGCAACGAAGTGCGCTTTCTGATCTGCCACCGGACACGCTGGCAGCCATATAGCACGTGATCGCGTCCTGGCAATAATGATCTTGTCGGACCTGAGCTGTATGTACTAGCGTAGTCTGCTGATATAATCTCGTATCTCGTATATATGTCGTCGCTGTACAGACCCTTACCTTTCATCTCCTCGGTCCGACTCGGTCACTCACTTTAGGACTCGCCCTCATCCGCTCATTATGAGCGAGCAGTCACGCACTCACTCTGATGAGCCACCGACGCGCAAGCGGCCGCGAACCGACTCGGAGTCCAGCGCTGCCAGCGTGGGCTCGGATTCGTCGAAGGAGCCCTTCAGCCGAGACGGAAGGTTCTGGTACGAGGACGGAAACATCGTAGTCATCGCGGGGAACGTTGGATTTCGCGTCTACAAAGGCCTGCTCTCCGCGCACTCCGACGTCTTCCGCGACATGTTCAGCCTTCCTCAACCGGGTCCGGACCCAGTGGGCGACTGTCCCGTAGTCCATGTCACAGATACGGCAGCGGAGCTTCGTTCACTGCTATCGGTACTTCTTCCTACGCAGTACGTGCTCTGCATTGTCTCGCTACACCTCTTCGACCCATCGATGGTATCTTCACAGGTTCCTACCAGAACATCGCTTCTCTACTTTCGAAGATCTCGCTAATTGCACTCGACTCGCGCACAAGTATGGCATGAAGCAGCTCCTTGAAGATTCTCTGAAAGGGCTCGAATACTACTTCCCATCTACACTGGCTTCGTGGGACCGCCGAAATAAGCTCGCCATTGACACGCAAGCTATCGTGGGGGTCAACGTTGCACGTCTCACAAACACGCTGTCATTGCTTCCCGCCGCCCTCTACCTCTGCTGCCAGTTAACTGCCGAGGAGCTCATAGAGGGGCATCCTCACTCAGACAACACCGAAGATACTCTGAGCCCAGAAGACCTGAGGCTGTGTCTCAACAAGAGGGCTGAGCTCTGCACTCTGTTTATGACCAGTACACTCAGAGACACATTCAGTCCTATCGGCGAAGATGGCGAATGTTCGACAAACTCGCGTTGCAACAACTCTATCCACTCCATTCTGTCAGCTCATGTTACCCTCACCTGCAGCGGGTACAGCAATGCCCTATACTCATCGTTCAAATCCTTACGCAACTATTTCTACAAGGCGACGCCAAAACCCGCGTACCCCCTTTGTTCGTCATGCATCAAAATATTGGTAGAAAGAGAGGGGAATAGGCGCAAGCAAATCTGGGCGGAACTTCCGAAGTTGTTTGGGTTGGAGACTGATGAGAAGGAGCGGGAGGAGTAGCGCATTCAGCTGGTGAAACAATTGGGGCTGTCATGGTATGCTAGAGCCACGCACTCGCGTAGTCAGCTGCGCATGGACACTAACTACTGTGATCATAGGTTGTATGTACGATTACAAAAACACGCCACATACATGCGCCGCAACCACGAAGTGCCGCTGCAACCCACTGCGCATCACTCTTTCAAGTTCCGCTAGCCTATCATCAAATGCCTCGTCGTCCGGCTCCGAGCCGAGACGTTCAGAGTGCAGGATCCTCCATCCGTCAGCGTTCGTCAACGACTGCATTCTCTGTATCATCTCCCGGACATCCTACTAAGCCGTCTTTGCGGTGATGCCTTTGTCCGGATCTGAGCCGTCCCCGAACGAGACCTCTGCTCCTCCACCCGCGGCTCATCTTCACGTAGGCCAAATTCCAGACAGCGTCGAGCACGAGGATATCCGGGTCGCCGACAACGATGAGGAGCGTTCGTAGCCCGGGTGATAGCACATCGTAAGACAGCAGTCGGGACGATGCGTGTTCAGAACAGCATGCACCGTTGAGGGTCACCTACGACGCCCAACCGCTGGCGAACGTTTCGGAGTGCACGAACGGGGTTGCTCCGGACGATCGAGATGGTGATAACGCGACGTTCCTACATAACAGGCTCGACACTCCAGAGGTTCGTCGCCGCGGGTAGGGATCCGTACCTGCCCGTGTAATTCCTCCGTGCTACCCGCCTTCACGCCCTCCAGCCTAGTCGAGCGCCTTCCTAGCAGCGCGCGCTGCACTGCGCACTATACGGCGCCGCTGGAGACGTCAGGGTCAGCGGCGTGCATGGGACCATTGAGAAGATCACATCGAGTAACGTGTAACGATGAGCGCGTCTACCTACCGGGGGACACTCGACAATCAGACGGGACATGAGCACAGCAGGCCGGCCTTGGATAGACCGCCCCGCCACCCACCCGTCAAGCAAGCGAGGGAGCTCTTCCGAACGGGATTTCGCCACACGCTGGTCACCGTACTCGCACGCAGCATGCTCCCGAGCTTTGATTCCAGCACGGGTGCGAGGTGAGGGTACAGGATCGCCGGCCGGGCAAGATTGGGAAAGCCGTAAAGCCAGACTGCCGAATCCGGCTCACCACCGTAGCGCACCATGAGAGTCGTTCCATCGCCGTTCCAGGCCCTGTGAGGTACTCAGGGGACGACGACATTCTGAATGCTGCAGATAGGTAGTTTTGGTGGAGGCTTGGTGCCATCGCGCAGGGTCAAGGTGAGTGTGAGGAGCCTGCACGCGTTGGTTTGTATGATATGAGATGAGCAATCGTAGTCGAGGATGACCACAGAAGACGCACATGAGAGAAAATCACATCCCCCGGTGGCCTCGAGCCAGTCGATCAGATGGGCCATGCCATATCGTCTGCCAAAACTCGTTCACTCACGCTTCGGTGACGTCAAAATGCATGAGAGCTTACCGTACCCGCCGGTATTTGGCTCTGCAGCTTGAATGCGGCGATTGGACCGCAGGCCAGGTTCTCTAGGACATACACCTGACACGCCATACTCAGTGTGCATGTACCGTCTTTGGAAATATCATCTGCGCACCTTGTCGTCCCAGCCTAGCGTAGCGAGGAATAGCCCGGTTGGATGCCATGCGACTGCACGTATACCAAAGCCAGGGTCCTTCATGTGCGAACGATCCAAGGAGCTCGCCTGGCAGGCTCAAACTACATCGAGGCGACTCAAGCGACTCATGAGCACGTAGTCCAACAGTTCACTCGATCCCCCATCGGCCGCCAGCACACCCGTAGCTTCCGCCTCGCGCAGAATCCTATTGTTGTACTCCTCTGCGCCTGACAGGTCAGCGGCCCGGGCGCAAGCCGCGTGAAGCCTGAAATAACGAGGGTCAGGCAACGGAAGATTCACCGTGTCGGTCGTCGTAAACTCGACACGTCTGTTCAGTAGACTCCGGAGATCATGTTCAGCTGAGGCTTTCACGACGTAAGTATACTTGGAACCCTGTAAGTGGGTGCGATGTGAACTAGCAGACGGCGAGTATGCGAACTCCATCGCTCACGTTCGGACGGTTCTCCAGCCAGAGTTGTAGCTGGTCGAATGCGTCGTGGTAAAATGAACCCAGGATAAGAATATTTTCAAGGCGATGTACTTTGGGGCCGTTGAGCTCTTCGATGGAGCTGACACCGCCGAAGCCGTCCAATATCGCGTGCACGGAGGCGGCATAAGCGTTCTGAAATGGGAATCAGACGAGAATGAACGTCAGATTCCTTTATATTGAACCTTGGCGGGATCACCGATATATCCGTTTGTGGACCTATCGAAGATGTGTGTGCAGCGGGTGTTTGCTGACTGGGTCACTCTATCATCCAAAGACGCATTTACTCAAAAGCTTCTAAGCCGAGTTGTTTGCTGAGCATACACCTATACCCATTGCGGAGAAGAACCTGAAAGAGCGAGCAGAATTACCGGGAAAATTACAGTATATTAGGAACTGCAGGGCGTACTTTGGCCTTGGCTACTTGGTGAATCGACGGAGTCGAGACCAACAGAGCTCTGATCTCTCGTTTCTCAGGGTCAAACGATGGCGCAACAGGACGTGACATAGGTTCGGGCGTGGGACCCTTTGCTTGACAAACTATGTGGACACCGTTTTCGCGTAAAAGCGCACGAGTGGGTACGAGGGGGAGGTGGCTTACAGCAACGAAGGAAATGGTTCTTGTAGAGGCTTGTTAGCTCCTGGAGCACCGCACTATCTGCGTGGCGACCTCGATGTGGCCCTTGTCCTCGGTGCCTCGAGCAGCCTCCTCCGCAGAAGGCGCGCATACTAGGGGAGGGGGTACCCAACTGCGACACCGGGATTGCTGACAAGTTTCGACTCGAGAGCAAGATAGACACCTTACGCAGAGTGTAACAAGATTTCAGAGTCGGTATTGAAGGGATCCGGTCGAGGAAGGGGTTGGGCCATGACCACGGAATATCTGATGGTTATTGTTTGTAATCAGCGGCATTGGTCGTGCAAGTGGTCATACATACCAGAAGTCAAGAGGTTCCACACACGGATGCAACAGGCATCAATTAAGAATGGTGAATCCGAAGGAGGTAGAAGTTGGGTAGACGTAGAACTGGGAACGCGTTGACGGTTGACGGTCCCTTGAGCGCTACTTACGGCCAGCGCTGAGCTGTTATGTACGCGGTCACGGGGCTTGTGCTCTGGTCAGCGCAGCGCGTCGCGACCTCACGTTGTCACAACTTCAACTTGGCCACACCCTCTCACCATGGACGCACCACCGAGCCCGCAGCCATTGGAGCCGACTCGAAAGCGACCTCGCTCGGAATCCGAGCCCACGGCCTCACTGCAGCATGCCTTCAGCCGGGACGAGCGGTTCTGGTACGAGGACGGGAATGTCATCATCATAGCGCAGGGCGTCGGCTTTCGCGTCTTCAAGGGTCTGCTTGCCGCAGACTCTGAAGTTTTCCGCGACATGCTGAGCCTCGCCAAACCTGCTCCGGATCTCTCGCGAGAATCTGGCCTGGACGACTGCCCCGTAGTCCACGTCACGGACACTGCGGCTGAGGTCCGCTCATTATTGGCCATTCTGCTGGGCGGAAGGCGGTACGTATACCAAACCATTCTCTCTATTTTTGGGGCCGTGACTAACAGCGCGTTTTACAGATACATGCGACGCCTGAAGTTTGAATTCGATGACGTCGCGAACTGCATCCGTCTCGCGCACAAGTACGGCATTCAGGACGTGCTCGAAGATTCCTTGGAGGAGTTGAAGAAATACTTCCCCGCCACGTTCGATGCGTTCGCGACCCGCCTCACTAGCGAGACATCGACCGACGCGATCGTCGCTGCGAATCTAGCACGCCTCACCAATACTTTATCGATCCTTCCCGCCGCTCTCTATGGGTGCTGTCAATTGGACGGGAAAGAGCTGCTGGAAGGCAAGGTGCGCAAGGACGGTGTTGTGGACACCTTGAACTTCGAGGATCTTGGACACTGCACGGACGGAATGAGAAGGCTCTGCACGCTCAACGTTCAACTTGCGTCGGATGTCTTCTCGCCCCTGGATAACGCAGAATGCGTGATCATCGATCGCTGTAACACATCTCTTGCAACTCTCCAACTGAAGTGGATCCATCGGATTCCACGGGGAAATGGCGATGTTCTCGCTCCCTGGGACCTCCGCGGCTACGATCGTAAAAAGAAGCCAAAACCAAGTTCGCCTCTCTGCGCATCGTGCATTGCACTGCTTGAAGCGAGGGCCACCACGCTGCGCCAGAGGATCTGGTCCGAACTGCCTGATGTATTCAATCTGAAGGAGGGAAGCGAGGAAGTGGTGTCTCAGGAGGATGCAGTTATGTCTCAGGGTGATAGCTGAGTATATCTCTGGTTGACATGGACTTAACATCGACTTGTTCCCTTCGTCCACATTTACAGATACAGTAGTACTGCGCTGCTCTACCCCAATCCAACTCCGTCTATACGCCGCCTCCAGGCTGGTTTCCTTCGTTCACATTATTGGGGACTACATGCCATTGTTCACTGGTCCACGGCACCTTCACCACCAGTCTCTCCTTCAAATCCTGCATTGCAACCATTGCCGTATGACCCCGAGACGAATTTTCCTCTCCAGCCGCCATTGGCCTTCACATACACCATGAACTCACGCCAAACATCGTCAAGTGCGAGGACATCTGGATCGCCGATGACGACGAGAAGAGACCGTGCTCGCGTTGTAGCGACTGAGCATCCCGTCAGCGATGCTTCCAGCGAACTCTCGGATTTTTGCAGGTTGTACGCACCGTTAAACCTGCGTGGATCTGCCACGAACCCGAGCCGCTGGCGAATGTCTCTGTCCGCGCGCTTCTGGTTGCTACGTACAGTCGATATGATGATGACACGGTAATCCTGCGCAGAAGGACTCGGTCAGAGTCAAGTAGCTTACTTGGGGACACGACACGTACCTGGCCCTGAAACTGTTCCGTCGAGCCGATACGCAGTGCGTCCGTATCCATGGGTGATTGTTTGAGGAGCGCGCGGATCTTGTGGCATTGCGCACTGTACGGGCTTATAATTCCAATTTCTTGCGCGGCTGGGTATGCCAGTCTCAAGGTCAGCCACTAAAAAGGTTATCTAATGAGACGTACTGATGGGACAGTTTGTATCGTTGATTAGCATCTCGCAGTATCTTGATACAAGCATCGCCTCCGGCATATTGAAGTAGGAGGGAGAGTGTCCTTTCTGGACCTCCCGGCCTTTGACAGCGTGAAAGACCACGGGGAATTTGGGGTTAAGACCATCCAGAACATCTGAGTCAAGCATGCTATGCGTGATTGCCTCGTCGCCACACAGCTTCAGTTCGTTGTCGTAAAAGTGCTGATTTGAGAATCCAATGATCGCGGGGTGTGATCTGAAATGGTTGAGTAGTTTGATGATCCTACGGTCATTGTCGTCAGCATTGGACTCTGATTCAGGTTTAGAAATGCACGAACGTCACTCCTCCGTAGTCCTTTAAGTCGTAAATAGGCAAGTCTGAGAGCCGTTCCATGTAACTGTGTTTGAGGCCGAAGTCGCTGGCGAGACTCGAGTGAATGACTGGGCCAAGCTGTTTGAAATCACCGGCGAGAATGATGTTCGTTTTTTGGTCTGCAAGGAGCTTGAGCGGGATCATTGTATCGGGCTCTGTACACTGGCTCGCTTCATCGACGAAGATGTGAGTGAACCAGCCACGTTCGATTTGGAGAAGATATGGGATGGCTGCAGATGCGCAGGTCGCAACGACCACCCTGTACGACTGCAGGCGGTCCAAGTCCGGGATGCCGTACTTGTCGTCCTTGGTAACACTGAAGTCTTTGAGTGCAGCCCTGAGCTTCGTGTCCGAGTCAACGGGACGGCCGGGCGCGTTGAGTCTGAACAGCTGCGTGGGTCCTAGCTCCATCATCTTGTATGCCAACAGATCAGCTGCTTCATTCGTCGGCGCGCACATGAGCAGTCGAACATCTGGTTTGCGCTTGAGAAGCTGGAGAGCAGCCTTGGCGACGGTCAGCGTCTTCCCGGTGCCAGGGCTATTCAACGGTAGAATGAGCCGATGGAGGAGGAGCACAGAGGAACACGCACGGGCCAAAGATAATGAACGGCACACTTCCTGGAGGTTCCGTCACAATTTTTGCGATGGTTTCCTTCTGTTCCCGATTACTGAGCAGGCTATTGTCTTCCTCGAGATCTATCGTGTCGATCTCGGCATCCGTAAGGCGACGCAAACCCAAGATATAGTTTATGTCGGGAAACAGGAGGCGACGCTGATGAGCAGCCTTACGCGTTAGGTTGTTTGCCCGATGGCGTCTTCTCCACGGCGTGCCGTCCAGCTCGAACATGACGTCGACTAGCTCGTGTGGCGGGTCGCACTCAAAACTCCCGTCGTGGAATCTCAATGCTACTGTATGAGGTATGCGGGCGCGGTTGAACGTAGCTCGATGCCAAACGTTGTCTCCGTCTCTCTTGCGCACGTGCAACGTGCCGTTGACTTTGACCCCCGGTACCTCCGTCTCCCAGACAGGTATACACAGACTGAAGGTGTAAACGATGTAAGGCGCTGACTCATCGGCAAGGGTGCAGACATAGTAGGATTGCACATACCTATAGTGATCGCGCTCGGGTGCTAGAGTGGTGCTACAGATAACGTTGCGTTGGAGATCAATCCTAATAGTCACAATCAAGGACAGCCCAATCAGAACATGAATAATTCGGGAACCTCTGTTGCCATTCCTCGAGGTGAAGTAGAGGGCGAAAGAAAGCATTATGCGTCTGAAAGGTGAGTTTTGATGGTAGGAGTCGCCTCCGAATCTCCTCTTCCTTAGCCTGTCGACTAGACTCCTCTCTGTCGAGGATACCCATCAACTTCTGGTTTTGTTTCTTCATGTCTAGATATTGGGGTAAATCACGTAACACGATTGCATTCCGCAAGGCCCTCTGGCATGTCGGGACGGTCCACTTCATAGCCTGAGTCTTTTGCAAGTGGGGATCTTGGTGCAGGAAGTGGTCTTCAATCCCCTCAGACTCGTTCAAACCACTCTGCGTGGGCCCAACGGGACGATGTCGACGTTCAAGTTAAGCAGTGCGACTAGTGGCACCGGTTAGTTTGAAATCGTCAATGTAACGCATGTTGCTTACACAATCACGTGGCTTCGTCGCGGTTGTGGCGCGAAATCGCGCTCTGAAGTTTGAAGTTTGAACGGACTCGGACTCAGATTTAACTCTGATCTTGCCTTCAGTTTACCGGGCTCCGGTTGATTCGTGTAACAACAAGACACAGACTCTAGCTGGTCCGCGAATATGCAGGACCAAACACAGGTGCGTAGCGAGTACAACGGCCTCGCAACGGGAAGACAGGCTAACCTCTGCAATACAAGCCATGCGTATATCTGTCCCCAGATGATGAGGAGCACGGTATGTTGGCTATCAAATCACAGTGATTGTCGACCAATCAGCGCAGACGACGGCCTACCTCCCGAACCGTTACACCCCTCCCAGTGGCGCGACCTCCCTAGTGGGTACGTCCAGCGCATGAAGGTCTACAAAACACTATGGGCGAGGTGTCTCTCCCGCATGCAGGTACGCCCAGTCGCTTAACGAGGCTCTTCACTGCTTGACACATGCCGTGTCAGACACTTGTTCATGCGATACACGCCCCGGTGGCCTGCGAAGTTGCCCTCGAAATCAAGTCAGCGTATGAAGACCAGCTACCAGGTTTACCCTATCACGAGATTCCCGTGATCGCACTCGCAGGTCTGTATCATACCATTACACCCTGCGCACGACACCGACAGTTCCTTGCAGCGGAGCCAGGCAGCCCCATCTATGCTGATGTAGTCTCTCAGCTTGAGAGCCCTTCAACGGTTCAGGGCCAAGAAAGACGCGATCTGTTAATTCACCTACACCCCTCTGAATGTCCAAACCTGCTCTCGATGATGAGAGCGGTCGTCACCGGCTTCACGGCACAGTCTGGTACCGAAAGTAGGTAAGACGGGTTTCTGCCGCGCGTACTCGACGTGACACGGTTGTGTATCTAGGGAGAACGCGGTCCGCTGTCTCTCTTGCGAACTATGATTTCGCGCGCCTCCAAGCGTGGTATCGCACCCTTGACAGCCACCCGAATCTTGTCGTTTTCGTCCACGATTTCGAGCAATTCGATGTCGGGGTGGTCCAAGACGCCCTGTATATCTGCAGGTACCCGTTTCACGTCGCACGATGCGCTTGGTTCTCATTCACCCAGCTTGCATGTACCACGTGTTCCTTTGGTCTTCGTCCTGGGCCTTACCTCGCCCTCGACGCCGACGCACCTCCACAAAGCTTATGCACGGTCGACGCTCGCGCTTCTCCGCATCCGAGCGTTCACCGCACCCTCAGGCCAGTCCGTCACGGAGGAAGTGCTCGCCAGGGTAAGCCGCGCATATTCTCGCCTCACCAGCGGAGCTGAGCGCATACGCATCAGACATACTTCGATCCCACTTTCGAACCGGACATAATGATCGGCCCAGCGACTCTCGACTTCCTCCACGACTTCGCGTCGCGACACACGTCCTCGCTGGACGCGCTCTACACCGTTCTGCAGGTGCGCATGTACTCGATTTCCGATACGACAGGACTTGACGGACTGGCAGCTCGCCCACATGAAACACTTCACCGAGCCGCTCACCGTACTCGCAGACGCGTCCTCCGACGCTCATCCCTCGCTCACCGACGAATCCGCCCGCCCGTTCGTCTCCGCGCTCGCACTACGCCTCCAGCGCTCCACCGACAGCGCCCCAGACGACCTGCTAGACGCGGTGCAGAGCGCGCGCGCGGCCTTCCACCGCAAGGCGCGCGAGCTGCGCGTCGCACTCGCCGCCGCGGAGGCCGCGCGCCGGATCGGGCAGATGGCGGGCGCACACTCCGTCGAGGAGGAGGACGCGCTCCAGTTCGCGCGTGCGGTGCTGCGAGGGCGCGTCGAGAAGGAGGTGCGGTACCTCGGGATGGTCGTGAGGTGCGTTCCGAGCTTGCGTCCGTTGTATGGTGCTGACGCGCGGCGCTCTAGGAAGCTACCGGCGGAACAGCTGGGGATGCTCCTTGCGGAGCTGCTGGCGCTGTTCGAGCAGGTTGGTGCGGGCGGAGATGGCTCGGAGGAAGGGACGCCGCACGCACAACTGCAGAACCTGTTTGCGCAGCTGCCGCGGAGCGAAGAAGGCGAGGATGGCAACCCCGATGCGGACGGCCCACCGCAAGAAGATGGCGCTCCCGGCGTGCGCGAGCTCTCGGACGCCCTGGGAGGCTGGCTCGTCGACTTCCTCGAGTGAGTCCGGCGCAGGAGCGCGATTCCGATCGGTGCCACTGACATCGCCGTGATCGTAGGCAGCGCTTCGTGAGGCTGGACGAAGGGCCCCTGTGGGACATGTGGTACATGGGGAACACGCCGTTCCCCGCAGAGGTGCGCAGCGCTTTCCCCTTCCACCCTGTTTCCGCTCACGTCGCGCCACCTCTAGCTCATCAACCCCGCCCCGCGCCTCGCCGTCGTCTCCGCGCTCACGCACCCCTCCGACTTCGCGCGTGCGCACTGCGAGCTCCTCGAGCCCGCGCCCTCTCCCTCCGCGTCTCCGTCCCCCGCGGACCCGCTCGACCTCGACGGAGACGAGGAGGACGAGGGCGAGGAGGCGCTGTGGGAGCTCCCGGACGCGAGCATCCTGTTCCGGCGGTACGTGGAGGCAGGCCGGATGGTGAACGTGTACGACTGGTTCCAGTCGTTCGCGGTCGTGCTCGAGGGCCAGCGGCGGCGGCTCCGCAAGCGCGAGCGCGAGGTGGCCGTCGCGAACGGCGGCGGTGCGAGACGGGTGAACGGCGTGCCGAAGGGGAAGGGGGCGCTGCAGCTGGAGGCGGAGGGCGAGGACGAAGAGGAGAGCGAGGAGGAAGGTGCGAGCGCCGAGGAGGAGAGCGAGGAGTGGGTGGAGGAGGTGCAGGCGCGATTCATGCGCGCGCTGCATACACTGGACTGGATGGGCTTCGTCCGCCATACGGGCAGGAAGGCGGACCATATCATCCGCACGGTTTATGACGTGCTCGATTAGCTCAGTTCGATAGCCGTCTTTGTCCAATGTCCCAATGGTCTGTCCGCGTCGGCTAGTAATGTTCCAAGTGCCCTATGCTACATCCAGATTACAGGTTAAAACATAGACAAGTCAATTGGAATAGAGAGCTATAGCATGTCCTTCTCAACCGCGACCCCTCAGCCACTTCAGCTCACAAAATCCACCCCACCAATAGCAATGCAGCCAACAGCGATGCACTCCCAACCGAAACGCCTGCAACGCGGCGCGCAGCGCCATTCGCAGACACGCCAGTTATCGTCGTGGGCACCGCGTCGGGCGGACGCGAGCTCGTCGCGACCCTGAAGCCCGTCGTGGCGGCCATCGCGCCCGCAGACTGCGTGCCCGCTGCCGCACTAGTCGCCGCCGTCGCCATCGAGCCGAGCTCGGGGTGCTCAGAGGCGTTGAACGAGCCCGTCATACCGGTCATCCTACGAGTGGGTGCGTCAGTGGGCGGGTGGGTAGAGAAGCGGGCGGGGAAGACGCACGTGAAGGTCGCGGAGAAGGCCTCCGCGGGGAAGGCGGAGTTGTTCGCGTCCTTGAGGCTGAGGGACTGAAAGCGGATGAAGCTGCAGACATGTGTGTTAGCCCGCCGGGCGGTGTGCGCGAGAGGTGTGCGTAGTGCGAACGCACTAGTAGTCGCCGTTGGCCCCCACGGTGGGATCTGGTGTGAAGACGATCGACTCTGTCGTGGCGACGTCGACGCTCGAGACAATGTTCTGGACTCGCGTCTAGAGCGGGAGGTACCGTCTCAACAACGCGGAGTGGGGTGACTAGTAGAGACGTGCCTGGACGGTCGCGCTCCCGACGTAGATACCAACGCTTGCCTTGCCGAACTTCGTGAGGGCGGGGTCGGATCCGTCGTCCTTCCAGGATATTGTCTGGTTCTGCCCTGCAGTCCAAGTCGTCCCGTCGACGGGTGCAGTGACCTGGGCAAACGTTCAGTGAGGTTGTTCATGTGTGCAAGGCAAGGAGTCTCACGTACATAGAGCTTTCCCAGAGCGGGGAGACCGAATGCGGCGACGAACAGCAGTCGTGCAACCCGCGAAGACGTCGACTTGGGCATACCGAAGCTACGAGGAGGACAGAGTCCACCGGCTCAGGCGCAGGAGCGCGAGTGCGTGTTGAAGAATAGAGAGAAGACGCAGCGGACGAGGCTGAGGCAACGCGGGCCAACCACGATCGTTTGACAGGTGGTCAACTGCGTGGCGATCGACCGTCTGCGTCTGAATCATCTCGGACTAGAGGATCCTCAGACTTTATACACACGGGGTTAATGCATGGGACTGGGAGTCAGATAATTGGGCCTTTTTTCGAGAGGATATTCTCGAAAGTCGGACTAGTAGTAGACTCGCACCGGTAGCGTACTAGTAGTACGTGACCCTTCGACGACGGCCGTGAGATGGGAGACAGATGGCGGCTGCCAGTAAATGACGACGAATTATTTGGTGTCCAAGGACATTCCCGTCAGATCATTGTACAACGAAGGTAGACCAGGCTTCACGCGCACGGTCAGCCTAGCGAGAAACACGAACTACGTTACAACAGCGGCAGTAGATGAGATCAAGATCTGGGTCGATCTCGCGGAGCTGGAATGTCAGCCACATCATCCACCTACGGTAAATCATACTCATGTTGTGATGCTGCGACCACGACAATGATCCACTGCCGTCTGAATATACTCGACGTATCAATGTCATCAAAATCTGTGGTCCTGTCAAATGTCCAAACAACAACGTTTCGTCAACGCGCGAGCTTGACGCAAACTTGAACGGCGGAGCGGTAAGCACCACGCCTTCAAGTTCTCATTTGCGTGTAGCTGGGCTTACATGTCTCTAAGCATGTGCTACAGATTTCTTCTCCTCAGGTCTAACATACGCATGAGAAACTTTGGAATATGGTCGGCCAGAGTGTCCCAGCGTCAGGTATCTGGGCGCCAATAGGGACTACTAGTATAGACGGACGCCGTCCGTCTGATTAGGTTCTCGCGGTTCCCATAGCGGCATATAAGGCTGAACTCGCGAGAAACGACGCGGACGCTACCCTCCTATCTCCCCTGTATCGCGTGTGGGATGTCCTTGGTTCGTTGCTCGTGCGGTCTCGATATCAGTGCCCGGCGTATGGATTCCCATGTCGCCGGGCGCAGGCATCAGCGACTCTCAGGGCAAGCGTCGGCGGCGACGCAGGGTCAGACAGGTCTGTATTTCTCATTGTGTGTGGCGAGGCGAGTGCAGTCTGACGTGCCCCGTGTTTATCTCAGACGCAGCACAGAGCAATGGAGGTGGTACAGCCCCGGATCCAGCTGTCACGCCCACCAGTGTGCCTGCATTGTCCACCACCGGAGTGATGTGCTCTTGTGGAGAGCTCATCAGGCTGCGCAACAACGAACAGAGGGAGCGCCATCTGCAGGGGAGGCGCCATCTAGATGGGCTACAGCGCATGGATTCCCATGTCGCCGGGAGCAGGCATGGGGCCGAACACAGCACGCAGGGCCAGACAGGTCTGTAGACCACATTGCGTGTTGCACGACGACCGACTGCAGGCTGAAGTGCCGCGTTCACTCAGACTCAGCACAGAGCAATCCGGGCAGCGCAGACCCCGATCCAGCTGCTACGCCCAGCAGTGTGCCTGCATTGTCCACCATCGGAGTGATGTGCTCTTGCGGCGAGTTCATCAGACTGCCCAATAACCAATACAGGGAGCGCCATCTGCAAGGGAGACGTCACCTGGATGGGCTACAGCGCATGCGTCACTCCCAAGGTTCTTCCATCGTCGTATACGCGTCAGTAATGCTCATGTATACGCGTACAGGTCCCTCCCAGGCCTCCGAGCCGGGCCCAGCACCGGCCCCGACTACCGACGAAAGAGGCAGGCGCGCGCACATACCCTCCACGACAGTCCGCTGCGACATTTGCAGCATCCTTCTGGACGACATGCCCGCGTACGAGGCGCACAAGCAGGGCGACGCGCACCGGCGCGCTCTAACAGAGCTCGCCTTCGCGTCTGCCTCTGCCACGAGCAGCTCTACTGCCGCGTACATCCGCTGCCCCGTCTGCGAGCGCGACCTACCCGCGGCGCGCTGGGAGGCGCACGTCGCGCGCGACGCGTACCACCGCTGGCGCGAGCAGTATGCGGACGTCACCGCACAGGTGCGGTCCGCGGAGATGAACCGCAACGGAGTGTCCGTGACGGGGGAGGCTGGCGGCATCGACTTTGGGACGCTCGAGGCGGATGCGGTGCAGGGGACCTCGGTTGAGCATACGGTGGAGGTGACGGTGTCGAACGACGAACCGGGGAGCCTGATCACACTCCAGTCGGCCAGGTTCACCTCGTCGTATAGAGACAGACCCGGAGGCTCCAGGTAAGTGCCCTATCGCACCCTCCCAGGTTGAATATACTAATGCGATTCCACCTAGCTTCTCTGCACTCCTCCGCGGCGCCTCGCGCTTCGTGAACTACGGCAAACCGCGTATGGTCGTCGTGACGTTCCACGCCTCGTACGCCGGGCGCTTCGACGACACGCTCGAGCTCGAGTTCCACGACGTGCGCCGACGCGAGCGCTTCCTGCTCCTGCGGCGGGTGCTCGCCGTCGTCGGGCCCGCCGCGGACTACGCCCTCCTCGCATCCATCGCGCGCGGCTCGTACCACCGCCCGCTCTTCGTCCCGCACGAGCCTACCCCGCACGCGGTCCCCACCCGCCGCCCGCCGACGTGGAGCAAGGTCCGCTGGGCGGTGAAGCTGCCGGAGTTCCCGGTGCCGAAGGCATTGATGAGGGTGTTGAACACGATGGATGGGAGGGGGAGCGTGGAGCAGATACGTGGGAGGCTTTTGCCGAGTGTGTTGAATATGGGGACATATGGCAAGTTCTTTAGCACACTCCTCCATTCGGAGGAGTGGCAACAGAGGTGCGCGTGCTGGATGCCTGTGGATAGTGTGCATGCTGACCGTTGTTTAGTGTTAACTTGTCTCGCTCCAACCTCTTCGATGCCCCTATCACTGCAGTGGGCAGTCGCTACAAGTAGGCATCCTTGCTACGTCATCTGTATGCTTTCATACTGACATATGGTCAGGCTACCGATCCCCGGCCTCATCGAGGGCAAGCCCACCCTGCGCGTTGGCGACACAATCCTCGTCTGCAAGTCTGACGGAAGCAACACCTGGCATGAAGCCGTCATCCACCAGGTCAACCTCGTCGACGTGATCTTGCGCATTAACCCGCAGTTCAAACTCTTTCCGGGTCGACGTGCAGGCAAGATAGACGTGAAGTTCCAGCTAAATCGCATGCCATGGCGCAGGCGCCAGCATGCGGTTCTGCTGGACAACAACCAGGCGCGGATCCTTTTCCCAACTCCTGAACACACCGAGGATCTGCGTCGCCCCACGGCAGAGGATATCGACGCCTTGAGTTTCGACGATGCCACGCTCATAGACAACTATGAGCAGAAGGAGGTTGTCGCTGCAATTGTCAATGCCCCTCCGGGCAGCGTCCCATTCGTGGTGTTCGGCCCGTACGTATCACTTTCTTCCTCGGCCGGTTCATGAAGCTCATGTCCATTAGGCCCGGCACCGGCAAGACTGTGACCCTCGTGGAGGCCGCGTTACAGATCCTCATCAACAATCCCAACGCGCGGCTGCTCCTGTGTGCGCCGACCAACGAAGCAGCCGACCTGATAGCATCCAAGCTGATGATTCTCGGGCCCAGCCAGCTTTTCAGGCTCAACGCCCTCTGGCGACCTATGAAAGGCGGGTTACAAATGATGCTCAAGGACTTCTGCTTGATCAACGGGAACAAGGTGTACGCCATTCCTGAGGTAGAGATTCTGAAGAAGGTCAGAGCCGTTGTGACGACGTGCGTATCCGCGGGCGTCCCGAATGGCCTGGGCATCGAGCGCGGGTGGTTCACGCATGTGTTCGTCGACGAGGCGGGCCAGTGCATGGAGCCCGACATTATGGTCCCGCTCAAGCTGCTAGCGGACGCGGAGACGAACATTGTTCTTGCGGGAGACATCAAGCAGCTCGGCCCCGTCATCCACTCGAGCATTGGTCGCGAGCTCGGCCTCGGGTACCCCTACATGGAGCGGCTGTTGAAAATACCCGTCTATGACTTGAACCTCTATGGTGGCATTACGTGAGTGGATATCCCTTTTCGCAGCTAGTCACAAATAATCGCGATGTCTGCGGTCATAGGATTACGAAGTTGGTCAAGCATTTCAGGTCACACCCCGCGATCATCGGGATTTCGAACAGGCTGTTCTACGCGAACGAGTTGCAGCCCCTCGGCGACAAGGCAATCACTCACAGCATGCTTCGGTCGACATGTCTGGATGGCTTGAACCCCCAGTTCCCTGTCGTGTTCCACGCCATCAGCGGGACGGACGAACAGGAGGCGGGTTCGCCGTCGTACTTCAACAAAGCGGAGGCGTCGCTTGTTGCGAGATATTGTGAGGAGCTCGTCGCTGACCTGAAGGTCCCTCTCAGTACGCTATATCCCTATGAGAACGCGACCTCTCTGCTGACGCTGACATCTCCAGGTGCGAAGGATATCGGAGTCATCAGCCCCTATAGTGCGCAGTGCAGCAAAATTCGCGCGCTGCTGGGAAGGCGCTCGACTCAGCTGGAGGGTGTGAAGGTGGGTACCACGGAGGAGTTCCAGGGCCAGGTGAGTTCCTTCTATTTTGCCGTCGACATGTGTCTGGAATGACTTGGATTGTAGGAACGCCGAGTCATCATCATCTCGACCGTGCGCAGCAACCCCGCCCACGCACTCAGAGACGTGCGACATCGGTTGGGCTTCGTAGGCGATCCTCAGAGGTTCAACGGTGCGTGTTGTGCTGAATGATGCGTCGTCTCGACTGCTGTTTAATGATGCGGATCAGTTGCTATCACCCGGGCACGAGCACTCCTCATCGTTGTTGGCGACCCGAATATCCTCGCGCTCGACCCTGTCTGGAAGGAATTCCTGGCTTATGTGAAGAGGAACCGCGGGTGGAGAGGAGTGGATGTCTCATTCGGGGACGGATCGGATTCAGACGAAGGCATCTCTGCACAGACCGCGGCTCAGCAAGATGTCCAGGAGTTGATACAGAGACTGCGGTCCTTGACGATGGAAAATGCTGACAGATGGAGGGTCCCGGAACCAGACTCTTCCGACTCGGAGCCGGACGATGAGGCGTATGATGATAGGCCTGCGGACTTGGAGGAGTGATGCTCAGTTAGTCGTCGCAACAGCACTTCGTGGTCACGGCGCATGTATGTGGTGTATCCGTATCTACAACCTATGATCACAGTATTATGCATGTGCAGCTGACTACACGACTCTAGCATACCATGACAACTTCGGTTGTTTCACCAGCTGTATGCGCTCCCCCCCCACTACTTCTCACCGGGCTACAACCCAAACAACTTCGGAAGTCCCGCCCAAATTCGCTGGCGCCTATTTCCCTCTCTTTCTACCAATGTTTTGATACACGCCGAACAGAGGGGATACGCGGGTTTCGGCGTCTTCTTGGAGGAATACTTGCGTATGGTTGTGATCCACGAACGTAGGGCATCGCCTTCCCCCCCGTCAATGCAGGCTGCAATATCAACTGACAGAATGGAGTGGATAGAGGTGTTGCAGCGCGATTTTGTTGCGCATTCGCCATCTGTGCCGATAGGATTGAACGTGTCTCTGAGCGTAGTGATCATAAACAGAGTGCAGAGCTTGGCCCTCGCGTTGAGACACCGCTCTAAGTCTTCTGGACTCAGAGAATCCTGAGTACCGTCCAAGCGAGCGTGCCCCTCCTGGAGCTCCTTAGCAGTCAACTGGCAGCAGAGGTAGAGGGCGGCGGGAAGTACCGACAGCGTGTTGGTGAGACGTGCGAGGTTGACCGCCACGATGGGATGGGTGTCATCATCTTTGAATCCCTCACGGATGTCCCATGAAATCAATGTGGATGGGAAGTGGTCCTTGAGGTCTTCCAGGGAATCCCAAAGGAGTTGCTTCATGCCATACTTGTGCGCGAGTCGAGTGCAATTAGCGAGGTCTTCGAAAGCAGACAAGGGAAGTTCCAGAAACCTGTGATCATACTATTGGTGGGTCAAAGAGGTGTAGCGAGACAATGTAGAGCACGAACTGCGTAGGAAGAAGTACCGATAGCAGTGAACGAAGCTCCGCTGCCGTATCTGTGACATGAACTACGGGACAGTCGTCCACGGCGTCCAGACCCGGTTGAGGCAGGCTGAACATGTCACGGAAGACGTCGGAGTGCGTGGAGAGCAGGCCTTTGTAGACGCGAAACCCAACGTTCTCCGCAATGACCACGATGTTTCCATCCTCTAACCAGAATTCTCCGTCGCGGCTGAAGGGCTCCTTCGACAAACCTGAGTCCACGCTGGCAGCGCCGGACTCCTCGTCGATTCGCGGCCGCTTGCGTAGCCGTGGTTTATCGGAGTGAGTACGTGACTTACTGCTCATAATGAGCAGATGAGAATGAGTTCTGGGGTGAGTGGCCGGGTACCGAGGAGGTGAAAGGCAAGGTCTGTGAGTCGTCGACGCGTCGACGCGTGCGCGGGCGTAGCACGTGATCACGGGGTCGGGCGGTACAACATGGTCAATCTTGTCGATTTGTTGTCGACACTAGAGAGACTCACTGGGCTTCGCAGTCACGGCGCATGTATGCAACGTATGGTAGTTTACAAGCACAGCTGAAGCTGAGTATGCGAATGCATGGGTTTCGCATAAGTACCGTATACATCAGTTACCCTGATTCACCAGCTCTCGAGTCTCCGAGTCCGCTACTCCTCCTCCTCCTCCTCCTCATCATCATCATCACTGGTCTCTAACCCGAACAACTGCGGAAGTCCGGCCCAGAGTCGCTCGCGCCTATCTTCCTCTCTTTGTACCAATTGCTTGATGCATGCAGAACAGAGGGGATGCGCGGGCTTCGGTCTCCTCTTGTAGGAATGGGCGTGTATGGCGCTGATCCATGAGTGTAGGGCTTCGCTATCACCCGCATCGAGTACGAGATAATCTGACAGAATGGAGTGGATAACGGTGTTGCAGCGTGAGTGTGTCGAGCATTTGTCGTTTTTGCGGATATGATTGAACGTCTCTCCGAGCGTAGATGTCACAAACAGCGTGCACAGCTTGGCCCTCGCATCAAGACATCGCCGTAGGTCCTCTGGGCTCAGAGTATCTTTGGTGCCGTCCGAGCGAGTGTGCCCCTCCATGAGCTCCTCGGCAGTCAACTGGCAGCAGAGGTAGAAGGCGGCGGGAAGCATTGACGGCGTGTTTGTGAGACGTGCGAGGTTGACCCCCGCGATGGCTCGCCACATGTCAGCATAGCGATATTGATCTCGGCAGTCCCGTGAAGCCAGTGTGGATGGGAAGTAGTCTTCGAGCTCTGTCAGAGACTCTTCAAGGAGCTGCTTCATGCCATACTTGTGCGCGAGTCGAGTGCAATTAGCGAGGTCGTCGAAAGCAGACAAGGGAAGTTTCCGGAACCTGTGAAGATACCATCGATGGGTCTAAGAGGTGTAGCAAGGTGACAATGTGTAGCACGTACTGCGTAGGAAGAAGTACCGATAGCATTGAGGATATCTCCGCTGCAGTGTCTGTGACATGAACTACGGGACAGTCCTCCACAGCGTCCAGACCCGGCTGAGGGAGGCTGAACATGTCGCGGAAGACGTCGGAGTGCGTGGCGAGCAGACCTTTGTAGACACGGAATCCAACATTCTCCGCAATGACTACGATGTCTCCGTCCGCGTACCAGAACCTATCGTCTCGGCTGAAGGGCTCCTTCGACGAATCCGAGCGCGAACTGGCAGCGCTGGACTGCGAGTCGGTTCGCGGCCGCTTGCGTGTCGGTGGCTCATCGCTCATGGTTGTAGTGACCGAGTTGAGCAAGGTATGGCGAGTCGTCGACGCCTTTGTACAAGCTCGCCCGGCAGAAGCAAATACACTGACGGCCTGAATTTACGTGATAGCGTAGCTCTAGCGCCTTTGGCGGTGGCCGGCGCGGGGACTTTCAAGCTGTCATTCGAATGCATGCCCGAAACCTTGTAGACGTACCAGAAGATGGCTAACTCACCTCGCGTCCAACATTCTATCTCACTTTCTCAGAATGAAAGCGGAGGGAACCACACTGATCCAGCAGATCCAAAGTTGTAAGGATGAGGGAGGTCGTTGAAGTACGGTACAAGCGCCGGTGGCCTGCCATCAGCGGCCACGGTGGCGCGGTCTGTCATTGTGGCTGCGACAAGCATGCGCCAGTGTATGAGCCCAAAAGGGTTCCTGAGTCGATTCCGATTCACTGTCATATTTTACAGGTACAGGTTACAACACGACGCGCAAACGTATAGTACACATACAATACACAGAACAAATCAATCCCGAACCCTCATGACAACCGCTGTTTCTTCTTCTTCCTGCCGCCTTTGCTCTGGCTCTTCTCCTTCTTCGCGCGTTTCTTGTCCTTCTTCTGCTTCACGGTCGACAGACACCTTAGAAATGCCTCCTTCACTTGGTCATTGTGTCCGACCAGCTGGAACCCGTAACATCGCACGAGTAAGTGCCCATCCTGATACGCATCGCGCAGCGTCTGCATGATCGATGACATCGTCTGCATGCTCGACCGCTGGATCGCTCCACCGAGGACTCGCGGCGTCTGCTGCACGAGGCTGTTGAACATCGTCTTCTACATCACTGTCAGGACCACGCAAAAGGGGGATCATCGCTTGACACGGTACTCACGCTCTTCGACTTGTCGAGCTTGCACAGTTCGTCAAGCCGCATGATGGACATGCCCGTGCACTGGTAGGTCCCGCAGTAGTGCCAGGCGCCGCCCGCGGAGAAGCACATGTCGCGCGTCTCGCGGACGCGCGGCCACGCCTTGCATGTCTTGCGCTCCGCGGGCTCAGCCCTGGACGTGCCAAAGTTCCAGCGCTGGGCGGGGTACAGCACGACGCAGCGACTGAGGTCTTCGTACGGCGTCCAGATGGTCATGTCCGACATGCACTTCAGTACCTTCCCGGAGTAGCTGCAACAGTCGAATCAGCTCGAAGCTTGCCTGAGAAGAGAACGAGATGCGTACGATACGCTGGATAGGGCCTAGTCATGATCAGTGATTGGTACTGAGATGTGATAACGAGGCTTACCAGTGTAAGTGCCTGCCATACCGCCTTCCCAGACACACTGACGAAGAGTTGTTCGAATTCCACAGGTGGGTCCGGTACGATCTTGTAGGGATCGGTCTGAAGGAACTCATTGATCTCGAACTGACAACCATCACAACGTGCGTCAGCCACTGCAGTCGTGCTCGTTGGACATACGGCACTCACGTCGCGGATCGACATGTTAGCCATCGAGGGCATATCAAGGTCATCGCCGTCTTCTGCGGGGCCACTCTCGGGGAGCTCGTCATCGGACTTGGCATCTTCGGATCCGGATCCGTCTTCAGACTCTGAGTCGGACAACGTCTGGGCTTGTGTGGATGTGCGGGCCTGAGTGTAATCCTGGCGGCGGGATCAGACGCGTCGTCTTCTTGTATGTAGACAACTTACCGGTAGACGTGGAAGTCTGGCAGCCGGTGCCTTTCTCTTTGCCGGAAGCCTGGCTAGTTTGCGGACTTGCGTCGATGGAGGCGGCAATACGGGGTTTGACTGCCACGAGACGGATGTGTCAGATCTTGTAAGTGACTTTATTGTAACGAGACTTGCCGTTCGTGCTGCATTCGGGTCGATATTGTCTCGGATGCTTAGACGTTCGAGACCCTTTTGCGCTTCGTCATAGTTCTGCATGAGCGCGACTCAAAATCAGTCTCAGGAAGTCGACTAGTCCACGCGCGCACTCGCCGTACATGTTGAACATCAAGCTTCCGTTTCCTGCCTCTGTCTGGCATGACGGTACAGTCAAGATACCTAGATAGTGTAGAGTTTCATGGGTGTGGTCAAGGCGCGAAATGTTGATAGAGCAGACTGGCAGGAGAGCTATACGTACCGGCGATTCCAATTAGTGTGACTGGTAGGGCAAGGCTGGGGTAAGTTACAATGATAAGGCTAGTCGTACGCTGACAAGGCGTACCAATCTGCTCAGAACGTCGCGCAACCTCAGGTTCGCATCCGCCTGAGCCTGTGAACAGTTGGTCGTGCTCGCTCAGGCAAACAAAGACAATGATCGCCAGTGAATCGCATTAGCAGTGTAATAGCAGTGATCCACGTCCAGTCATAGTCTCACCACACTCGTGCGAGGGGTTTGTGTCGAACCTACGTTCAGTCAAGCCTTCGGCCGCCAACGTTCGAGCGAGTGGACCGAGATCGATTACGTCAGCCGTAGTGCCGGGAGCCATTCTAATTGGCAGCGCGCTCTTGCTCAAACCAGTTCGAGTTCAGACCAACTTCTCGTTCATCATCGCGTCCCACCTCGAACCCGGCAGGGCAGCTACGAGGATGTTTTCTTGGTGACTGTACGGCAGCGCGCTCTTGTCGATCCGCCCGTCCGGCCACTGCTCTACGCCCGTGCGCACGACCAAGACGAGTCGCTCCCTCAGCTGACCATCTCCGCAACCTCAATCCCTGCCTCCGTGCCAGTCCAACGCCGAACGATAGTCAAACAATGTATCCTGCTGCAACAGCTTTCTCGTACCGCAGCGGTGCACCCGACGGCGCGCTATGCCGCCATCTCGGTGCGTACGCGTTTCACTCGCAGTCTGCTCACAGTGCCTCACACCGCACCCTCCTCTCCCGCCCTCCTGTCCCGCCACCCTCCTCTCCCGCCCTCCTGTACCTCGCCCTCCATCGACATAGCTGTATCCGCGCGACCGAGACGAGTCGATTGATGCCACTCATGCCCCATATCTCGCCCTTCGCGGTCTCGCAATTCCCCGTCTTCTCAGTCTTGCACCCGCCTTGCTCCTGCCCTCCCCCACACCGAGCCCTTTGTTTCTACTGCCCAAACACTGCACCAGAACACGTCCAGCCTTCGTACGCCGTGCCTCCCTCTTCGCAGATGCGATTCTATGCATAGGTTCGCTCACTGTGCGCCGTTCTCCCTGACCCGCCCAAGGCCGCGCCCGCGTCTGCTGCTCACTCCCTTCGCTGCCTACCGCCTTTTCCACAACACCAGAACACGCACCGCTGTCGTACGTCGTGCCTCCAACTTCGTCGATACTGATCCATGCATCGGTTCGCTCGCCATGCGCCGTTCTATCCGACGCCCTCATGGCCATCCACGACCCTCTTCTGTGTCCCTTCCTCGCTACCCAGCACCTTTTTCGCAACACCAGGGCATGCGCAGCCATCGTACGTCGTGCCTCCCTCTTCGCCCATGCGACTTCATGCACCGGATCGCTCGCTGTGCGCCATTTTACCCGACGCGCGCAACGCCGCCTGCGCGCCTCTGCTGCTCACTTCCTTCGCCGCCCACCGCCTTCCTCACATCACCACACCACGCGCAGCCGTCGTACGTCGTGCTAACGACTTGCCCGATACCAATCTATGCATCCAACCGCTCGCTATGCGCCGTTCTCTCGGGCGCGCCCAAGGTCGCCCGCAGTCGTCTGCTGCTTACGACTTCCTTCGCCGCCCACTGCCTTTCTCGACGCGGCGCAGCATTTGCCATGTGGATCCCGTCGTGCTCTGCGTCCCGCTCATCCTTTGGGTCAACCGACAGCCTGTGCCTGCCCTCCATCATGCGCAACAGCGGCGATGTGCGAACAGCACGTACATGTGCCCCCGGTGCGTACGTGTCACGTTCAACGCTTCTGCATTCATCTCAAGCGATACTACAGGCCACCCGATGCGCTGGACGCGCTGACGCGAATGCACATGGCTCGACATCGAGAGGTCATGCATCAGCGCCGCCCACTACACCACTCGCACGGCGCGGAAACGACCACGAACCTGACCATGTTGCGTGGTGCACGCACGTTGGACAGTGCGCGATTCGGACGGCGGTCATGCAAACAAGACGTCCAAGCCCTCGACTGACGCTCCGGAGCAGTCACGATCAGTCTATCCCAGCCTCTTACGGCGATCTGTGCCGCGCGTCCGAGCACGCACATCAGCAGCTTCCGTACACAACGTTCAACACGACGTCCGTCTGGGCGACTCTACCTACACACCCGTGATCGCGCGGGCTCCCCGACACACTTCCATCTCGACCTGCACCCATCTCTCGACCCCTTATACGCTGCAAGCAGAGCGGGGGCGGTCCGCTCGCAGCCGCCGTACGCCGTCGTGCCGTGCTCGAAGACGGTCGTCCATGATCCGTGCGCGAACGCGACAGTGCGTGCACACAAGAGCATGCGCCCGCGCCCGCCAGCGTTCTCGAACGTGCTCGCCCGCAAGGCCATCGAACGGCCTGGGACGACCTGCGGCGAGTCACCTCTGGTCAGCGACGTCGACTTCAAGGGCAGATCGACAACGCTCACCTGTACGCGTCCTCGCGGAAACAGCCTACGCCCGCCGGCGCCGTCGCCACAGGGCACGTCGTCGTGGCCAGTCCACTATGAAGTTCGGTTAGTACTCTTGCATTCGACACGATCCCAGACTCGACTCACCGATGCTCCCCTCTGCGTCCCCACCCTCGTACTTATACCTCACTCGCGTCAGCACGGTGACTCCCCGTCGCCTTTCTGGGCACTCGTGCGCGATGTCCACGGAATCGAAGCTGAAGGCGGCGGCGGCGGCGGCGGCGTGCACGGCGGGTTTCATGCACGACAGCTCGGTCGCTGGCACGCAGCACCGGGGGCCGACACGGTGCGTACCAGTGCGTGCGTGTTGATCGGTGTGGCCTCAGCCACATCGTCGCGGCGCTGACTGGAATCGAAGCGTGTGTACATACGCTCGAAGTCACCCGAGGGCGCGGACAATGACCCGGCAACAGCGCAAGGGCATGCACGTCGGGGCGGACCATGGTTGTAGTGTGTCGCGGAGGGACACAATTCAGACGGTGCAGGTATCACAGGATGAGACGGTGCGTGTTTCTCCATGCTCGCCAGCCGTCTGACAAGCTCGTTCCATGCAGTCTCGCCCCAAAAGTCCATCGCGCATGCTCGCGCCACGTCTCGGGAGCACAGCTTAACCCTTCCATTCGCAAACATGCTCGCGCAACATCGCCTTCAAGTTCTTGCGCCGTACGAGCCTGAGTCCCAGTGGTGCGCTCTGGTAGGACGTTGAACGGCTGCGAGCAGGATTCGGAGGCGGTGAGTGGCCGTGCGGCGTCTTCTGATACTGACCTTCGGATAGGTCGGCGGCGGGCAGGAGGCGAGCTGTGGGCTGCGATCCTAGACGATGGCGGACGCAGGTACGGGGAGCTCAAGCGACGGCGTGGTCATTGGCAGGGCTCCCTCTCGTCCTCGCATAGCGCGTGCGTAGCGTCTGGGGACGCGAGGTCACGGACGGGAGTGAAGGACGGGCATTGTGTGGTTGAAAGGAGATGGATGCCACGGGGGACGACGGGCACAACGTAAGTCGTCGCCCTCGGTGCCGCCTCATGTATGTAGAAACCGCATGTACATAGCGTTGCAGCAATAGATATATTGAACTGTACTACGACGGGCGTGGCGGGATGAAAGTATCATTGCGAGGGTAATGCATCTTTCGAACAGGTCTATCGCAAGCTCTTGGCCTGCGATGCCTTCCGCAAAGCCGCAGCCGGCGGGTTGGACGCAACATCGCGGGCTACGTCCCGGCGCGATGTGAACGCGCACAGCGTTCCAGCGACCAACGCCGCAACCGGGTCTCGGGGAAACAACGTACCACTATCCGTTATCCAACTGCGTGTCGTCTCCGCCTCCCATCGAGCCACTGCACCTGTCCAGTGGCATCCAGCGTCGTCAAGTGTTCGCGAGTGTTCAGCCTTGGAAGTACCGGCGCGTACGTAGTAGCACGGTCGACCATTGGAAGGAACTCCGCCACCTGCACGTTGCGGTTCAATGCGTCCGCGAGCCAAAGGCGGTGGTACGGACCTACTCGAGAGCGACCGCGCATCGTACCATTGGTAAACACGATTCTTGGCCCCACTGTCTGGTGGAGGAAAGGCTTTGGCATCGCCTGAGCGATGTGTGCAGTCTCTTGCCGAAAGATCTGAGAGAGCGAGCTTCCAAACAGCGAATGACTGGAGCTGCTAAGCGTAAGACGAGAGACTCACCCTGTGGTAGGGATCTGGTTACCGTAGCTGTGTGCCGGAGATCGGCCAGAGACGACCCTGCTCATCTGGCTGAGTTAAGACGAACACGGACGTACCGTTGGGTGATTACAGGGTCTCCGTATACTCGCAATATTGTTGTCCATGTATGTCGCGACGTAGAGCTGCGGCGTCCAGACGTCAGCCACGGCATGGGCATATCAGGTCAAACAGGATCATCCATTCCGGGCGAGAGTAATCTGCCCACTGGCATGGACCTGGTACATGGTGGCCGATTGTTCGGATGCATCGATTGAACTTCTGTCGTATAGATCTTTAGTTTCCTTTCCTTGCGCTGCACGAAGAGCCAAGGCCTTCTTACCGAATCAGCAGCTGGTCTCCCTCACATGGAGCGGAAGGACGTATCAGCGTTGAGTACTACCGCAGCGCGCGGGTATCAGCTTCTCCATCTGTGTCGAGAGATGTCTAGGCAATATGCCATAGTTGCAACGGTGCATACCCCTTGGTTCGGCACTCCAAACGACTTCGCCGATCACCCGGATCGCAAAGATCCAGTCATAGATGGCGAGGTCGACAGTGAGGGAAGAGGTCACCACCATAGTAGTCACCCGCTGATGGGTGTCTCTCCTCCAACTCCTGAGGATGACTTCTGCGTCTGCGTCGCAAACTTCAGGATATCGACACCGAGTCTGGATTCTGCTGTTATCTTCTTGCGGTACAGCTGTCCAGGTAAGACCTCACAGAGCTCCGCGGGAGTTGAAGGTACAGTCAGGACGATGTCAGACCTGTGGCGCATCGGAGGCATCGTGCACATGAGCGAGCAAGAGGGCCCCCGCCACCGTAATGGATTCTTCGTAACCGAACTCAGGCTATTGACGATCAACCGCTCACTGATATATCACTCACGGTTCCACGACGAATCCTGGAGGGCTGTTAAAGACATAGGGTGCAGATGAGATCTGGCGGCGTACCTAGATGAAAGACGAGTCTCACCGGCCCGGGGGCAATCGAAATGCCTACTAGGACGGCCCCTCTCCGTGCGGCGGGCCCTGCAATACCCGGCGTACAGCTTGAGATCTGTTGGTCTAGCTGGATTGTGTGTTGTCTCACTGAAGCATGAACATGTCGGTCTCGTTGGGAGGATAGTAAACTCACACATAAGTCGTCGCTGCGGCCGCGGAATACATGGCTTGATCGGAGGCTGGCGCAGCCAGATATGAAAGGAGCGGGCTATTGTGACGCACGGCGTCCAAGATACGCACCAGGCCATCCCGCGCGGGCGCGAGGGCATGCTTTCAACATGGTGTCGTCACTGCCTATCAATGCTGCAATTGTCAGCCTTCTCGAGATCGTATAAAGGTCAACGTTGACATTGTACTCACTTATCACCGAATACACATGTTTCGCCCACACTCGCCGGCTCAAGTTGCTGCAAAATGGCTTTGACGTCTCGATTGCACATCACCTTGTCTCGTGTAAGAACCTCAGCCTCTGTGCTCATGTATGTTCGGCAGAACGGCTCGTACGGCTTAGCAGTTATTTGTGATTGGAGTATCGTGGCGAAAGGACAGGTGAGACCCTTCGAGTCTGTTCATATTCCAGTGCGCGCAGACCGTGTATTCAATCCCTCGGGCCATGAATGTACGCCGCACTTACTACACAAACCGAGAGAGCCCACGGCGGCGCAGCATCGGTGTTGTTCTCTCGAGCTATCGTAGCATTGGGTATTGCAACAACCCTGCACACCAGGTCAATGAGACCATTGCAATCAACTGCCCGCCGAAAACCCTTGTGCGCCTCGTTCAGAGACTGCAGGCACATGCCGCAAGTTCCTCGTTAGACGACTTCCTGGCGGACCGAAGAGCGGGCGGTCCAGACGCCGCCTGACCGTCCTGACGATCATGGACGTATCTACACAGAATCAATGTATGATTCAACCGAGTGCAAACCTGTCTTGCATGCGCTGTCCAGGTCGCGCGTCATGGACTGACAGAGCATCGGGTGATCTGTATCTCGTACCACCCCTCACGTTGGCAGCGACGCTCTGCAAGAAACACCGTTTGACGAGCGAGATCCCCACGGAGAGATCCCTTCAGTAAATCGAGGGTAGTACGCGCCTGTACGGATACATCCTCACAGATGCCATACACCGCGCTTGAAGTTGATGTGCCTGCGTGCACCAGGCCCGCGGTGGTGAGATTGCGCGCGCACTGCGAGTCCGTGACACGCAAACAACAGCCATCAATGTGTCGGACAAAGTAGAAAACGGGTCAGAGGCGAGCAGAGGCACAGCGCCACCAGACAATCTCTCGTCTCCATTCCTCCACACGCTCAGCGGGGAAGATGACGCACGGTGTCTTGGGGCCGCGACCGTCTCGCTAATATGATAATAAATGAGATACATAACACGAGACAAGACGTCTCCGGCCACTGAGTTCGAGGTGCCAGGAAAAACGCGCCGAAGGACCGGCTACTGATCAGGATTAGGACAGACGGCGAGATGCCCGTCCGCCGCACCTAGTATACGAGCATTGACTCGGACACCGCCGGTTGACGTGCGGGATGGATGTGAGGCACGCCTGTGGCGCAACCAAGCGTACAATAAGCGAGTCTTGCTCATTGTACGTACCCCGCAGACGGTTCCTGTGCCCTGAAAGCGAACTGCGGGGCCATAGATCCAGGCAAAGGGTGCCTGAATCAGGTTTGCGACCACCGCGTCGGGACGCAGACATGACAGGTGAATAGACACACCTGTGTTGCTCCCTGGTCGATGTACCCTGTCTGTGCGCCCTGATCGAGCCACGCCGTCGTATTTCGCTTGACAGAACCTATCGAGCCCGCGCGCTCTGCCCGAGTGAACATCGTAGGCCGCCGACTGCGCTGGGTGTCTGCGGTAACCAGGTTGAAAGCACCGGTGATCCGCGAGCATGCGAGATGAGCACTAACAGAGACATATCAGTGAATAGTATTGTCGAGTACGATACCTCACGAGCTGGCCCGCGCAGAGTGCCGCATTGCACACCTCTCGAGCCAGCCTTCTCAGCACGTCCTGTAAAGTCAGTTGATCGATCCACTGTGGCACATGCCGTCCGACGAGTCAAATGTGGATCTCGGAACAGCCACCAAAATTCTTTCACAAATGCTCGACATACGATCTATGCGCCCACACGCGCCGGGCCCCCGGTGATACGGGCGCAGGCCCTCAGTGCGTGACAATCACTCAACGACGACAGACACGGTAAGGTGGGAAGCAGACGAACCATACGCGGTGGCGCGTTATTGTCTCGCCTTCTCGTCGCTGTCACTACATGCACGCGCAAGGCGAGGACGAGGCAATTGCTCCTCCTCCGCCGGAAAGCCTATAAGCCTTTGCTGCTACAGCTACATCCAGGTTTGGGTCTCGGCGACGACACGGCAAACGGTGAAATATCCGTTTGCTGTGTTCGGTGCGGCGACTTGAGCAGCCAACATGACGTTCCGAACAGTGTTGGATCGGACAGCTGCGTGTATGCAGACAAGTGTACACGGACCCGCGGCGCACGGACACTGGCCCGCCGAACAATATTCTCTGTTCGGGCCCAGCACCGCACCCGCGGAACGGACACGACGCCTGCTGCGACGCCCTCCACACTCAGACGGGAACCAGAACAATGGGACACAAGTCCCCCATCGAATTTGTGTGTGTGACGCATATAGCTAGAGATATGCATGAAGGACGCGGCCACTCACCGGTGCTGCAGCTCCGAGTCCGGGTCAATGACCCGCTCTATGCGCCCCTGGATCAATTGCGGCTTGTTTGGCAGAACCTGTCGAGCTCGGACAGAGCCCGAATGCGAATGGTAGATTGCGTTGAGAGTGTCAAAGGCCCGGAGACTGTGAGCTACACAGTGTGGGGTCGGGGCCAAGGACACGAGTGCACAGAACGATGGACATTTCAGTAGGCCATGTATCCGAGAGTGATATCGCTTGTATTCGAAGAGACTAGCCGTCGGAATGAGCGATTCTTGCAAGACCTGCACAGCGAACAGCAAGTCGACTAGTACTAGTACACCGCCGTCGCGTGCGATCCGAGTTGGCAGTGAATACAACGCCACCGCTGGAGGGAAGAGATGACTATTGCTGTAGTTGATTCGTTCGGCGTTGCTACACGAGGAGGAGGAGACAAAGACCCGAGATACGCAAGCGCAGAGGTGAAGGGACACGAGAAAGCCGCAACTGTGGCTGAGACTCAACTCGCGCGATGCGACTCGCGCTGAGCTTGGACTCTTGTGACCGCGCACGTCTCTGCACCACCGAATCTAACGTCGCCCGCGACCCTCTCCTGCGCACCTTCCTTGCTGCTCACTGCGTCTCTCACAAAACCAGAACACGCGCAACCCTCATACGTCGTGCCTACAACTTGGCCGATGTCATTGGATGCTTTGGATCGCTCGCTGTGCGCTGTTCTATCCGACGTGCCCAAGGTCACCTCTCTGCTACTCACTTCCTTCGCTGCCCACTCCAGTCAATGCCGAGCAGCATCTAGGATGGATTATCTGACTTGCTCTGTGTTGCACTCCATCTTGGGCGATACCGTTTTATGCGCCGGATTGCTCGCTGTGCTCTGTTCTGTCTGACGCACCCGGCGACACTCGTGATCATCTCCTGCGCGCCGCCTTCGCTGCGCACCGCCTTCCTCGCCTCGAATCGACGCAGGAAGCGTCTCGGATGCGCTTGTCGACGTCCTGGCGTCGCGCTCTTCGTTTGACTCAACCGACGGCCTGTGCTTGATCATGCCCCGTGCCATCATGCTCACTGACTGCGACGTCTCTGGTGCAGCGCCGGTGTATGACCAACCGGTACGTAGCTCGAGTATAATTTGTCTTGATTCATCTCATTCCATACTACAGGCCGCGTGATCGCGTGCGCGAAGGCGAATGCGCAACGAGTTGAACAACGCTATCATGACTCAGCTCCGCTCGCACACACGGCGACTTGACCACTCGCGCGACGTGTATTCAATCCCAGATGGGCTGGCCCGCCATGTGTGAGAGACGCTGGTTTCGTCAGCTCGCACTGGTAGGGAACGGGCTGTCTAAGCGAGGAGAACGTTGGTGGTCGCGACGCGACCGAGTCGTGAGAGGTCGTGAGGTCGTTCGCAGGCGAGGAGCCGGCGAGGAGCTGAGAGGACTAGAGAGGGCGAGGAGCCGTCGAGTCGCTCTAGCGGACGTGCGTGGGCGAGGAGCCCACGAGAAGCGGGTAGCCGAGCCTTGGCGAGGAGCCGGCGCGGGTTACGCTAACGTGCGTCGGCGAGGAGCCAACGAGAGGCTGGTCGTCAGTCTAAGGCGAGGAGCCGTTCAGACGAGCAAGCCGACGTGCGAGGGCGAGGAGCCCGCGAGATACAGTCGATCGAGCCTTGGCGAGGAGCCGGCGCGAGGATTGTGGACGTGCGCTGGCGAGGAGCCAACGAGTCGAGCGTGCTCGCGGCGAGGAGCCCGAGAGACGAGACAGCGAGGAGCTGCTCGGTTTGTCGAGGAGCGAGGAGCACTTTCGACGACAGCGAACTCCAGTTCGGACGGTGCGGGTATCACACGCGGACGAAGTGGTAGGAGTGTAAGAAGCTTAGCGTCTATTCGTTGCGCGTGCGCGAAGTGGCTGCACGCGCGCGCTTACAGTAATTACAGAGTAGAATACAGGAGTTAAATGTCCAGTAATTATGTACGTGCTACGAAGACGTGCGGCTCGCGATTACCGAAGGTGTTCTTGTAGATAGTAGTGTACGCGGACTTGACGCGTTCTACTGCATCCGTAACAGTGCCCCCCATCGCGAGTTGCAAGTCTTGCGCGATGTCGTCCCTCACGTTCCACTCGATCATCAGTCGTCCTAACGCGAACCAGTACCTCATCCGGACCAGGTCGTCATCACTGTCCAGGTAGCGCGGCTCTCCGACTGCTGGGTAGTGCGATGTTCCCTGACCCCAAACTCGGCGTATGCGATCCCGGAGGCCGGCCCATATGGCGCCCTTGGCTGCGTCGGTCGTGGCTGCTTTCAGGCTGGGCAACTGCGCCGCCGCCAGCCGCTCGAAGTTGAGTCGAAATAGGAACGTGCGTAGCTCCCATACTTCGCCCTCCTTCTCCTTCGGGTTGGGGTTGCGGTGGGGAGCGATGGCAGCGTCGGGCAAGGGACGAGTAGCATTGTCCTTGAACGCTCTTACCAGCGTGGGGGAAGATCGGAGACGTGACCTCCACTGACGTTGGTTTCTCGTCTCCCATTCCTTGGGCTCCTTCCTCAATGTCTCGACGCAGTCGTTGCACATCTTGAGCCAAATGAGAGTGGCCAGGTAGCCTTCATCGCCCTCTGCGAGGAGGTGCGAGGGAGAAGGGATGGGGAGCTGGGTTTCCGGGGGAAACATCGGGGCTGGACCAAGCTCCGTTTCCCAGGTCCGTCTGAAAGCGGGCTCACTCCCGTCGCGCTCGAAAGGGTGGTGCAAGTAGGCTTCCGCTTCGGCAGCGGTGAAGATGGCCAGTCTCGTGCGCAGCGTGATTCCGGAGGCCAGCTTAACGTCGCGTAGCTCGCTCGGGCTCGGAGCCGGCGGGCTATCGGAGGAGGAGCCGGAAGGGGACGCATCGGACAGCCGGCTCTCCAGTGGTAGTTTCAACCGTTCGAGTAAGGAGGACTTAGCCGCCCCCCGGCCATCTCTCACGCTAGAACTGGCGGCAGGTTGTTGCGGAGTGTTGAGACGAGACAAGAGACTGGCGGGTTGTACCCGCTCCACCAGCGACTTGGTATTAGAAGCCGACGGGGCAGGGCCCAGTCGACGCTCCAGCGGGATCGCGTTTGTCGCAAGGAGGGGGGGGGGAAGGGCTGGTTGCGCAGAGCCGGTGGCACTTGTCGCAGCCGATCGTCCGGTCGACGGCGCGGGAGATCGCGAGCGTCGACGGACGGCGGGGCTGTGGTTCCTGGCTCGAATCAACGAACGGAGATGACTCTCCTCGTGGTCCAGCGGTCGCGCTTGGTGGTGACTCCTCCGGCTGGGGGAGGCCGAGCGACGCAGGAGACGTGGCTCGTAACGAGCGGGAGAACGGCGCGGACGTGGTGAGGAGCGTCGTCGATCCGGGGAGCGTTCTCGAGGCCTCATGTTTCGAGGAGAAGGGGGCCGGGATACCCGTCTCGGAAGGGGTCGAGTTTGTACTGGGGAACGGCCGCGACTGGGGGGATCCGGATAGACGACTCGTCGTATCGGGGACGGGCTCGGCCGACGAGCTGGGGGCGAAGGGACACGTCGAGGCGGGGATCGCGCTCGCTGCTTCCCTTTGTCCAGCCGGTGGGAGGCCGCCGGAGACGTAACCATTGGTTCGTCGCGCGCTGGGGTGATTGGGCGCGGAGGCGGAGGGGGAGTCGAGACGCGCATAGGAGAATCCGCTCGGCGAGGCGGGGTTGTCGGCCTTGGTGATGATGGAGGAGAAACGGGGTCTGGAGCCGGACGATTGTTCCACCCCTCGTCGTCGCTGCAGGTCCTGGTGATCCTAGTGGCGGTCAAGGCTGACGATGATGGAGGGGGATGTGAGGAAGGAGGAGGCTTGATCACTGGGGTCTCCTTTGCTGGCGGAGGACGACGAAACTTGGTGAACTCGGGGTCTGAGTCATCCGAGTCATCGTCCAAAGCCGCGGCGATAGCCCGCAGTCGCTTCCTCGTTCGCTTGCCCACCTCGATGGGGATCCCATGGTCCTCCTCTATCCATGGTTCGTCCGACAGCCGAGTGTTGAGGGCTAGCACCGGGGATAGAGGGTGAGGAGGAGGGGAATCGGCCTGACGGATGTACCAGACCGGTACTCCGAACCATACGAGTTTCTTGAGTAACTCGTCGTCTTTGTCTTTGAGCCAACACCCCACCCCTGCTTGGTCCGGGCACGGCGTCCAGAGTCGACCCTGGTCGTAAGCGACCTGGAGGTAAGAGCGGTACGAGTACGCTCGTAGCTCCAGAAGGTGGCGTTGGATGACGGCCGTGTCGTTCCGTAACGACTGCAGGGAGGCTTCTACGTTTTTGAAACGATACAGGGAGTCCTGCACCGCGACTGGCCGAAGGTAAAGTGACATGGGACGCTCGCGGTCCACCGAGAAGAACGCCTCCGCTCTCTGGAGCTCCGCTTCGTAGAGGCTCAGCAAAGCCTGAGCGAATCGGCGAGCGGGAGCTCCCCTGCCCGCGTTTCGGTTAACGATACGGAACGTACCGTACCTTCCGTCCCTTTCGCAATCCATCATGATATACGCTGGGTCCACCCCCTCCTCGCTCTCGGGAACTTCGTGGATGAACGGGAGATGCCCGTTCGAACGGTTCCAGAATTGAGGGTGGTAGCCGGGCTCAAAGGAGCCTCTGCGCCCGTCCGAGTAGATCTCTTCGCGCTCCTGTTGGCTTGGAGGAGGAGAAGGGATGAACTCCGCGTTCGGGGAGATAGCGTAATTACCGTTCCCCAGCGCTGCTACAGTGCGCACGGCTCTGTGCGCGACGTAGAGCTTCCAGCCGCTATCGCGCATCGCTGGGTTGGCAGGCAGGGCTTGGTAGTTCCGCGGGAACCAAGGGGTCGAACGGAAGGAAGGGGCGCTGGACGAGGAAGGAGCGTTAGGCATGATGGTTGCCAGCGAGGTTCGAATTCGAACGCTTGCACGGTTAGACGGGAGGATGCAGCGAAGTTCGGGGATCGAACGTTTGCTGAGACGATGAGCAGAGGTTCGGGGGTCGAACGCTCGCAGATGGTCGGAGGGAGAAAGAGAAAGAGGCGCGCGACGAACACGGACTTCACAGTTCCGTGACGCGGTCACGTGTCGACTAGGTTGCGCGTACGCGAGACGCGCTTTTGGCCTGCAGCCGATTACTACTTACAAAGGATGAGAGACCTAATCTACATACTGTACCCAAACGATATTTTACTCTAGGTGTTAGCGTACTGAAGAACCGTGGGTGTGTCTCTCTAACGGGACAATTTGTGGGTAGCCTTGTACTCGCGTAGTATTTCATAGGCGTTCTGCAGATGCGACGCTGGTTCCCAAGTGTCGAAAATGGGGCTGTACCCTTTCCACCTGACCAGGAATTCGAGGCGGTTACTCCGGGATTTGTTCCTTCGCCAGGCGACGATCTGTTCGACCTCGTATTCTTCTGAAGCCAGTAGCTCGGAGTTGCGAGGGTCCGGGAGGATCGGACGCCTCACCTCTCGCGAGGACAGGATCGGTTCATGGTATTTTCGCAGGTGCTCTATGTTGATAACCGGATTCATAGGGTAGGTATCGGGCATAGCCAACCGGTAGACCAAGGGGTTAACTTGCTCTAGTACCGTGAACGGTCCGAGCATTCGTTGCACAAGCTTCTTGCCAGTGCCCTTCACATCGACGAGTTCAAGGGAATGGGGATTAACGAGCACTCGCGACCCGGCGGGGAAGGTCTCCGGACGTCGTCCCTCATTGTACTGTCTCGCAGCTTGCTCTTGCGCCATAGCGAGGGCATCGCGGGCCCGCTGCCGGTGTAATTCCATGTTCATTACGAATTCCGTGGCTCTTTCGCTAACGAGCAACGGGCGTTGCTCGTAGCGGTTGGTCCCTCCGAGGAAGTCCGTCGTGCCTTTCGGGTCGAAACCGTACAGCAGGAAGTACGGGGAATAACCGGTAGCGGAGTGTATTGAGGAATTATACGCGTGCGCTAGCGCGGGAAGCCACCGAGCCCACCCTTGCCGATCGCCCTGTACATAGGCCCTGAGCATAGTTTCCAGGCGTTGATTGACGATCTCCGTCTGGCCGTCGTGTTGAGGGTGGTGAGAGGAGGAGAGACATAGATGTACGTTGAGCTCTGCGGCCACCGATCTCCAGAATTCTGAGGTCCATCGTCCATCCCTGTCGCTGATGATGTGGTCGGGTATGCCGAACCGGAAGATTACTTGGAGGATGAATAAATGAGCGAATTCGACGGTGTTCATAGTTCCTTTGCAAGGGATGAAAAGTCCGAATTTGGAGCAACGGTCAACCACCACGAATGCAGCGTCGAATCCGTCAGAAGGTGGAAGTCCGGTGATGAGATCGAACGAGATCCATTCGAATGGCCGGTCAGGCACAGGGTTAGGACGAAGGAATCCCGCTTTAGCTCGGTGATCTGACTTAGTCTTCTGACAGACATCGCACGACATCACGTAGTCCTTGACATCTCGACGCAGGGATGGCCAGAAGAATCTGGAGTTGATACGTAAGGCTAGTTTCGCTGGGCCCTCGTGAGCGGCCTCGTACGGCGTGTCGTGGATTCGAGCGATGAGCGGGAAGACCTCTGAGCGGGGCACGCAGAGCCTGACTGGATCCGAACCCGTTCGCATGTACAGTAGTCCTGATTGATCGGTGAAGAAGCATTGCCCTGCGAATTTCTTCAGACCTGGCTCCGACGCTTTCCTCCATTTAGTCTTAAAGAAAGCATCCTTGGAGTACCCCTTGACGAATTTGTCGCGATATTCGCTGCTGAGCTCTATCAGCACAGCCGGTGGCGTCGGGTTGCCTTCATGCTCGTAGAGGGTGCTGGGGTCCACGCCGGGGACGTCTGGAGACTCCTTAACTTGTTCTTCCGCGGCTGAACCTTTACGAACTTTGGTCTTGGGAGCTACTGGAGGACGTCGCTGATCTTTGAACCTGGTGGATACCGGAGCTGCCTGCTTATTCGCAAGCTCCAGAGAGGGTTCCTCTCCCTCGTCTGGATTGGCTTGGGCTTCATCGTGACTTAGGTTCCTCGAGCAGATCGGGGTGTCGATCGTGCTCTGGGTATCCTTGTCGTTCCGACTGCACGCGCCCCCCACGATGAGGCCGGAGTCATCGTTCGGTTGGACGCCGAAGAGTCCCCATGCGGGCGACCCGTCCAATATGTCTTCCCAGCTTGCAATTGTGGAGACTGTCGCTGCCAATTTCCGTGCTGGAGCGCGTTCCGCTGCTTGTTCTACGGCCGCGGGTTTGACTTGATCCGTGACGATGGGAACGGAGGGGTCTGAGATGGGTGAATCATGAGCCGGGGGTTCCCTTGGAAGCCGTGACAGTGGGTCGACGTTCGAATGCACTCGGCCCGCTCTGTGGACTATGTCCAGGTTGGGTAAGTAAGCCGCAAATACTGCCCCCCATGCCGCAAGGCGACGGTTCGTGTTTTCGTAGGTGCGCGCCCACTGGAGAGCAGCGTGGTCGGTTACGAGGGTGACGCGTTCACCTTCTATGAAAGGCTGGAAACGGACCAAGCCGTCCTTGGCTGCTAACGCTTCTCGTTCCGTGGTGGAATAATTGCGCTCCGCTGGTTTGCACGACCGGCTCCAGTACGCTATGACTCTTTCCACATAGACGGTGGTTTCGTCCAATGTGGAAGACCATTGACCGGGAGTTGGAGTGTCATCGAACTTGTGAGAGACCTTGGTGATTAGATTCGGAATGGGGGCGTCTTCTGCGTGCGCTTTGCTGAGGCGGTCGTACGCTCTGGTACCCTTGAGGTCACCAGCCTTGATGGGTTGAACTTGTTGGAGGCACGCTCCCAGTGCGATATCTGAAGCGTCGGTATACAAGCGGTACGGAAGCCCAGCCATCGCATGGGCAAGGACAGGTGCGGACTGTAATACGTCTTTCGCACGCCGCCAAGCTGACTCGCATTCGGCCGTCCAGCTCCATTTATGGTCCTTCTTCAGTAACTCGAACAGAGGTGAGACGATGAAGGAGTAGTAGGGAATGTAGGATGAGAAGTAGACCGTCATCCCCAGGAAGGTTTGCAAGTCCGAAACGCGATGAGGACGCGCTAGTTCCGTTACCGCGCGGACTTTCTCGTGGTGCGTCGAGAATCCTAGTCGAGATACCTTCTGTCCTAATAGCAAGATGGAGGTATAGCCGAAATGACATTTGGTGGGTGACAGGGTGATGCCGGAGACAATGATCGCTTTGAGTACTTTATCCAGGTGCTCGACGTGTTCGTCCCAGGATCGAGAATAGACCACGATATCGTCGATGTAGACGAGTGAGAAGATCCATAGATAGGGTGCCAGGACTCCTTGCATGACACGCTGAAACGCAGAGGGTCCGTTGCGCAGACCGAAGGGCAGGCGCTTGAACTGGTATAGACCGCGGTGCGTTCGAAAGGCCGTCTTCTCTCGATCCGAGTCAGCCACCATTAACTGGGTGAAACCGGAGAGCGCGTCGAGGGAAGTGAGAACTTGCGCCCCTGATAGGGCTTGGAGGATCTCATTTTGTCGCGGTATCGGAAATTCATCGGGGATGGTGACTGCGTTTAGGCGGCGGTAGTCTACGCACAACCTAGGTTTCCCATTTCGATACGCTATGAGTACCGGTGCCCCCCAGGGACTGTTCGAAGGTTCGATCACGTCGAGGTTGAGCCAAGCTTCATGCTGCTTATCGATGACTTCCCTTTTTGCTGGCGAAGCGGAGTACATGGGGAGGGATATAGGCTTGGAGTCGGCTTGCAGCTTGATCTCTACTTCAGTGGGATTCTGGCCTAATCGTCCGTCGAAGGCGAACGCGGCTTGGTTGGATTGTAGCATGCTGACTAGGCGTTCGCGTTGTTCTGGGGGCCATTCTGGACCGATGTCGAGCAACTTTTCCATCTCGCTCGAGGGGTAATTTTCCCAGTCCGGAAGCTCGGCAGTCTTGGGGCCCCATTGGTCCTCCGTGCTGGTCTCTTTGGTCGTACTGCTCTCTTCAGATGGTCGGGATTCGACCGATCCTCGGATGAGCGTTTGCACGGTCTGGGCGTGAGCAAAAAGATCCGGGTCGGAGGCGGCAAAGTAGGTCTCCGGAGTATGAAGAGGGCCCAGAACCTCACCCTCGCGTATCATGTAGGGCCGGTCTGTAGGGTTGGTGACCGGGACGTAGAGGTGTGACGAGTCGACCAATGTAGGAGTAGTCAACAGGAATGTTCCATCTGACTGACCAAGGACGGTTTTCTCCACAAACCACTGAGATTGGGTCCCTAGAGGAGGTCGAATAGGCACAGGACGACAGGAGTGCGGGGCTATTCGCACGTCCTGCGCCGCCAGTGCGGAAGGACGTTTGGATTTAAGGAGTTCTCGGTAGCGGTTAGCTCGATGCCGCCGGTGCGTTTTGGCTCGGACGAACTTGGAATCGGCGGCCTTCACGATGACTTTGAGACCAGGTCGATCCCTTTTTACTGACGACGAAGCCGGTATCGTGTATCCGGTGTCTCCTACTCGTATGGCTGACCCTTCGGCTACACTGCGCGTCACGCTGAGTTCGTAGTTTACGTGGAAATCCTCTCCCAGGAGGAGGGGAGCAGACATCCCTGGGACCACGTAGCATTCCGCCGTCATCTTGAGGACGTGACCTTGTTCGGATTCTATGTAGACTTGCGTCTGTATATAACCTGAAATGCGAAATCCTCCTGTTAATTGGAAGAGGTTCATCTTGAGTCCCTGCTTGACCTTGGGTCGAGAAGCAGCAGGGAGAGACTCCAGATACTCTTGGGAAATCAGGGATATGTCTGCTCCGGAATCGGCTCGGCAATCGACGGTAGGATGCGATAGGCTACCAAGACGGAGGGTGAAGGATAATGCGGAAACTCCTACGGTCGAATGCCCCGCCGGGGGATCTCGTATCCGGGCGAGAGGGACTACTAAAGGGTCGCGCGATTGAAGAGGAACGTGCGGGGTAGGGACGTGAGTATCGTCCGCTACTGCCGCCGTGCTCGCGAAGCGTTTCTGAGGGCCATCATAATGGGAAGAGCCGTCTACAGATAGGGCTTCCGCTAGCATGTCGGAGAGGAAATCGACGTGGACTGGCGAGTCCGGCTCAATACGTTCCATTACGTGAGGCAGATCGGGGGAAAGTGGGTGCAAGGGACGCGACGGGGTTTCGTCGACGTCCTCGCATTCCACCTTTGATGCTCGTTGCTGATTCATCTTGGCTTGTAGTTCCTCTCCTTCGGCTCTGAGGGCGTTAACCCGTGAAGCGCTCGACAATCTCGCATTGCTCAGGTTACTACAGATGTACGCGACGAAAGCTTCCTCATACTCCTCGTTCTCCAGTTCGTCGCAGTCATATTCAGGACCTATGAGAAGGGCTCTTCTACTTACGTCATATTCATTCCAATGCGGGCAATCCCGATCCCAGTGGTAAGGGCTGCCGCAGACGCGACAATCACCCGGCGGCGCTTTCTTACTCTTGACGGAGTCGTTGCGAGGGAATCTGTAGCCGGCCGCGGGGGGTTTACGTCCCGCTCCTCTAGGAGGACGGGTAGAAGACTTCCTAGGCTGCGAATTAAGGGCTAGGGCCTCCCTCGCGGACTGATCGGACGAGAGAGCAGGAGCGGTATGTTCGCTCGCTGCTAGGGGCTCAGGAGTCGAATTAACATCATCGTCGTGATCGAAGTTTGCTCCCGTCCAAACGCCATCTGCGCATCTTTGTCAGTTTAAGTGCATCTACTTTCATTCATTAATGAATTAAACCCTGGATCTGATTTACACACTTTTGTACCCCTGTTAATCTAATCCTAATTCAATGCAGTCTTAATCCATTGCTCAGCTCATATGCCTAATCCTGGTGTATTACAGAGGTCTTTTGATGCATTCTTAATGCACTACTGATCCACTTATAATGCACTGACTTAAGACATGCTTGATCTCAGTGTATCACAGGGGTACCTTGATACACTATTGATCCACTAAAGATGCATTGTCCAAGTCAGTGTATTACATGTTTAAGGCATACATGTATGCAGTTCTAAGCTGCTGGATTAGTTTTAGATCAAGGCAAAAAAAGGGGACATTGGGGGTTTGAACCACAGACATCAGAAAGCATTACATAATCACATCATCAAGTCGGACCACAGGAACACTAACCACTACACCACAGGTCTGTTAGAAATGTTGTAACACAATGTTATATGTCACATTACTGGGATGCTGGACTTAGACATATTTTGGATGCTGGCACAGGGTGCCCTGCATTAGTGGTGGATCAATAGGTGTGTTAGCAGTGAATTGACACAGTGTGGTAACAGTGAATTAGCAGTGACTTGACACAGTGTGTTGACAGTGGATTAGCAGTGAATTGACAAAGTGTATTAGTGCTAGCCCAACATGTGAATCAGTGATGAATCAACATAGTGCATTAATGTTAGCCAGACAGGTGACTCAATAGTGACTCAACTGACAATGGATGCTAGATGTCAAATTTGTTAGGTCAAAGGTTAAAGTCACTTTTGAGTCACATGTTGGGCTAGCACTAATACACTTTGTCAATTCACTGCTAATCCACTGTCAACACACTGTGTCAAGTCACTGCTAATTCACTGTTACCACACTGTGTCAATTCACTGCTAACACACCTATTGATCCACCACTAATGCAGGGCACCCTGTGCCAGCATCCAAAATATGTCTAAGTCCAGCATCCCAGTAATGTGACATATAACATTGTGTTACAACATTTCTAACAGACCTGTGGTGTAGTGGTTAGTGTTCCTGTGGTCCGACTTGATGATGTGATTATGTAATGCTTTCTGATGTCTGTGGTTCAAACCCCCAATGTCCCCTTTTTTTGCCTTGATCTAAAACTAATCCAGCAGCTTAGAACTGCATACATGTATGCCTTAAACATGTAATACACTGACTTGGACAATGCATCTTTAGTGGATCAATAGTGTATCAAGGTACCCCTGTGATACACTGAGATCAAGCATGTCTTAAGTCAGTGCATTATAAGTGGATCAGTAGTGCATTAAGAATGCATCAAAAGACCTCTGTAATACACCAGGATTAGGCATATGAGCTGAGCAATGGATTAAGACTGCATTGAATTAGGATTAGATTAACAGGGGTACAAAAGTGTGTAAATCAGATCCAGGGTTTAATTCATTAATGAATGAAAGTAGATGCACTTAAACTGACATCACTGATCTGCGGCGAAAGCGCGCCTAGATGAAGAGAAGTTGCGAGGTTCGGTCTTCGAAGAAGGAAGGCGAAGGAGTTGTTCGTATTGGGTAGTGCGAACGGGGGCCATAGACGCGAAAGCTATGAGCTCGTCGGTCTTATCAGCCACTCTGGACATGAGGGCGGCGATGGTGCGAATGCTGTCTAAGGATAGGACCGTAGACCATGTGGGCGGGGCGTTGTGCATAACCGCCGCTATTTCATAGTCCGGTTCCTGAGGCAAGCTTGTAATGTGACGGTGGTACAGAAGACGCCGGTCGACGAAGTCCATGGGGAGCTCCTTCTCGTGGCCTGGCTGACGGAATCGTTGACCATCGTATTGAGTACGGAGTGACACCGTGAACTTGTGCGTGAAGAACTGCAGCTTGATTCCTTCGTACAGTTTCCACCAGTTCAACGAGTACATTTTCTGGGTATCGAAATCGAGGAGTTGCCACCATCGCTCGGCTCGTCCGGTGAATCGATCGGGAGCGGCGGCTCCCAGGTCCCTGGCCACGGACTCATTCTTCCTTGCTAGGTTGTTCATCTTGTGCAAGTAGATCAAGATCGTATTGAGACTTCCGTTCCATTCGGGGATGGAATCTCGAGAGATCTTTTGATCAAGACGTATACCAGTTTCCCTCGGGGCGGCGGTCTGTTGTATGACTATAGTGGGTCTGTATTCCGGAGCAGCTTGGGACGAGGTTGGCCCACCATAGGGAGGTTCTCCTCCCGGAGGTCCTCCGGAATTCCCGCTCGGAGGGTGACTCGGCGGACGACCAGAAGGGGAGCGACCATGGGGAGGAGTTCCTCCGCCATTGCCGTTTCCACCGTTGCCTCCTCCATCTCCTCCTCCAGGAGGGCCTCCAGGTCCCGAAGGGCCGCCTCGGGGGGGACCGCCTCCTTCGCGGTGAGACGAGTGTGAAGGAGATTCACGCGGGGATCCCTTTGGCGGTCCTTCGTCGTGATGGCTTGGGAAGTTCGACGCGGGAGGGACTTTTCCTCCTCGCGCAACGCTACCCGCTGAGCGAGATTCGTACACGAAGGTCTTAGTGCCCCCTGCCTCCTTCGACTGGTAAGTTTGCTCGTAGTGGAATGGAGGTAGGTGAGGAGGAACGTCGCGGAGAGAAGCAATGGGAGAAACCGTTCTCCAAGGAGGTCGAGGGGAGGAGGCCTGAGGCCGATCCGGGGGAAATACCGCGTCGTGTACGGCTTGAGCGTCCGCGGACTCTGGGAGAGCCACCGAGTGTCCGCGGAACCAATGACTTGAGGACCTGCGTTCCTTCGAGGGGCCATTTGAAGCGGACTCGTCCTTAGGATGATGCGGAGGGTCTTGAAACTGCACTCTACGTCCCGGGTCATCCGCTTCTGGGGGGACCGAGAAGTTAGGATTGGCGTGACTGGTTCGATGTGGGAAGCGAGGTCGCGTATCCACTGACGAGGGAAGTCGAACGCTCTCTTCCGGCTTGACCAGGGAAGGAGGCTCAGTGAAGGCCATGGACTGGGCGCGAGTGAGGTCACGTTCCACGCGTCCGGCAGAGGAGGATCGGGAAGACAAGATGTCGTCTTCGGCCATGGAGACGGAGGCTCCGTGAGCAACGGGCGTTACGAGCAGAGAGGAAGGGAGTCGACTGAATCGTTGATCGAAGGGGACCTGTTTGTTGGCTAATTCGGAGTCCAACCCCTGAGTCTTACCCAGACGCCTAAGCACCACTGATTGGTACTCGGGGGTCAGGTTAGGGTACACGTCCGGGTTGTCCAACCATTTATCGATCATTATCCGTTTAGAAGCCGAAGCTCGGACGTTTCGGCTGAAGTCCGAAGCAGTGGACCGAATGGAGTCGGGATAAGTCGTCCCAACGTGGAGGGCTCGCCTCTGGTGGATCAGAGCGATAGCTTTCGCACATCGATACTGGATGACTCGGAAGGAATCCCAGATGAGACCACGAGACGAGGATGATCTAAGTGCGCCCAAGAGGGAGTAAGCGTGATCCGCCTTCCAGAAACGGTTCTCGTTTTCGAGTTGTAACATCCGGGTCACCAGGGATTCGAGGCCGTCCACGATATAGTTGATACGGAGCAAAATCTTGGCGCGTACGTGAAATCGGGCGTCCTTGACTTCTTGTGTAGGCGCATCCAGTACATCGTCGTTGTCCAAGTCTTCAGCGAGGAAGAGGTTCGTTTCTTCGAAGAGAGTACGAAACCTTCCAGTCTCATCGGGAGCGCTCAGTTCTTCGAAAATGGTTTGAGCTTCCGCAGGCTTCCGTAGGTGGTCCTTGAATCGCCCTTTCCCGTCGACTAGGTCGCGAAGATGCACCTTATCGACAGCATTCTTGGCGGCTTGCTGGACTTCCTCCGTTGAGAAGGAGGGGTTGGTGGTGACCGACTCGGACGATGAAACCTTTGATCGCCAAGGAGTGGATGTAGCAATGGGAGGAGCGACCGGTCCTGTCGAGGAAGCCGCTCCAGTTCTTGGTGAGGAGAACCAACTCGGTGGCGGAGGGCCAGCCGAGAGTGGTGAGACGGGTGGGGAGTGCCGGGAGCTCCATCCCGGAGGCAGGGCCGTCTGAGAGCTATTGTCCGCAGGTCGAGGGAGCGGCGACTCCACGAGCGAGTGGGGTCTCGCGTCGCGGAGAGCAACCGGGGAGGAAGCAACTCGTGCTGAAAGTTCCTCCGGGACGGGGATCGTCCGCGGAGACTTCGGCAGTCCTGAGGGAAGAGCAGGTAACTTACTAGCGCTCTCCGTGTCTCGAACTTCCTCCGATTTGACGCTTCCCTTTCCGACTCGCGGCTCCGAGCTGGGGGTCGAGATTTGAGTAAACGGGGTGACGGACCCCGAGGGGACCACCGAGGGAGGTCGCGAGGGTCGGGAAACGTCACCGAGGAAGGATGTTCCAGCCGCTGGTGCGCGCATGGTCATAATGTCGGCCGGATGAAGGATAGGTAGGGGCTAGGGGTAGAGTAAAATCGATTAGACAGTGGACCGTTCCCCTGAGTGTCCACCAATGTGAGAGACGCTGGTTTCGTCAGCTCGCACTGGTAGGGAACGGGCTGTCTAAGCGAGGAGAACGTTGGTGGTCGCGACGCGACCGAGTCGTGAGAGGTCGTGAGGTCGTTCGCAGGCGAGGAGCCGGCGAGGAGCTGAGAGGACTAGAGAGGGCGAGGAGCCGTCGAGTCGCTCTAGCGGACGTGCGTGGGCGAGGAGCCCACGAGAAGCGGGTAGCCGAGCCTTGGCGAGGAGCCGGCGCGGGTTACGCTAACGTGCGTCGGCGAGGAGCCAACGAGAGGCTGGTCGTCAGTCTAAGGCGAGGAGCCGTTCAGACGAGCAAGCCGACGTGCGAGGGCGAGGAGCCCGCGAGATACAGTCGATCGAGCCTTGGCGAGGAGCCGGCGCGAGGATTGTGGACGTGCGCTGGCGAGGAGCCAACGAGTCGAGCGTGCTCGCGGCGAGGAGCCCGAGAGACGAGACAGCGAGGAGCTGCTCGGTTTGTCGAGGAGCGAGGAGCACTCTCGACGACAGCGAACTCCAGTTCGGACGGTGCGGGTATCACACGCGGACGAAGTGGTAGGAGTGTAAGAAGCTTAGCGTCTATTCGTTGCGCGTGCGCGAAGTGGCTGCACGCGCGCGCTTACAGTAATTACAGAGTAGAATACAGGAGTTAAATGTCCAGTAATTATGTACGTGCTACGAAGACGTGCGGCTCGCGATTACCGAAGGTGTTCTTGTAGATAGTAGTGTACGCGGACTTGACGCGTTCTACTGCATCCGTAACACCATGTCTCATGATTGCTTAGACCGTCTGCCACGCTGCACGCTGGACGGTGCGCGATTCAGAACTCAACGGCGGTCGTACATAGGCGGTGCCCAAGCCCTCGGCGCTCCCGGGCGTTCACAAGAAGTCATGCCAAACCTCTATCGGACAGTTCTGCGTCGAGCAGGAGTGTACGTACATGGGCCGTTCGCGTACAAAACATGTCGACACCACACCAACACAGCGCAGCACGACCTACACCCGTGCGGACTTCCCAACACACTCCTACCTCGACTCGCCCTCGTATCTCGACTCACAGCGGATTCTTACCTGTACCGCAAGACTCAAGTCACATCGAACGAGGCCTTTCACTGCGGAGCACTGCCATGTGGTGCTGGGAGCCGGTCCGCCATGACTCCTGTCCCACCCGCAAGCCATCAAACCGCCTGGGACGACCTGCAGCGAGTTCCCTGGTCAGCGACGTGGATTCCGAAGAAACGATCGACATCCCTCACCTGCACTCGTCGTCACATGAGCCCACGTCCGTCGCCCGCCGTCACCGCAGGGCGCGCTCTCCCGGTCAGCCCACCTGTGACGCACGGTTAGTACTTTGCATACGCAGCTCGCTCAGAGACAAGACTTACCGATGCTCTTCTGCGTCCTCAGCCCTCGTATTTGTACCTCGCTCGCCCGGGCTGCGTGTCAGCACGATGAGTCGCCGTGGCCCGTGCGCGATGTCTGTGGAAGCGAGCGCGCCGCCGCGCTGGCCCGGGCAGCGGCGCCCCACATCAGGAAAAGGGGGATTTCACTGACGGGTTCTGACGGTTGCTGATGCGCTAACCGAGAGTGACGCGAAATCATCAGATACCGTCAGCAGATAACATAGCCGTCAGACATGTCACACATAAGCTACATCTCATTGCTGAAGCACTGACGACTGAAGTGCTGACGACTGAAGTGCTGACGACTGAAGTGCTGACGACTGACATTCTGACTATGCTAATGTATAATGTGTGAATTCTAATACACATGTATTGTAGATGCTCGCCCGCCCGCCTGCTCACCCGCACATCGGGTGGCTACCGACGTAGAGTACGCTCACGCTCTTCCTCCTGAGAGAGCTCTACGCCGGCAGCGCAGCCGTACCCTCCCCCCTAGTCTACCCGATGCAAGGCTCAGCTCGCCTCTGGCATATGCCTGCCTGGATCACCTCACTCGCCACTCCCGCCCTCATCCCCGCCCCAGTATAGTTCGGCGCCAACACGCCCCGGGCCCTCCAACTCCTCGCCCCTCAAGTTCGCGTTCCATTCCCCCGAGTCACCGCGATCCAGTCCACGCTGGGCGCGCATGTCGCCTCTGTGGGGAATGTTCTCCCCAAGCGCGCGCGCAAACACTGTCCTACCCGTTCTCGTCGCCTGGCACGCAGAGCACGCAGTGCGCGCTTCCGTTCACGATGCCGTTCCCGGCGCACCCGCCACTCGCAACTTAGCGTGCACGGCGGGCGTCGAACAGGTTGATGTGGATCACAAGCGGGTTGAATTCCTTATGTCGCAGCACGGCGCTGTCGTGCCTGCGCAGACACTGATATCAGTTCCACAGATATGATGAGAGTACAGCTCACCGTCATTTTACACTCGCAATCTCGTCGTGCGGTCAGCGTGTTCTGCCCAGGTCTCCTCTCGCAAGGCCTCCACCCGTGCCACAATTTTCATCGCGGATGCGCTGACAATAAGCCGGGCGTGGCGGGCGAGGGCAGAGCGGGAGGGTGAGTGTGCATTGCGCGGGGAGACGAGGACAATTGCTGGCCTGCGTGGTGCAAGGAAGATCGAGACAGGCTGCCACGCCCAGGCAGGTCGCAGGTGCTTGTCCGTATCTGGCTCGCGCTGTCGATGCTTCTCCTTGTGCAGCGCGGGCGAGAGTGTGTACACACACTGCATCCTCAGCCTGCGCTTCCCCGCGTGCCGTGTTGCCATGCGTGTCAACAGTGTCGCACCCAGGGCTGGTGGGGAGCGTGGTGTCGTCAGCGGGGAATTGCGCGGGGTTAGACATGCGGCGGGGCCCGCGACGTACCCCCTGATATCACGCGCGAAGTTCTGACGGATGAAGACCGACACCGAGAGTTGAGGGCACGTCGTCAAAGCCAGGGCGCTCGAGGGCGAGGGAGAGGAACGGAAGGTCCATTGCCAGCAGTCACGCCCGAGGTTGGCGGCGAGGTATTGCCTTTGTCGGTGCCGGTGCCGGTGCTGAGGTAGATGGACAAATGGGCGGGGAGAGTGAGCCCAAGGATGCCGCTGTAGAGCGGGTCGAGTGTTTCCCCAATGACGGTCCACGGACGAGGCGGACGAGGTCGGCGAGAGCGTGGAAGGGTGGCAAGCGCGCGCGGCGTGTCGTGGCTCAGGCGCTTAGCACTCAACGCACTTCCTCCTCTACTGCACATCCGCCGCCCTCTCAACAGCGCTGCCCTCCCTCGCCTTTGCCCGACCGACCTCACCGCCATGTATACCAGCGAGTACGACTACCTCTTCAAGCTTCTCCTCATTGGCGACTCCGGTGTCGGCAAGGTAAGCCTCGTGCGCGTCCTTACGCAGTCGCCCTCAGAGTCACAGGTCACCGCCTCCACGTCGACATCCAAAACTTCGATACTGCGCAGAACATTGTACTGCGCACACACTGGACGCAACGGAACAGCAACACGGCGACACGGAACTGGAGGAGGTGGGGACATCGGAAGGTGCGTGCCGTTGTGCGCATAGACTGTGACGAGAGGTGAGTCTCTCTTTCACTGTCTTCTCATCTTCCCATTCACCTTCTCGCATCCTCTTACCCCAGCGTCCCACTCGCGACTGTGCGGGCTCTACATCCATAGCATTTGTCCGCCGCCGCCCTCTCCTCCTCACCGCCACTCCCCGCGACGCCCTCCTACGCACCGATGCTGTCATACCCGAATATCCCGCTGCCCGCCAGCACGCACCCGCCGACGTCCTGTCATGCCGCATCTGCCCTCGCGCACGTCCGCCGTCCGCCATCCTCCACCACGTCGCGTCGCTCTGCGTTTGTGCGCTATCGCGCGCGTCCGCCGACCAACATCCCCATCGCGTTGCATCACGCGCACCCGCACCGTCGCGCACCAGCCCGCGACGGGAGACTTCTGCGCGCTGGCGCTGGCCATTGACGCATCTCTCCAGTGCCTGGGAAACAAGATTCTGCTGAGGGGAGCAGGGGTGGGAATGGGATACCGAGGGCAAGTACGACGAGCAGGGTGTTGAGGGGTTGCTGTGGGCACGCAGGGCGAAGGCCCTGCGCGCAAACGTAACCAACGAGTGGACCGTGGGCAGGGATCGAGTGTGCGGGCGCAGGCGGGGTTCGAGCGCGGGCGCAGGCGGGCAGGGCAGACGGGTGGGAGGGCGGGCAGATAAGCACGACAACACACGCCGACCGCGGGTACGGTGGAGGCGGGCGAGCACACACATGCGACGACACACGGCGACCACAGCGCATAGTGGGCCCAAACAAGACCATGCCCTGCGGATGTCACGGGCAGGAAGACAAGGACCTGCGAGGACACAGACTGCGAGGGCGCGGATTGATGCACGGACGAGTGAGCACGCCAACAATGAGCACGACGGACAACAGCCCGACACGCAAACACTGCCGACGAGTACACCGAACGCGAACGGACAAGTCAAGTGGGAGCGGGAGCGGGCGAACAATGGGGCAGGGCGGACATGGACGAACACGTGCCCGTGGGGACGAGGTCGAGGCAAGCGTGGATGATGAGTGGGAGCAGGTGCGAACGAGTGTGGGCGAGAGTGGGCATGGACGAGCAGGCATCTGCCTATAGCACGCCTGCTCCTAGTACATCTGAATATATACTGTACACGCTCCTTGAATTGCACAGTGACCTGTTGACACAGCTCAGCCCGGTCATCATGATGCAGATACTATACTTGTGTGAATACTGACCGTAGGTGACGCGTTATATGTGAACTTGCTGATAGGTGACAACTGTCTGACGCAGCTGACGACATTGGTCCCACAATTCGGCCATCTTGCTGAAATGCGGCCCGCGTTGCTGATGCCTGATTCGGTGACGGAATGTGAAACTGGAATATCAGCAACGGTTACGGCCCGTCACGGCCCTTCACCGAAATCGCCGAAGTTC